TTAATTTTATATCGCGCCGTTGGTGCCGTACTGGCTGAGGATACAACCCTCGCCACCTACTTTCTCGTTGTCTAGCACCTAGAAGACGAATACGTTCTCTACGACGGCATGAAAAACAACGGGAGGATCCGAAGGATTCAAGGCTGGTGGGATCTAGGGATAGCATCGTGCCGTATCGTTACTATTTTCTTTTAGGTAGAAAGTGCGGTCGGTACTAGACGTTAAGGATAGTATGCACTATATTGCTCGAGCACCCAAGGGTGCGGCTCTATGAAGATTGTAGGCCGGTTAAGGCTGCCCGCCAGCGCTGTCTAGAGGTCGTCTAAAACAACGCTATATCTTCGTCTACATCTACGTCACTAGCCTCGAGGTGGTCTTGCACGACTTCTTCATCCACATTTGCGTCTATCTCTACGTCACTAGCCTCGAGATAGTCTTATACGACTTCTTTATCCATATCTTCGTCCATCTCTACGTCACTAGTATCGGGGTGGTCTTGCACGACTTCTTTATCCATAATATTAGTATCCTACGTCTTATTATCCGTCCATTCCGCCTCGATGGCCGTGACTTATACATCACTCGCTATACGAACATTATCGTCGATAACACCTTTTCAATTCACACTAGCGCAGTTAACATAAATCACCCGCCCTCTACGCTCGTAGACGACTCGGGCAAATTCTTAGACCATTTACCGGCAGCCCGGTACTTTGAGCGCCGTCCCCATCACTAGTAGCACGTCGGGCTTAAGCTCGATATCCTCGTGCTAACGCTCTACTAACCAAGTACTATCGGGATACTCTTCATCGTATAGTATAATATCCGGTTATAGTGTGCCTATGGTCTAGGTTCGTTTACCCTTGGCCACCCGCTCCGTATACAACCGCCGACAGTCTAGGCACGGCGTCGATATGCCTTCACTTGCGTCTTTCTATATCTCGTCCGTCTAAGGCGACCGGTATACGTATATTGTATAGCGTAGTAACATTATATCACCGTATAGCTAAATGATACTATAGCTTGCTCCACTGCCTTTGCTATCCGACGCAGTAGAACTAGTCTATACGGTATATAGGCCGATACGCTGCTCGAGATAATCGACGTTCTACGTGTAGTAGCGGATTAGAAGCCCTCGATCGTTGAGCCGTCGAAGGAAACGGTGCGTTCGACTGCTATCCCGAATACGGCAAATTCGATGCTTTAGCGCCGCGGCGAATTGATAGAAAACGGGCTGTGTTGCTAGCTGTGCTAGTATATCGACGTTAAATAAGTCTCGACCTTTAACCTTGGCGGCTATTGGCAATACGTTGATTTCATTATAGAGGTCGTTGATAAGAGTATTCGCCTTAGTATTATACATGCCACCTAGTGAGCGGAAATCCTGTGCTCAAAATATTAGTTGCTATGGCCCAATCTCTCGGAGACTTTGTCCCGTACTAGAAGGCCGTAGCTGCGACTAATCCCGGCACCCGTAATAATAATATAGCGAGCGCCGTGTAGGAGCGACGATATTGCCGATAGTCGATCTATGTCGTTACTAGTAATTACTTTAGGATCCATTGTAGTGATAGGCGCAGTACAATATCGGTTCGAGTCATCGACGGCCCTAATCTATATCCTAGAAAACTGGGGAGCGATATTCTAAAACAAACGCATTTACGTGATCCTTTTACTACTTATATATACCGGTATACTAAGGCGATCGTGGACGCCCTAGGCTACGGGTACGTAACCTAAAGCGCCTACGGTAGGGTTTCAGGGTATTTGCTTACTCGATAGTATATATTACCCCTTACTTCTATAGTGTATCCCTTTCCCTCCCCCTTAGCTTATCACTCCTATATCTACACTTCTCTTCCTTCTAGGTATCCGGGCGATTTCGTTATGGCCGTGTCTTCCTCCTCGACCTTTAGTCGCTAGATTGTAGAGGAGGTCTATACTATCTCGTATCGAGTGTCTATCTTTCCTCTACTGATCTCTTGCATTAGAGTCTCCGAGAGGCCCTAGCCGCCGTTGTACGTTATGAGCCTACCGGAGAGGCTATCTACCGTCTAGTATACGAAGGTAGGACCGCGACTAGGAACCCTACCCCGGAAGTCGTGGTACTAAATAACGGTAGTGGTCTTTACTAGACGTATCTCTCTACCCCCCTCAGCGACCGTAAGGTCGGCCATAACCTCTTGTCCCTCGATTATAAACCGTCTATTTCTAAGGAAGCGGATAGAAGACCGGTATCCTCCTAACGAACCGACTCGCCCGGCTACGAGCGTCCCTTCGATGGGAACGAAGACGTCACCTACTCTATCCCTAACCTCGAACGAGGCCGCGAAGCCGGCGAGGGAGAATAGCGACGAGGACGATAAGGAACCTCGCCGTATAAAGCGCGTCCGACCGGCGGGTCATGAGCTACCGGGTACAAACGGTGCACCTGATCGCCTAAAGGGCTTGGCTATTGCGACGCGGACACTCGGAAAGTACGGATACGAGAAGAAAAATAGGAAATCAAGAAAGATATTATAGATGTAGGTATAAATATATATTCATCGGGATAATATTAATGTCCATTATATTAATATGATAGAGGTTGGATAATAGGCGCTCGTCTTAAGCGGTGGCCCGTGCCCACCCGGTGTACTTTAGGCCTACACCAGCTATAGCCTTGGGGGCCGGCTCGCTAATACCTACCCCGTAAAGTTATCCTGCTCCCGTAGAAAAGAGTCAGCCAGCGCATATATATTTAGGGTAGGCGCTATCCTACGATAAGGTTACCTAAATAGACCCCGCCTACTGCACACTCAACGCCTTTCACTTTTCTTCGTTGTTGTTCTAAATTCTACCTTCGCGTCCGACGTCCTCGACTTAATTCCAACGTCCTTCTACAAGTGACAATGGATAGTTATAGCCACTAGAACGTAGGTACTACCTCGAAGACCCTCACTATCTTATTCTGATCTGTCAACCAAATCCCTATAGCCGCTATTCAACGCCTGCGCCGGTGTATAGAACAACTCCTCGAACACGACCCTTCCGGCGCTTCTATCTTGCTCCTGGCTTCTAAAGGTAGGCGTATCCTAATGTTTCGAACGGTCTCTCGTGACTAACTGCGACTCTAGCCGTCTACGGACGAGCTTATCGAGAGCTCCCCGCGAGCGCCGACGTCGACACTCTACCCGTACCCCACCAGATATAGGTGGCGCAGTCTCGTCTCCCGCCGTCCCCGATAGTGAAAGACAATTAGATAAAGTCATAGAAGAGTAGGTATACGCGAGATAACAACGATCGTCCTAGCTCGGTCTATGGTGCACGACCACCGTCACCGAATCGAGAAAGGTCGATCGATCATAACGATCACGGCTCGGGGGAGAATGCTAGGACCTACGACAACGATATCGTCGACCCGTCACGTCGATCTAATACTTCTCTTACGCGGCTGTCGCCTTAGACAATTACGCCTCGGTATCGTTAAGTGCTAGAATTGCTATACCTACCTACCCTCCTATAGGATAAGGACGGTCCAAAGGCAGGCGAACCGGCTAGCGAGACTTACTCGAAATCGAGTATCGCCACTCCTGACTCCTCCTATATAATCGACGAAACAGATCTCTTCCGTCGTATTGACGAGTTAATCAACAAAAGCCCGATACCGTCTCCCGTACTGACTAGTTATGTCGAAAAGACTCCAACGGAAACCTCAAAGCCCGCGTCTCTACGTTTTGGACTATACCCTCTAGATCTGCTACCCTCTCCACGGTCTAAAGACACCACGACTTTGACCGCCACGGTCGTATCAAGACGTTCGACCTACGCCACCGTCAAGACTCGCTCGTCGATCGCGCGTCGCGCGAAACCGCGCCGGAAAGCTGTTAAGGACTCGGAAGAGACGCCATTGTAACCCCCTAGCCGGTCGGGTCCGATTATACAGTCACCATAGAAGAGCACATTAAATTCTGAAGAAGGTTAGGCGAGCTCTTCGGTGATCTATATCCAATCGCTAAGAGTAACAACGTCTCCCAATGAGACGACGCCACCCGTTACTACCACGAAGAAGAGATCGTTGCCGACCCCTTCCTCTCCTGGTAGATAGGTTAGGTTCGGCCGAAAGTCGAAACGACTACGCCTTGAAGTCGAACCTTAAGCCGGTGCGAATGGATTTGAGACGCTACTTTCAGCATCTCGTCTTATCGACGATATTATATAGACGTCTTTAATTCTCTATCTATATTAGATAGTTACCCTATAAACCTGATAGCTAGGTAGCCTCGGCCGGTGAGTATAAGTATTATGTGACGGCGCACTTGATTACCTAATAAGATTAACCGAACACTGACTCTTGGCGAATATTTTCCGAAAGTTGTTTATTCGCGACCTTCCTTCTTATCACTACTTATATCGGGCCTCGATCTTACATCGAGTGTTCCTACGCAACGAGTCTAACGACTATCGACTGTATCGTACCCAACATGGCGGCATCCTCTTGTCTAGAGTACTTAGAGTATATCGGCAAACCCGACGATACGATGATAGTGGTATTAACAGCCACTGTGGTTCTAGCAGAAGATACTAACTTTCTCTTTAGATTATGGACAATCTTAAGGAGTTACTGGACCATTCTACCAAAAAGCTCACCCTGGCTCGATCACTCTATCGATTCACTATGATGATCGCTAATAAGTATACTCTCCCTATAGAGTCTATCCAATGTAATATAGTACCGCTAGCCAAAAGACCGAAGGCGTTCGGGGAAAAATCTGCGCCGGAGAGAGTTCGTCCTAATTCAACACTAACGACCACCTCACGTCCTCGAGAGATACCTACGGTGACCGACGGCGGTCTGGGCAACAACAACCTATCCGCTAGAACACCCTTACAAAGCGACGCTCGAACACAAGGTCAGCCACGCGATATTCCCGCGCTAGGGTTAGGACGTCTATCTACGCGTGACGCACAATCCGCTCAATAGAGGAGTGACCGCAGCGACTCGGGGACTCGTGATCGCAATGACGAGGTCGGGGGCGACCAAAGTCCTAGCGAAAGAAATCACGAGCATAGAGGCGACGAGGACGGCGATGGCGGCACCGACGACGAAAACGACGACCAAGACAACGTCTATATTCAAAAGCGTCTCCAAAATGGCCTTCTACCCATCGCACCCCATTCGGACATCAGCACCACCAGGGAGAGGCGGACACAGTTCTATCGCCGTCTACGCTCGTTGGAAGTCCCTATCTAGCGGAACAATAAGTGGGTTACCATAGGGTTCACGGCCACCGAGATCATCGAGATCACCAATTTCATGTTCTCCGACCTCACCGGACCTAAGGCCGTGGAGCGTGTCGCGTCACTCGTGGAGCGCTACTCCCAAGACCGAGGTGATATACTCGATACACGAAGCTCCAAGCGCGCCGAAGAGGTCGCAGACCACCCGGACACTCCCTCCCAGCTCTAGGCCTTTTTTAAAACCTATTCTCGGGCGGCCGCCAAGAAGGATTATAACAATATCCTCGAATATATCTGTTAGCTACAGCGTAACCTCGAGTTCCTTGCCGAGCTAAATCGACTCCAAGAATTGACCAAGCGGAAGGACCCTAAAATCCTGAAGCTATTTAACAACCACAACATTAAGTCCAAGTCCGGATCGACCTTAATGAATCGACTAACCAGCTATATCTGCGACACACTCAGCATCAAAAAAAATGAATTCTGGAACTTTGTTTTAGGTGTTTAGGCAACGCAGGGTCTCGTGTCCGCCGTTGAAAGTCCCGGAGTCATCATCCTTATCCCGCCATTACGTAGTCGGAAGTTCGTCCATTCCCTTACCTCTGCTACCTTAGTTTTCATCTCGGCTAACAATCTCTAGGCTATACAAATGGGGCAATCAAAGAATGGCGCATATTTACGAGCTCTTCGGGTCGATTAACCCAGAATTTCGTCGACTCTGTCAAATACTCGACACCACGATCCTACAACCCATTCTCGCTTATAAGAGTCTACCGATAATAGAACTCTCGTTAATTCTAGATAAGTCACTAGAGGAGCATATGGACTCGGCGTTAACGGGTATACGGGGACGAATCGCCGAAGTTGACTCTACGGATTCGGATGGATCTGACGCGGTAGACAATGATGACGGAATCGAGGAAGTATCGATAGCGTCGGCTGGATCTGATGTGATCGACGAATAATGCTTCGTAACTCGTCTACCTATCTTGCGGTAGTGACACATAATAGAGTCAAGTTTCATACTTACTACGAGATTGTCAAGACGCTTACACCAAGCCAGATTTGGGCCTATTGGGAGTGTTTCACTCGAGCACAACCATCCTCATCATGTCAGCCACTGAAAAAGCCCAGGAGATCCAAGCAGAAGACCCTCATGCCAACTCAACAGCAGCCGAAATCAAGAGATCTATCACCATTGATACCCTCCACAACGATGAGGCTGTAAAGGTGCTTGCTAATTACACAGGACCGGAGACCTGGGACCAAAAGGAGGAGAAGCGACTCGTTAAGCGGATTGACAGACGTCTTTTACCAATTCTCTGCACGACGTATGGAATAGTAAGTGCCAGAATCCTCAGACACTGCATAGAAATACCCAATCTTCTGCCTCGACCTACTTTTCTGTACCTTTGGCCCGAGCCATCTCCTCTCCATGCCCGAACTGTATGCCCCTGTACTATATTTCGGCTTCCAAGAGGAGATGGGAGGCGATATCCATGCCCTGTGGATTCCTTGGAACGCGTTCGTTCTGAAAATCCTTCATACCTCCGCCAAAAACGTCACTAACCATGGCATCAACCACAGCAATACTACGACAAGGCTATGCTGTCCCAAGCGGTAATGAACGTCTCCTTCCGATTGTGCAATCTACCAACTCACCACTCCTGTCGTAGGCACTATTCGGCTTAAGAGACGACCTAGCCCTAGAGATAGGCAATCGCTACTCCTTCTCCGCCTCCATCTTCTATCTCGGCTTCATCGCCGGCGCATATCCTGCGGTCCTAATGGCACAACGCTTCCCCATCGAGCGTGTGGCCGCCGGCATTGTCTTCCTCTGGGGTCTCTGCCTCATGTGTAGTGCAGCATGCCACAACTACCAATCCTTCTACGCCCAACGCTTCTTCCTGGGCTTCCTTGAGTCCGGCATCAGCCCAATGTGCATGTTGGTGGTCGGGCAATTCTACAAGAAGGATGAACAGGCTCTTCGAATGGGGTAAGTCACCTGACGCGAAATGATGCTGTTTTGCGTGCTTGATCTCTCCCAAAAAGAGAGCAACCCATCTGATTGACTGGCATCGACTTTCAGAGCTTGGTTCTGTTGTACTGGTTATGTGTCCATTGTAGCACCCGTGATCAACTACGGCTTGGGCCACATTCACGGTGCCTACTCGCCATGGAGGTATATGTACCTCGTGGGTGGGGCCATCACGATCATCTGGTCTGTGGTGATCCTTTTCTTCATGCCTCCAGACCCGATCCGAGCGAGATGCCTGAACGAGCGAGAACGATATATTGCCGTCGCCCGCCTGCGAGTCAATAACTCGGGTGTTCGGAACACCCATTTCAAGAAGGAACAAGTATTCGAATTGCTTGTGGATGTCAAGTTTTGGGTCATGTTCGCCATGACGTTCCTCATGATGATAGCCAATGGCCCCGTGTCGACGTTTACGCCCATCATCATCGCCGGCTTCGGCTACAATACGCTCAACTCCCTGCTCTTGGTCATGCCTGCGGGCGCCATCATCGGATCAGTAGGTACGTCTGCACTCACGTTGATACTGTACCTAAGTACCCTTCCGCTGTCTCTCAAGACAGCCCCTTGACGGGGTCGGTCGTTTCCCCTGATACTGTACCATTTCCGCTGCCCTCTTCGCACTGGCTCTCTGGGCTTCTGGGGCTCCAAACCATCGACCGGATCGAGCCGGGGCTGGGCCCAGGCCCGATTTAGCAAGGCACAAAATGATGACACCTGGGTGACTCCTATTAATTATATTGCTGACTCCTACATTTCCTAACTAGAACTCGGCGCCGCGTACGTCGCGTACAAATTACCCAAGGCCCGCGCATACATTGTGTTTGTATGCCAACTATCCACCATCCTCGCCTCACTTTTGTTGTGGCTCCTCCCGCGCGACGCCCAGGGAGGTCTACTTTATGGCGTTTTCACATTGGCCTCGTTCGGCGGTGGCTACGCCGTGCTCATGGGCTTGCAAATCGCCAACACGGCGGGCTACACGAAGCGCAGTGTTTCTAGTTCGGGAATGTTTGTGGGCTATTGTCTTGGTATGTTCCGACCTCGAGCCTGCCGAGATCTTGTCTCACGAGCCTCCCTGTACCTCCTTTGACATACATGCTCTCCCACCGAAATGTCCCACACTCATTGAGACCTCTCTGGCTAACCTGATCATCTTCTTCAACGGTCAAAAGGCAACTTCGTCGGCCCTCTTCTCTTCAAGCGCAAAGACGCACCGGGCTACGGCCCCGGATTCCTCGGTGTGGTCGTCACATCGGCCGTCGCCGCCGGTCTAGTGCTGGTCTACCGCTTCCTGTGCGTCTGGGAGAACAAGAAGCGCGATAAAGCCGGCACGCTCGAAGCATTCGAGCACGCTTACGAGGACGACTTGACGGACATCAAGGTAAAGCCCAACTACATTCCTCCTTCCGGGCCCCCTTCCCTTTCCGTTTCATACCATACCCCAGGCAGGCCAGGCCAGGCTAGAAGGCTGACGTGTCGACTTGGTCACATAGAACCCGCAGTTTCGATACCAACTCTGACCGCGAAGCACAGTACATTCGGAGTTACTGTGTAGACTGCGCGCGGCCCCCTTGCATGATCACCGGGCACGCACAGCATAGGTCGAGGTCAACGTCTCTTCAAGTACGAATATCCGTAGGTAGCTATGCAGGATTCAATCTATACCAATGCCTACACCCATCGCATAGGGGAACTGCCAAAAACTACCCCTCTCGCCGTACCTCACCGCGATCCGATCCAGACACTTGCGCGGCACGACACACCCGCCATACTCATGCGACTAACGATACCAACTTCAAGCCCAAGCACGCTCTCCCAATCATCAACCTATATCTCGTCGTCATCATCGTCATCAGCCCCGTCCGTCTTCACCTTTTGAGTCCCAGGAGGCTTAGGGTAATTGCTCATTTCGAACTCCTCCCTACCAGACATCGCCATGGCTTGTCTGGCCGTCGGACTCTCTTCCAAGAAGTCTCTTAGCCGCCGCTTCCCCTCTTCAATGGCCTGTTGTGACGCGGCGTTGGTCATCTTCAACATCGGACCCCACAAATTCAGTGTATACGTGACGTAGGCCCCGACGGCAAGGAGGATCAAGAATATGAAGTACACCGGGTTCCTAAGCACTATTGCGCAGACAGACGTGTTAGTTCATCGCACTCCAGACTGTGAAAATGGACACCTAAAGGGTCTTCTTACCAGCAACGATCTCGTTCCAGCCAAGCGCCAGCAACAGCCCGTAGAAGTATAACGGGACCTGCGTCATGCCGCCAATCGCACTACGCTTGGCCTCGACGTAGACCCCATCAGCAGCCTTCTTGAACCTAACCGTCAGGTCTTGCCTCTTGGCTTCGGTGAGGATGGTGGTTTCCTCCTCTAAACTCTTGCCTTCCTCCTCGTCGACGCCCCCAATCGGTGTCAGATCTTCTTCGTCCGCAGCCGTGGCGGCCGCTGGCGTAGGACCGATCCAACGATCGAGTGGAGGCGGCGTGCCGGACTCAGAATGTCGAAACCGTGAAAGCAGCGGAATCAGCGTCAACGTGCTCTCTCGGGCGCGGGTGTACACGCCTTCGATGTCGTCCGTGGGCCGCCATATCCTGGGCACGCCAGCCTCGTCGTATCGGAATTTGTCCTCGAAGTTCTCACGAAGCTTAAGTAAGAGATTACCTTCCATCATTTCTTCGTCGATCTTCGAGCGCAGCACGGCCCAGGATTTGCGTCGTAGCCGCCATCGTCCAACCTCGACTTCTTCGGCACTAGCGTCAAATGAAGCTGCTCGGTCGGCGAAGCGTTTCTCTGCCTCTTGGACTGTCGAGGTGAAGAGCGCCCATATTCGGTCCCAGATGGCCTTTTCTGTTGGCTTGTCGCCATGTTCCGGGGCTCCGGAGCCACCACGACCGGAGCCTAGTGCGTTGAACTCGAGTCCAATGCTGTCGTTAAGCTTGCTTCGAACCCATCTTTCGACTCTGGTGGCTAACCTGCGCATTTCGTCACGTCGTAATTGACCCGACACTTTGTCCAGATCTTTTTGATACAGAGTGGTTTCCTGTCTGTAATTTGACCATGGCAAACCTTCGATGATACCTTCTTTCGCGATTGACTCGAATTTCTGCAAGGCAATTTGTTTCTGCTCCTTGACAATCTCGGCAAAGTCGTATGAAGCACCTTTCTTCTGACCAGCTTTGACGGCACCACTAACAGCATCACTAAACTGCTGGACGCCATTTTTGTGTGCAGCGGTGAGTTGGCCAGCAAAGAGCGCCTTGAGTCTCGCGTCGGTCTTGCTTTCCAGCTCTGTCCGCTTCCGTTGGTAGACTCCCTTGTGATATCTGCCAGCCTCTGTCTCAAAGCTCTTGATGGCTTCAGATCGGGCCGTCCTCATAGCGGCGCCCAGACCGGAGATGATTTCTGCTGAACCTGTCTTGGCTGAATCCGCTTGCTGGGTCTCGAGAGGAGTGATAGTATCGTCGAAGTGCACCATGACCTCTCTCATGATCTCGTCGCATCTGAATTGAGCCAGTAGTTCCTGCTGTGTAGGAAGATCGAGATCCTTGTTGTTCACTATTTGATCCCAGATACCCTCTGCATAATGCGAAAAGCCATCCGCCGGAATCCTTCGATGATATTCAGGGAGAAACACTCCACCCTCAAATTCGCCCAGCAGCGCATCTCTTCGACGATCTCGGTGTCCCTCCCGGAAACGGGTTGCCATCTTCGCGACCTCTGCTTTGAACTGATCCGGCTGGTAGAGCTTGTGCGGAAGTGCCGTGAACGCAAAATCAAAATAGTCGTCGATACTGCTCTTTTCCAAGCCTTGCGGTTTTGATAGACTCTGCCAGATCCGGCCCATATCCTGCATCAATGTATTTCGTAGGTTTTGTAGCGGTGTAGTTCCCAAGAAATCTCGAATCACAAAATATAACAGGCTGCGTGACGTCGACTTCCTGTCCTTCAAAAACAGCTGTAAGTTGACCTCGAAGACCGTTTTCAAGAGACCCATATTAGCGCCCTGGTACAGCCCGACTTGGTGCTCCCAGATATTGACCATCAAGACCTCACTCGTGGCCAACGCGAACAACGAGCTCTTGCGTTCGAAATCCTGATCCTCGCCCCTTTCTCGCCCATCCGTACCTTCAACATCCATCACCAAGATATTGTCCGCCATGTCTGTCTGCGTCCTCTTGTTCTTAGACAACCATATACCTTTGGTCGTCTGTCGGCGTTCTGCTTCCGACATGACCGAGAAGTCGGTACCGAAGAGGCCATTAAGGAGGGTCGATTTGCCGGTCGACTGCGATCCGAAGACAGAAATTAGGTGGTAGTTGAATCCAGAATGAGAAACACCCGCATAGTTCAGATACTTGGATAAATCCTGGCTTTAGAAAGCGGTCAGCACTTGACATCGCCGTTAGCATACCGAGATGCACCCACTTGAACTCTTTGTCTTCATCAATAACCTGTACACCATGCTCGAAATTGGCCTCGCCGTTCTGACCGGCGGACGCAAAATGGCCGTTGACCGTCATCTTGTCAGGCGCAGTGTATGCGCGATTCGTAGGGAATGGCCTCGGCGCCGTCGTCGTCGAGATTGATGGCGACCGAGGAGAAGAGAGACCCGAGGCCGCCATGATGGCAAAGGGCAGGAAATGATGCCCGGACTAATCAAAATTGCAGTTCAGTGTATGGTCAGAGACATCATCTGGACAGGGTCATGGCCAGCAATGAAGTTCTGCGTTTGGCCAGTGGGAAGGCGGCGTTGAAGTCGTTGGCTTGGAGAAAATGGGATGATGGGTGTGGCGGTGGTGCCTCGAGGGCATCTGGCCTTTTACAGGGGTATGTCACGAGCGGCCAGCACTTTAGCTCATAGGGGGCATAGGGGGCATCATGGGCACCTGGTTACGACCCCCTGCTGACACTCTTGCCTAGGACCGCCCCGGCTCGCTCTCCGTGGCGCTAAACCAGCCAACAACTTTGAACTGCCATGGTTTGCACTTTTCGACTCAAGCCTGGTCCAGATGCCCGTTCTACCCACGGGAACACACTGTGGCCGTTACAAAGGATCCTGCAGACACTGATGAATTGCTACTATGCTTTCAGAAGGCGTCTCCAGGCTAAGAAACTGCTACTTTACGTGGTCATGGAGTTTGAGAAGCCCCCAGCTGGGTGGCTTTCTCCTCTATCCTCAATCCAACGACCCAGATCCATTGTAGGCCAGGTAGGAGACAGGAGAAATGCCCAGAAGTTTGGCTGCTGATCTGTTCCAGACGCAGATGAGGATAGGGTCGACAACAGATGGAATCTTGGTTATACAACAACCGTCTGCTTCGATATTGGAAGTATAAAAAGACCAGCAACGAACCAGACCAGCCTGAATTGTGATCTTTCTTTCCATTTGTGCCCATGCTGAATATGTACAGTTCGAGAGTGTGAGTTGAAGCGCGAGAACTATCATCCGATCTACAGCTTCACCACTGGTCATGATGGCTGGTTCGCCTGATCTTTTCTGATGCCCACATCCTTCTCCCACGGATACACAACCGTTCTGTTGTCCGCAAAGAGCTGCTTGTCTCTGAGATGAATGGGCGTTTGACCCTTCGGGGTGTCGGGAATGGTCTTCTCAAGTCCCTGCTGGTCGTCAGTTTAATGAGCTTAAATCCTGAATCACTGCAGATCTTTCGCATGTTGCGAATATGACATACAAGCTTCTGGAAGACACATCTGTTCATTACACGCTCCGGTCTCCGACACTGCCATAATTGGTGGTTGTTGTTCTCCAGACAGCTCCAGTGTGCTCGAAATTCCTCGAGGCAGTTCTTGTTTATGTCGTCCAGTCTGTTTCGAGTAGCATATCAGCTTCTGACCCGTACCAAGTGTACTGCTTCAATTTTCCTGCTCTTGGAAATATACTAACACGCTGGCTGCGCATCTCGTCACTTTCCGGCCTTCCTTCATACAATCCAGTTCTCCTCGCCCGTACGATTCGGTCTTGCACTTCATATAATCATCGTTGTAAGGTCGACATCTAGCGCCAATAAAGAATGATGCGCTCATTAAAGGTGCTGAAGTGGCTCCGATCTCTTTCACTTTGGGTATGTGGTCGGGCATAGGCGTCGTGTCGACCACGACGCCGGTGCTGAATCTGCATGACAGTCAATCGTAACGCCCGTCTACCTGCACCGCTCTTTCTCTTACCTTGCCTCGCGGTCTGCCATATTTGCGGGTGTTAGATCACGTCAACAGCACCAACTGACACCACAATTGACTACTGGCTGAGGCATGGAGGCTCATAACGCAGTCATTTGCGGAGCTCGAGATGCCAAGCTTGGAGGTCCTTTAGCTCGCCTAATTAGGAAACGCAGGCGCCGCCCTAAGTTGCGAGTAGCGACCTCTGACGACTCCGGTTCTGAAAAGGTTTTGCGACTTCTGCCCGCATTACCATCCTCCGACCAGATTGTGGTAGTCTTCCAAGATGTTGGAGTCTCTATCTCTCATCTCTGCATGGGTGTTAGCACAGCCCAAAGTGATATCCGACCCCCTTTCATGAGACAGTACCAAGCGACCTTCAAATTCAACATCGTGGTACCAGCAATAGGAAGAACGCTCGCCAGCTGGCAGCCATGGCAGAAGCCACCAAGGCTGAAAAGCTAATATGCAAGACTCTACGGTAGGCGTATCTCTGAGTGTTCCGCTCTTTGGGCGGAAAGTCAGAAAGTCAGTAAGTCCGCAGGTCCTCAAACCCGTTTTCTAATAAAATGCAACTGCTACCTTCTTCCTCTCGCACACCTTTTCAATCTGTGGACAGACCTAATCATCCGGAGCTCGCCATTCTCAAAATTAGATCGCTCGGACATTTCGATAGATGACCACCATGAGAACAACTAAAGAACCCAGCCCTTACGAAAGCTCGAAGCATGTGCTATCCTGATTTCGGGTTGCCAGCCTCGGAGCTGCTTGGCTAGAAAGAACTATCGCCGTGGTATTCACTTCTCTCTTCACGTTTGTTGTCACAGTAATTTTGGGCGAATCCCTTTCTCTCCCGCCACCGACGAAGTGCCAGCGCAGACAAGTTGGCACCCCTGTGGTCGACGACAAGCCATCCACGACTCTGACCAACCTACCAACGGAAATTATTCTGCACATCAACTCATGTCTACCGCCACAATCCAAGATCTGTCTTGGTCTGACTTGGAAGTCTTTTTGGGCAGCTTTGAACAAAGAAGTCGAGCTCAAAATACCAGTCCCAGAAGAGAAGTCCCTACTCCTCAGGCTCCTGGAAAGGGATCTACCTAGTCGAATCCTCTGTTTCCATTGCAACAAGCTCTATTGCTGGAAGATTTTCCGTGGAGGAGTTCTCGGACTACAGATGCCCGCTTCGAGGACATGGCATAGAGCCCAGATATTCCCTGGCGACTTGCACGAGTCTTCGGCATCTCCATCCCCTGCGCCGTGAGATGGTCGATGCTTTTTTGAGAGGGTTCGAATTTGGACCAGTCTACGGCCCGCAACTGTCCGAGCTTGCCCACGAGTGCGAACCTCGCTGTTTTTGGAACGACCATGTCGCTAGTAAATTCGAAGCCCGTGTGGTTCAAGGCAAGCTGATTCTCCATGCAACATATCGGAAGTTTATCCGATTACCACTTTACGATCCGGCTACGCAAGATCCGGACAATTCAAACATCTCTTTGTCCGCCGCGATTCCGAGGAGTACTTACATTGACATTGACAATTTTAACCGTCTCGGCTGTGTTCACTGCATATGGACTTTGCCTGCTGTTATCATGCATACAATCAAGTATCTGGATTGCTATCCGCCGGGTAGAGCAAGGTCTGATCTCGTGAGTTGCGTGAATTGTGCAACAGATTTGCGTGTCCGAGCCATACCAGAAGGGGACGAAATTAGGGTTGCAGTGAATGTTTGGCATTGCTTCGGCGATCGCATAGGGATGGACGCCATGGAGAAGGCATTTTTCGAGAGGTCGAGATGGACTCATCAGCGCGATCTTGATGAAAGGATGGTTCCGACCCGCGACCTAGAGCGATGGTACGAAGATGGGCCTGGGCAGTTCGTGTTGCGTGAAACCGAGGGCCAGCGAAGCTGGCTTCAAGCGTGGCGATGGCATTATGACCGCAATCGTGTTGTGGTGCATTGCTGCTATGGGCCTGACGGTGCCTTGACACCGTGACTGGATTTGTACGACCAAGACAGCGTACTGTGCAGCCGGGCAACAGCTCGGATACCAGTCTACAGAAGCCAATTTCCTGTCTTTTTTTCGTTCGGACATGTGCCGGTGCCAGGCGGGCTGAATTATTTCTTCGAGACAAGCATTCACCAATGTCATATTGTGCCACTTCTTCTGTCTATAGTTGGCCGGCAAGGAGAACCTCATTGGGACTCCTCAAGCACAGCCTCGATTATTGAATTGACACTTCCAGGAGGTTTGGTCACTTTGACTATCTTCAGTCTTGGATCAGCCCTGGAGAACAGACTTCGCCAATCATCGATCTCTCTCTCTTTTGCATTGAAACTTGTCATCATTTCCAAGTCCATCACTCTACCAGTGTTGTCAGCAAAATCGCTCTTCAAAAGATCTTGTGCACGGGAACCGAGACGTACCGGATTTGACGCTCTTCGCTCGGGGCCATGGTTCCTGGCTCTGGCAAAACCCCGTCCATCACCAGTAGTTTTGATGTCGATTTGAACGCGGGAAGCAGGCTCTTGAGGATAAGCGTTGCATGAGTGTCGGAATAGTCATGCAGAATGAACCGAAGAAGGTACACGTCTGCGCCATAGACGGGCTGAGGTGTGAAGAAGTCGTGTGCTTGAAACGAGATACGGTCCTTCAAATCCGTGGGAAGCGCTGGCTCACCTGCCGCGACGATGTCGGGAAGATCTTGTACCACGAACTTGAGATTGGGGAATTTCTCTGCGAGTCCGATGCTCATATGACCAAAACTTCCGCCAACCTGACTTCTACTTAGCAAACCTCAATGTCAAGGGGTCAAATCGAATCAGACCCACATCAACCACGGTGCCGTCGGTCAAGTCTCCCCAAGGATACCCTTCTACCAAGTGGCGAATGTTGTAGCCATCTGTGCTCGTCAGCGCCTTCATGGTTTCTGCGAACCTCTCAGCACGGTCCGGGTGACTCGATAGGTACTGGAATATCGGCAGGTCAGTGTCATAAGCAATGTTCCAACCACAATGATTCTTTTCTTCGGAGGGCCCCCATTTCTCGGTTGCTTCGACCACCTTGGCCGACGCCGGGAACGACTCTCCCAATGTATAGCCGACCCAATTCAGCGTTCCCTTGTCTCGTACGAGAGCGCTCGACGCTGCCGTATGAGCCACGAAGCCCACACGAGGTTCGCAGAATATCCTGTTCGTCATGGCTTGCCGCAGGACTCTTTTGAGGCGGCCTTCATCCACACCGGCGTCCTTTGCAACGTCTGCGAACTTCTTCTGGCCATCCAAAGGCACGAATTCCGCGATTCGGAAATGATAAATCCATCGAAGACTAGAACAGTCGTGATACTGGCACCGTCAACCCCGCGCGATCAAGCGTTGTTTGCGCAATCAGAAAACATACATTGCACGAGAGCCATCTTATATGCTCGCTAGGGCCAGTCGACAACATGTACAGCTCTTGTGCAGCTTCTCGCAGATTCCGCCGTGCGATCTGAATGTCCTCCGGCATATCGGGCATGTCAAGAGGGGCATCTTTGTCGAATGATGGTTCTACAATGCCATTGGATGAGAGAAACCCGGTCAAGATCGACGTAGCAGTAGAAATCTGCTTCGCCAGATCCTGCATGTGCGATGGTTGGGACATAACTGTGGTGTTGGATAAAATAATCCTGTGCACAGCTGCTCTCGCAGGGGAACCAGTAGGGAGATTTTCAAGGTGGTTCGAGGTAGGAGGAAGGTCGATGCGTTGTCTCACGATACTTGCTAACCATTGGGCCACGGGCAGTTTCGGCAAGTACTCGTGGGAGATATCACCTGTGTGACCACGTTCTCAAGCTGTTCTCAGTTAAAAGGTCCACTTATGCAGCTCTTAAATATGCACGCATTCGGAGCCTGGTGGCCTTGTACTCGCCCAACCTTGCTATCCATTCATATGGCTAGTGCGATACACCAGGAACGACGCCGGCAAAGCCATGCATACCTCGTCGCCGTCGGCCAAGGTCAAGCAATGCGCCTTCTGTCCATTCAGAGATGCACAAGAACTGTATGGAGTTCCGGAAGTCAATGCCCATGCCCGTGATTTTCCGCTACTACCTAGGTACTGATCGTCCCCGTCAAGAGGTGCCAACCAGGCTCATCAGGCTCATCCGTCCCGTATCCCTAGACTTCCCGCTCCCTAACGCAGCCTTCTTTCATATGCAATTTAAAACATCCGTCTCGCCCCCCTCACAAACCCTGTGATCTCATCATCAAAACATTGCAGTGATGGCTGCTCACCCTGCCGACGATGTCGCTGTTGCAGTGGAGGCAAGTGGAGTCCATGGTGCTAACATGTATACTGTTGACGACTCCCGCTCAGGAAGTTTCAGAGGATGCCGATTCTGCTTATGGAGGAGACGAATTGTATGCCCCCATCGGAAATGCCCAATGCATGCCACTTGAGTTCCTGAAACCGACGCTCGTCATTCTAGGGCAAGTTATACCAGCTCGCTGAGCTACAGTGCCACGAGTTACAACTGGGAGCATGGCCGGCGGTATCACAGTTTCAGAGAAGGGAGTAAGTCCTTGACCAAATCGGAGTTCCAGGAGAAGCAACACTGAAGCACAGTCAACAGCGTATAACTTTCCCAACGACGAGGGAGAGCAAGAGCGGTACGATATGATGCATGAGGTGTTTCTGACCGCAATGGAAGGCAAGCATTTCTTGGCTCCATTGCAGGAAAGTATCGGCCGGATTCTCGATATTGGCACAGGGACTGGCACCTGGGCCATGCAAATCGGTCCGCCACCACACAGTCATTGCGTTTCAGAAACATTCGCTCACTTGTTTTGGCTTGAAGGCGACATGTTCCCTGCCGCTCAGGTGGTAAGACTGTTTCTCTGTCTAGCACGGTCGGTGCTTACCAGGTATTTTGTGGCCTAGATTGGCAACGACCTCAGTCCGATCCAGTCACAGTGGTGCGAATGCCTCATCCAGAACGTTGATGCGTGGCTGCACCGATGTCCTGACGAGAACATCCAGGGTTCCTCCCAACGTCTCGTTCGAGGTGGACGACGTCGAGTCCGAGTGGCAGTACTCGCAGCCTTTCGACTTCATCCACTCACGGTATATGGCTGGGTCCATCGCGGACTGGCCTCGTTTGATGCGTCAATGCTACAAGTTGAGTTCCCATTTGCATTTGCATTTGCATTTCTATTTCCATTTCCATTTCAATTCCCTCCCTCTCTCTGCTTGCATAGCACAGACTTCGTCCGTATCGTCCTGTGCTGCAATCTCACCAAACCTGAACTGATCTCTTAGCAATCTGAGGCCGGGTGGATGGGTCGAATTCCAAGATTTCGATCTGCACAATTATTCCCAAGACAATTCGATTCCGCCGGACAACAAAGTCAAGGAATGGTATGACACGCTCCTCGAAGGTTGTGACAGAATTGGAAGGACCGCTTCTCCCGGGCCACGTTTGGAGATGTGGGCTCGCGACGCCGGATTCGTGAATATCCAGCACAAGAAATTCAAGTTGCCGTTGGGTCCATGGCCCAAGGATAAGACATTGGTATTGAGTGCCGCGATGGCCCGGGCAAGACCAGGCTTTGTGTTGCCTTGCACTTTGCTAACACACTACCTCATTCTGATAGAAACGAGTCGGCGCGCTTAATTTGTATCAGCTACTCGAAGGGCTCGAGGGTCTGACGCTAGCACTCTTCACGAGAGCATTGGGATGGTCTGTGGAGGCGATTTATGCCTTCCTGGCCGGAGTGAGGCAAGATGCGATGAAGAAAGGAGTACACATGGTTCATGATTTGTAAGTGAGCGCTCCAAGCTCGAGATGTATTGGGTGCTGATGGACGGCTCTTCGTGGTCTAGCCATGTCGTGTATGCGCAAAGACCTGTGTCCGAGGGGTCCTGACGATGGAGTTCTCAGATGGCTTGAGTATGTCATTCGGTGGACGATCAGGGACGGCGAATCAATTGAAAAGCGATGATTATGAATTTATGGGAGGAACATAGGATCGCGAAATGGGCATCAGCGGTCCATAAAAGTTGTTGTTGTTTATGACAGTCATGTGTAGCTTGTCAAAGGAAGAACCGGGACAAGTAACAACAGCGCTTTTTACTGCTGTCTACGTACCTGAGGTACTGTAGCCTCAGGCGAGAAATCTGTCCTCCGTGTTCTCCTTTTGATTAGCCGCTCGCCATTTTGCTCACCTTCCGCTCAACTGCTGTTTCCTCAGCATTCAGTCCTCCCTCTCCCTCTTCGTTCACACAGCCAAGGTGGCCAGGGTAAACTTCTTGAGTAGCCCTTCTGACTGTTCTACTGTATGATTTCAAGCTGAACAAAGTCCCCTAGCCAGCCACTCAAGCTCGAGCCAACCAATGCCCAGGAATATAGGCGTCTTGGTGTCCGTATGCGACGTCCAGAAGTTTATTCGACATCATTGTTGAGTTGATCCGTGATCCCACGTATCAGCAGGAAGTTTGATTTCACTTTGGCAAAATCCAGAACTCATCATGTTTCCAGGCGCAATACCTTCTTGACACTTCTCTAGTACTGGACGTCCATGCGTGGCGCATTCGAATCAATCTGAACACTGTTGATGCCAAGGGACGGCTGATGCCAAGGTGCGGCTGATGCTCAAGGGACAGTTTTGGCTCATCGTCGATTTGATACCAGCATTGGAATAACTGGTCGGTCAGCAGAAATGCGGAGGTTTTACACCATCTGGAGCATCGCACAGCGTCTTGTTGATTGAGGCTGGTTCCTCCTCAACACACCACCATGTCTCATTCGCCTAGTCTAACCGCTAGCCACATCGGCGAGGCGGATAGCGTTTGGCGATGTGAGTGTCTCGACCCCCGGAGACAGGTGGTGAGCTTGGAGAGGGTATTAATTCAGCGCGCTGTCACTGTCTCTCGTGCACAGGGTCCAGGAGTCGCCCAGTACATGCGTGGACACTATTCCCATCTCTTTCAGCCGGACACCAACCTTTGCGGGCATTCCATTTACCGTATCTTTGCGCAAGAATGCCAGAGTCTATCATCAAAACCCTGCACTTTGAGAAGAAGGCCAGTGGTTGGTTCGATCCCCCGAAACAGGCCTTCGATGTACAAGGTGAGGTCGTTTTTTCAGCGGTACGTGTGACTGTGGCTGGAGATGCCGACGACAGAAATCACCAGATCAACTTGTTCTTGTCTGTTGCACCAAATGATACCTATGTCAACAACATCAGCGCTGTGGTGCCGGACAAGGACCCATCCATCAGGGGAGTCATGGCGCTCTCCCGTCTGGTGCCGGGCTGGGTGTACAATCTTAATCTGACCGCCGACGGATTCTCCGCCGACGAGCATGTCTTGATCACGGTCGAGCTCCTCGAGCTGGACTCAACCGTTGCAGATGTCACGCGCGACATTCTCAGCGACGCCGAGTCAGAGGGGTCAGGTGTCAATGCTCTCGCTTTTGGCTTTTCCGAAGCGTCCTTCGCGCATCTCATGGGACCCCCGAGAAGCATGCCCGAGGTGGAGATTGGACCTGTACCTTTCCTCAAGGTCAGGCTGAGCATGGAGTCGCTGTGGTTTCCGTGGTATCCCATCGTATATATTGATGTGTCCGCCGCGGAGCTCGTCGTCGCGGGTCATCTGCAGCTCGCTTTCTACCGCACCATGGACCCGGCGCCATACCCGAAACCCGTCGCTGTGTTCTTGACGCAAGTGTCGGTACGTTGTAGGCCAGCCATGGTCACGACGACCGAAGACACCCTCGAGCTCCAATTTCGGTCCGCCAAGCTATTGGGCTCGCTCTCCATCGATATCCAGGATGCAAGCGCGGCGACTGGCGTCCTGGGCGGCGGGTTTGCGAGTATCGACGAGTTCAAGGAGGAGGTCAACGACTACCTGAAGCAGATAACCAGCAAGACAGGGGCTCTCGGCTTCGCCCTTCCGGCGTACCTCGAGTCTCGACCCTTGCCCGATTACTGGCACCGCGTGCTCAACATGAGGTTGAATTTCCTGGGGTTCAAGTACAAGACGGTCCAGGTTCATGGCCGCCCCATCTCGTATTTATTCATTGTCTTCTCCATGAACAGTCTGGGCCTGCCGCCGCCCTGTTATTGCGAGGAACCATCGCTGGTGCAAGGGGCATCGGAGATGGACGACAACTCGACCCCGACCGTTTTCGAGGCTCTCCAGCAACAGGCAAAGCAAGGGCGGCCGCTGCCGAAGGGGTGGAACAAGGTGGTGACGCAAGAGCACACCGACTATACCGAAATACTGGGGGCGGCGCAAGTCGCAGCCTTTGGGATGAGCCAGAAGACGTTCCAGGAGGCCACGAAACCGTACGCCAACTTTGGCGACGACCAGAACTCGTCGACGTCGATCAACGCGGCCATATACGCGGCGGTGCGCTTCTGGTACCGCGTCTCGCTCAAGACTGCCGAGATCAAGGCCGACGGCATCAAGGCCGTCATCGATCTCACGGGCGAGGGGTCCGCTAAGGCCGCTGTGAGGGACAAGTGCGGCCACGACGTGCTCCGCGCAAGCGAGCGCCTACGCATCACGCTCCAGAACAACTCCATCACGTGGCGGCTCAACATTGGCGTCAACAACCCAAACCCCAGAGAGATGACCATCGCCGCCGTCGCCGAGGCGCGCGTGGGCGACCCCGATGTCGAGCTCGACCTCGCTGGGGGGCCGCCGCCACCTCTGGACCAGGCCATCAACTGGGTCATCGAGCAGATTATCAAGGGCACCAAGAGCAGCCTGGGCAGGATGGCATCCGACCAGTTAAGCATCCGTCTTGTCCGCACCGTCGAGGACAACGGCGCCATTCGCTTGCGGTTTGTCGACAATAAATTTTTTGCCGGCCAGGCTGCCGTGCTGCTAGGCCGCCTCTGGTCCCAGAGTTGGAGCTAGATTTCTTGAGTCGTTTGCGTCGAAACTGCGTTGCTGGAGAAAACCCAACCCGTCAATTCTTCGTGTGCTTCGGGAAAGCTGTGTCGGTGAAGAGAACGGTGCTGTAGTTAGTTAGGGGTAAGGTCACAGGCGCAGAGACTTTGTCTCAGCGTCAAAGGAGCGTCCTCAATGGGACCGTTGGACAAATTTGTACGCCAAACTAGGTCAAGTCCATAATTGAAACAGCGGTACGGAATACTTACGGAAGAGGTGTCGACTCCCTCTGCAATGCTTTAGTGTAAAAGCTGATAATTCCCCCTATGTTGTTCCACGGCTACAAGCCAAAGTACACGTTTAGAGGAGATGAACCTTATATATGACCTTATATTTAAGCCATAGCGATGCGAGAGTGTGATCGACTAGGACCATGGATAGGGCACATTAGGGTTTTCGTTCTCGAGTAATATGGGTAGATGTCCGATGATTCGACACCAAGACCACCTATCGACAACCTGTGGAGAATTCATTGGAGTTCGAGCAAAGCACTACACGGTCATGACCATCCAGTCTCGCCAGTGGTAACATACCACCAATGCGGAGAGGCGTAAGCACCGCTTCCCATGGGAGTCATCAAGTCATACAGGTGAACCTCCAGCTAGGATAGGCACTGGTATGTAAGCGTGTCGATCCTCTCTTCACTGTTCGCACAGCCTCACCAGCCTCACCTAGGTAGTGAGAACCTCATAAGGCCCGAAGTCAGCCAAACAATAACTCCTCCGTACATTCTTCTCATTCTATGTCATTGTCATTGTAAAGCGCATCGTGAGTACTCTACTCCGATTTTGACTTGGGGAGCATCAAGAACAAAACGGAACGGATACAGAACACCTCCCTGTCCTGTCCGGTCCGGTCACTCGCTTGCGCACAATCTCTCTAACCGGCAGCACAGCCAGGCCAGGCCAGGCCAGCCCATATCGATCATTATTCATATTCGCATCTATATTCATATTCCTGTCCTGAGGATCAATCTACACCATTTACGCACAAACTACTCTGTGAGTTGGTTTAAGACGTACAGTGTCGTCCTCCAGGGGCAACACCGGGTCGCCAGCCCATGCCCACGACAACATCCTCCTCCACTTCCTTCCTCCACGGCACCGCCATGCTAGTACTCTGAGGCTCAGTCGACCCATCCCACACCGACACCGACACCACACCAACACCAACACCAACACCAACACTACCACCGACGAAAACCGCCCTCAACGCCTGGTGGGCCAACGAACATCTCCGCGAACGCCTGGCCATCCCGGGCTTCCACCGCACGCGCCGGTACTACACCCACACCCACACCCAGACCGACTCAAGTTCAAGGTCAAGTCCTTCTTCATCACGACCGTATTCGCAATCTTCGCAATCGCAGTACCTCGTCACCTGCGAAGTCTCATCCCTCTCAACACTGACATCTCCCTCGTACATGTCCGCGCTGAACAATCCGACCCCCTGCACGGATCGGTTCATGCCCGTCCTCGCGTCCATGAACCGCTCCGCATGCCGTGTGCTGTACTCGGCCGCGCGCGACGACTTCAGCACTTGACTGATTCTAAGACTAGTACTAGTACTGGCACTAGCAGTAGCAGTTCATGTTCGATGACGGGCATCGGCGCCACAATCGCACATATCGTATTCCAACCCCCCGGCCTGGGTGCCGGCGAGAGCGTGACTTCCGAAGCACCCAAAAGCGACAACCTACGCAAGTGGATCGAGGACGTCGGATGGCCGAGCCTCGCCGCCGTTTGCGACTCCCCTGGCCATGCATCTGCTCGAGCATAACGACGAAGCTACCAAGGCCGGCAGCGCTACGAAATCGTACGAGCAAGTACGACTTCAGACGAACCCTGACGAGGCCGAGGGCGAGTGCAAAGGCCGGTGGATGTTGTTGATTGAGTTGCGGAGCCGATGGACGCTCCGTCTAGGAAGGCGTCAGCGCTGACGGGGACGGTTGTGGATAAATTGGACGAAATGGACGCGAAGGATCTTGACGTGAGGTTGTATGGATTGATATGTACCGTCAGCGAGTAAACTGTGGATTTTGCATTATTCTGCCATCAGGCTGTACTATGTTTAAAGTACCAATGCAAGGCTCATATCATGGCCTGACTATCCGAGGTGACGGCTCATTTCGTGATTCTGAACCTTACCTCGTCTGATTTCAGACGGTCACAGAAGACCTCGAGCATATTAACTTCAACCTTCGTGTAAGGACGTTGTATCGCTTTTGAAGTTTCCAATATCGTTGAGATAGTCCGGGTCTGCAGAGATCTACATTAGTACGCTGGGTACGAAATCATACAACCGTGGCTTACCAGTCTTCTGCTCGACGATGAATTTCTGCGTCTTGCTAACCAGGCCCGTCAACTCCGAGATGGTTTCATGCAAATGCAGCCGGACTTTTTCATTCCGCTTTGCCGCACCCTTGATCGCCTGCATGGCAACATGATAGCGACTCGTCCCATTGACAAGCATCATATTGAAAGGTGTCGTTGTTGAGCCTTCCTCATTGTAGCTTGCCATGGTGACTCTGTCCAGATTCGGTCGGCCGAAGAGTAGACCCTTCAATTCATTGGCATAACCGTGATAATTGAAGTGAATGGGGACATCAGAGGTAAATAGCGAGTTGAAGGCCTCATTTGTCAATGCGTGAGGATGGCTGCTAGCCTGTCCCAGAATCATGAGGTCGGTGACATTCACGACCCGCACACGCAGATGTGGCACTTTTTCCCTGAGCAAAGCTGCAGCAGCGATCACTTCAAAGGTCAATTCTGCGCCAATGCCGACGAGCACAACATCTGGGTCAAGTCCTCCATCGGTGGATGCAAACTTCCAGACTGACGCGCCTGCTCTGCAGTGATTCTCTGCTTCGTCGGCGGACAGGAAAACTGCTGAGGGCTGCTTCGAGCCAACCATCAAGTTGACGTAATTCTTGGAATGCAGGCAATGCGCCATGGTAGAGAGGAATGTGTTCGCGTCCGGAGGAAGATAGACTCGAGCTGCGTCAGGTTTGAGATTCAGCACTGCTCCAATGAAGCTCGGGTTTTGGTGCGAAAAGCCATTGTGCTCTTGTCGGGTCCAAGTGGACGTCTCGAGGTAGTTGATACTTGCAAGGGGTTTGCGCCAATTTGATTCATGGGCCATTTTGCCGAATTTTGCATACTGCACCATCATAGTATGTATGATTCCCAGGAAAGCCTCATAACTAGGAAACAACGCTGTACGTCCAGTGAGCGTATAGCCCTGCATCCAGCCTTGACACTGATGTTCTGACAGAGTCTCAATGAGTCGTCCACCCTGAGCATTGCTGAACTGGTCCCATTGGAAATTTCTGTTGGTGGAATTCAAGACTGTGTCAAGCTTGTTGGACTCGAACTCGTCAGGAGAGAAGATTCGGAATGTCTTGGGGTTGTCCTTGATGACCTGCTCAAGCAACTTGCCCACCGTCTTCATACTGCTTTCTGAGCTGCCTTGTTGGACCTCGAACTTCCGCCAATCAATCGGCGCAAGCCCTTGGTATGGATCATAAGTCGTCTTGTTCTGGCCGAGACGGCGTTCCGGCTTCTCTGGGATGATGCTTCTGATCTCATCAATCACATCACCATTCTCTTTGAAGAGCTCTCTTGGTTTGTAGGACTCTAACCAGTTTTGGAGTATCTTGAGTTCTTCTTCATCTTTCTTTGCAGCAGGTAGTGGGACCTGATGTGATTTATAAGACCCTTCAACGAATTGACCATGGACTTTCTTTGGACCGGACCATCCCTTGGGTGTTCTGAGGATGAGAACCGGCCATCGGGGCTTCATGATAGGTTTGCCAGTTCTTGCAGCCTTCTGGATCCTCTTGATTTCCGAAAGTGCCCAGTCTATGGAATTCGACAAGTCTGCATCGATGTCGTCGAGATCGTCTACCACCCTTGGCTGGTACCCGTAGCCTGTGAACAATGCTGCCATTTCTTTGTCATCCATACAACCGTAGATTGTGCGCTCGCTAATTTTGAAGCCATTGACATGGACGATGGGCAGTACTGCGCCTGACTCGGCGGGATCAATGTATTTGTAGCCATGCCAGGCGGTTGCAGTTGGGCCAGTCTCGGATTCTCCGTCACCAACAATGCAGGTGACGATCAGATCTGGGTTATCCATCACGGCTCCGAAACTCACGCTGAGAGCATAACCGAGCTCACCTCCTTCATGAATTGCTCCGGGCGTTTCAGCATTGATATGGCTAGGAAAGCCTCCCGTCGTACTAAAGCCAGTGACTAGCGTATGGAGACCCTTCGTGTCCTGAGAGCACTCGGGGTAGAATCTGGCCAGAGAACCTTCAATCCAAAGGTTGGCGAGTATGGACGGAGCACCATGCCCAGGTCCGACCACATAGATCATGTCCAAGTCATGCCTCTGGATAAGGAGATTGAGATGTGAGTAGACGAGTGTGAGTGTAGGGCAGGTTCCCCAGTGGCCGAGTAATCTTGGTTTTATGTCTTCGAACTTGAGATCTCTCTGTAGGAGAACGTTGTCCTGCAGGAATATCATGGCGGCGGCGATGTAGTTGGCTGCTCGTCGGTATTTGGCGATAGCATGGTTGGTCTCGTCAGCCAAGGTTGGCTTTTCGAGCTTGACCAGCAGATCGGAAACATAGTCTGGTACATTGGAGGGCGCTGGTTGAGGATTAGGAACATCGATCACTTCACCTGGCATGTTGAAAGAGGTAGTGGAACGAGCAACGCGCTTGACAATCTGGTCTGGGGAGTGGCTCTTGAAAGCTATGCGAGATGTGGAAAAGCCTGTACAGTAAGCAGCAGCAGTCAAAGAGATTCAAGACATAATAGGAAGAGGTGAGGTTGTATCATCATCAGCTCAGCGGATGACTCGGGGCCCCTCAATGTGTTGCGACACAATGATGTAGAGATTTGGCAAGACTGGAGAAGTCATGTTCGCCTTCCTCCAATAATGAACAGATTACAAGGTACCTAGGTTGGTATGATTGCGAGTTCCCTGCTCCGTATTGACTTCACCATGAATTGATTCGACGTCACTGTTAGTCTGCGATGCCGCTTGCCGCTTGTTCCTGGCATCATCCTGCAGAAGGTAAGAGGCCTTTATTGATGGCCACCAGATGGTAACTGATGGTAATTGATGCTAAATGATGGTAACATAAGGTGAGAGCGCAGCTAAACTCTCGATTCACGCACGTGGTGTGATCTCACCTCGATGCCTACAAACTGACGCCGACGCCCATCAAAGCCGCGATCTGATCCCCTGCAATTCGACGAGAAAGTCTGCCTGAAGTCTCAAACACTACCTGAACGATGCCCTCTTTTCTCATTCTGTCCATCAACGCAGGATCGAGCTCGCTCAAGACGACGCTGTACCTGGAAGAGGGGGAGGATGGAGACAAGACCTTGACCAAACTAGCGAGCGCCCAAATCACGGAAATAAACTCCTTGCCTGCGCACCTGAGATATGTCCGCGGCTCCTTCAAGTCGACCACTGAACTGCAGGATGTGAAAGACCACAAAAATGCATTCGAACATGTCCTCAATGCCTTTCTCACAGACTCCCAGATTCCTCAGGCCGCGAACAAGGAGGATATCCAATACGCTTGCCACAGGGTAGTGCACGGCGGGAGATTCGAGGAAGATCAGCTTATCACCAAGGAGACATTCGATAAGATCGAGAAGCTCTCCGATTTGGCACCACTGTATGAGCCCATTGTTGCTGAAGACCCCAGGTCATTTGCTAATTTGTGGCCAGGCACAATGCTTCAGCAGTAAGCCTCATGGTTGCCTGCCGTGATAATTTACCAAAAGTCACGAACGTCGCATGCTTCGATTCGGGATTCCATCATACCATGCCAGACTATGTCAAAACCTACGCCATAGATCAGACAATAGCACAAGAGAAGGGACTTCGCAAATACGGCTTCCATGGCCTCAGCTACAAGTACATTGCCCGGAGGATAGCAGAATATCTGGGCAAGCCAGAGTCAGAAACAACCATCATTGCACTGCATCTGGGTAGCGGAGCATCTGCTTGCGCAATCAAGAATGGGCGCTCAATCGACACCACCATGGGTCTGACGCCTGTGTCTGGGCTGCCTGGAGGCTCACGGAGCGGAGACATCGATCCCAGCCTGGTGTTCCACTATACCTCTGATGCCAGTGCTTTGAGTCCTAGCAGCACAAAAGACCTCCATATCTCGACCGCCGAAGACATCCTCAACAAACAGTCCGGATGGAAGGCATTGACCGGAACCAGCGACTTCTCCAAAATCGCTGATCCGAATGCGCCGGATACCCATAAGCTTGCTTTCAACATCTTCGTTGACCGCATCGTTGGCTACGTCGGTAACTATTTTGTCAAGCTTGACGGTCAAGTGGATGCTTTGGTCTTCTCAGGTGGTATTGGTGAGAAGAGTGCCTACCTTCGGGAAGTCGTAACCAAGAAAGTCTCTTGTCTCGGCTTCACTCTGGACGAGGGAAGAAACAACAAGGCTGCTCAAAGTGGCGATGTTGTGGATATCGGTACCAGCGACAAGATCCGTACCCTCGTGTGCGAAACAGATGAAGACCTAGAAATGGCTCGCAATGTGGCATATCATCCGGAGCGGATTGGACAAGGCGACTGAGCTTGTAAGTGCGAATAGTAGACAGGGGCTTCCGGGTTTCCGGCTGGTAGGATCCGACGACACGGACTTCCGAGCTTCTAACAGTGCTAGATTTCACTCTTTGATATCCCATAGATGCTAAGCGAACTTCGAGGCTGCATGGCTACGTCGACAACTTTTATGGCTTCCGTCCAGACAAGTGACTTATTTATTTCTCGGACGACGGACTGTCCGGCTCCGGCACATGGGCTTCTTGATGAGGCTGTGCGTCCATTTCCTCCTTCTGAACACCCCACATCAAGTTCTGGTATCAGCCAAACTGACAAATATTGCGGGATGCAAGTTTGACTGTGTCCGGCAGGTCAAGACGACTTGCTTGTCGACCATTGGTCAGCAAACATGTACAGGGCCAAAAGGTCGAAAATAGGAAACGCCATATTGACTAATCGGGCTGACTTTGCAGTTTGGCGTCCAGAAAACCTCATTTGTGGCTGCGCTTGTATTGCAACTTGCATTCTTGCAAAGTGTTCGCAATGGCCAATCTCATGTCCTTCACCCTGCCCCAGCAAGAATAATTCCAAACTCTGCCATCCTGACTACCGAATACAGCAAGCCGCATGACCCAATGTATGGACAGCTAAGCTTCACTGAAGAAGGAGAGCTTCACTGTTTTTGTCACGCACGGTCACTGGCCGAGGACGAATTCATGGTGAGGCAAATCAGTGAATAGTCAGAGGAGGCAAGTCTCGCAGGTCAACCTGGTGAGCAGCCAGTGACACCAAAGGTGGATTTCTATATATCTTCCCACTTTTCCCAGTCATCTGTCCTCTCCCACAAACCGTACTACAGCACCAGCCAGCACCATGCTCTTTCTTATTCAGGTCTTTGTCACACTCTTGCTCGTGGCAGTTGAAGCTGATGGCATCACCAAGAATGCCTACAACTGCGCCAGCTTTATGCTCCGCGTGCCTGTCAACAATGTCACTACGGTTGTGCCACCATTCCCGCCCTTCGCCAATCAATACGCCGCGACATCCTTTTCGAACTCAGTGACGGAACTACTCGTTATGCCACCGACCTCCGCCCCGGCTGCAAATCTGTCCACGCTGACCAAAACGTTCGACATCAGTGCCGAGTATTGTACACCTGCTCAACCAGGGCCAAAAGCGTCTACACTGCAAATTCTCACCCACGGACTCGGCTTCAATCGATCGTACTGGGACTTCTACGCAACTGGGAATCCGAATGATGCGGAGTATTCCTATGTCAACACCGCTACCGGTGCAGGCTACAGTACCCTGTCCTGGAACCGGCTCGGCCACCCGCCTTCGACTGTCGCAGATCCCTATACAGAGATCCAAGCAACCGTTGAGCTTGCCCTACTGGTTGGCATCACGACTCTCGCAAGAGCCGGAAATATCGCACAAATCCCCAAGCCAGACAAGGTTATCCATGTTGGACATAGCTGGGGAAGTATTTTGGGACTAGGTCTCGCAGCATCTGCACCCGATCTGTCGGATGGCCACGTGTTGACGGCGTTTTCCGATCTGACCCTGTATCAGAGCTTGTTCATTGCCAGCACAAGCTTTCGCTTCGCCAACCGAAACCAGCCTAGGCGGTTTCCGAGCGAGACCTTTTCGAGCGGCTTCCTGACCTGGCCAGACAAGTACGCCAACCAGTACTGCTTCTTCGAGTATCCGTATTTCGATCCTGCCGTACTCGACCAAGCGGAGGCCGGCAAGTACCCCTTTACCATCGGCGAATTCTTGAGCGCAGCATTTCTTCCCAGTGCTGCTCCAAACTTCAAAGGTCCAGTTCTCTACGTGGCTGCTGAAGCTGACTTGATTTTCTGCGGGTCAAACTGTACTTCTTTGTTTGGGCCGACCAGCAAAGCCGTCGAGGCCTTCAGTGGCACTTCGAGTGTCGAGACCTACGTTCAGCCGAAGGTCGGTCATGGTATTAACCTTCACATGAACGCCACCGGCGCGTATAATGTGATCATGGACTGGGCTTCACGGCACGGATTCTAAGGCGTTGATGCAAAGGGAGAGCACTGTTTTCGGTTGTGGATCGAAGAGTGATTACTCGGGGACTGGATCGATCACGGAAGCAGACTGCTAGCATGATATTTACATTGATGGAGATAATCCCGTTGGAACGGTGCGAAGGGGTCAACTACCCGAATCCAATGTCACGTGCAGTCTGCCATGCTTCATTTCGATCTTTGTCTTCATTCCTCCATCTTCGCCCCATACTGCACTGTCACCACCAGCACTCATCAAGGCTAACGCGTTCCAAGACCACGGTTTTCATGCTTCTTTGTGTTCACATCATTCGTCTATGCTATCGCTACCCTCAACGGCGCCCTCTTCAGAGCCACATATTCAGGTTTGCATAAGCGCCCTACGTCGTTTTGAAGCTGGAGAAGAGCCCATCCAGCGCTTCGAATGAAATGCGCGAATAGGGACCCTTCCGAACATAATTCCCGATTCTGAGGAGAACGCAGTGTTCAGGACTGTACTAATTGTTAATCTTGCTCGCAATTCCTACGTAGTCAATGAGGTCGGTCTAGCCTCAGGACGGCATTGTGCCGTTTCAGATGACTGCGCCTGTCAAGGTAGGGAGATTCCCCTCGTCTGCATACTTATTTGGCCTATATACAATATTTGAATACAGCCAGCCGCCTTCCCCAGGTTACACCACTCTCCATGAAAAGACAGTTGAAGCATCAGGTCTCTGGAGTGGAGGGTATTGGACCTGGGTATGCCTGCGCCTATGGATCACGTTTCCTCCTTGTCAAGAGATCATGCGCAACCCACTATCGACTGGCGCGGACCGCTTCTCATGTTTACATGCCTCGTTGGCGCCGTCGTTCTTGCCACTGGTCATCATATCTTCAATTTATATCTTTAATGGTGAACCCGTTGCGGAGTTTGTGGTCGATCAACAATGGATTTCTTGAGTAGAGAATGCGATGGCGAACATTGTCAAGCTAGTCCTGGTGCTGGCCACCGGTACGGCTTATTTCCAGTGCGTTTGGCATCATGCCAGGTGCAGACCAACCAAGATCAGCCAGTTTGACACCATTGTTCGGAGCCTTGGACAATATATTCGAACTTCGACACTTTGGATTCTGGCTCCGACGGCCAATTTTGATGGCTAGTGTGATGATTGTTTGGTAGGTCCACATCAGGTTCGCCGTTTTGATGCCGCAGAGACCTCCGCCCTGGGGACAGCTTCATGCTGACGGTCTTTAGGCTCATACCACTGGTAGCCATCATCGCACCCGGTACACTCTCTGTGGAGGTCGGCGTCGGTCTCGGAGCCCCAAATTATTTCCGTTCAACAGCGAGACAACGGCAAAAGCCTGTACGGTGCGGCGGTACAAGCCGATAACGGCACGGTCTTCTATGGCGGAGCGAGATCATACCTCAAAGGCCCGACGCTGGCTACCTTTGTTCAAACCGAAATCCTGTCCGTCGGGAGAGTCTCCACGAATTTGACCTACTCCATGGACTTGTACGGGCCGGCCTTGTCCTGCACAAAAGCCGGACAACAAGTGACTGCTCAATTGACTGAGACCATGTCAGAATTTGAACAAGTCAACCAGACCTCGCTCGTCTACGACGTCTGGATACCCAAGCCCAACTCAACATCCAACGCGACACTTGTGGACAGCGATCTCATCCTTGACAGCACGAAGTCTACGCGTATTAGACCAGACCTCACCCGATGCAGCAACGATATACTACAGTCTCGAATCATTAGGCACTGACCAAGATCCAGCAAAGTTCTCTATACGTCATCCAATGTGCACTCTATAATGCCTCATGGAATGTAGCCTTCGACGTCCATCAAACTGGCGAGCAGGTCCTCACGCCCAGTCTGTCGCTTGGAACTGGATGCCCAGATGGAGCAGCATCACTCCTCCGCTGACGGCAAGCACACGCACCAACTCCGTCCTCGACTACGCCAGGTTGATGGAGACATTTGGGTCCATCACAAGCGGTCAGATGAAAGTGCGCGACGACGAAAATCTGCCTTTTACCCAGACCAGTCTCGCGCTCGAAACCAGCCCCGTCTTTTTTGCGGACGTCACGCCCAAGCCGTTCGATGCGAAAGCCATGATTACCCTCCAGCGGACTCTGGAGTCGCTGTTCGAGAACATGACACCCTCCGCGCGCTATGGCGTTCTTCCAGCGCAAGATCTCCGGGGTGATATGGCTCTTCTGACCCGCGTCCAGGTCAACGCGACATCGACGTTCGCGTGCAATGTGGACAAGTATGATGCACGGGGGCTGGTCGTGGCGTACTCGCTCGCGGTCGTGGGTAGTGCCGCGTGCATCCTGCTGGCTGTGCTGGCGGTTCGCGATATGCGCGCCGTGTATTCGAATAACTTCTCCACCGTGGTCAGAGTGACCAGCGGCCAGAGGTGTCTTGATCAGGTCAACAATTCATTGTTGATGAGAGGGATAGGAGTGGTGCGGAACCCTTGCCGAAACGCGTCGCCGATGCGTATATCTGGGTTGGCACGGAGTGGGGGCAAGGTCGCGATGGAGACGGATAATAGTAGTAGGAGTACCAGCCGGTCGAGGGCGGGAAGCAACAAGAGGAATAGGTTCTGATGGCGGAAGGGGAAAGAGATAGGCATGGAAAAGCAGAGCCAGGTCGAGGTTGTCGTGAGAGAGACGGATGTCAGGTGGCAGGGCAATTGGATTTAGGGGGTTTCCTGCGTCCGGATGGATGTCATGCCACTGCCTGGGGAATTTAGATCAAGGAACTCCGTAAGGTCTAGTATTTGGGACCATGATGAAACCCGTAATACTACGTATGGATTTCCTTTCCTATCGTTGTGTTGCAAGTCGTGCCCAGTTACTTACAAGGCCGAGTCGCTAACATCGTAGTACGTGGTTACCACCTTCATCATCGTTACACCTCGACATAGCGGTACTCCCGCACTCCATCCCACATTCTGAGTAGGTGCTTCTCGTTCGTTTGTCGAAGCCCAACATTGGCAGTACGCATGCGACTCAGATAACTGCCCAATTCTTCTTGCTGTTGATACTCAGGCTCAGGCACAGACGCGGACGCGGACACACCAGAGCCCGAGCCATTGCATTCCTCGTCGTCGTCCTGCAGCGACCACCACCAGCGACTCCCACTCAGCATGCCATCTTCATCATCGACTTCGGTCTCGACCGCGGCCGCGGTCTCAGTCTCGCGATGCTGAACCGGCGGCACGGGCACGGGCACGGGCACGGGTACGCCAGCGTCAATCTCCTCGACACTCGTCCTGGCGATCCATCCCCACTTCCGCCAGAACCACGGTTTCACTTCCCAGCTGCGTCTGTTCCACGGCACGCCGCCGCCGCCGCCGCCGCCGTGACGGCTGCTGCTGCTGCTACCCCAGCATACCATACCGTCGTGCATGATGTCGAGGAAGAAACTGCAGTGGTCGAGACGGCCGAGGCTGGACAGATACACTGCCATGCTGCGGAAGTGCGGGAACGGGATGCAGTCGAGATAGCACGGGTGCGGGAGCATGATCTGGATGGCTGAGGGTCGGAGGTCGATGGGGATGGTCTGGAAGGTGTGGATGGTGTTGTTGGCCACAGTTGATAACGATGTTGATGTTGTTGGTGTCGAAGAAGAAAAGGAAAAAGGCGATGGGTGGTCGTTGACGTACGATGCGCGCGTGATGCCTAAACCCGTCGCGATGGACAGGGTTGCTGCGAAGCACGACTCTCCGACGAGTTGGAGGTGATTGAGGTATGGAGATGGGAGACCTCGTGTGGAAGACGGCGAAGACGGTAGTGGTGCTGGTACTGGTAATGGCAATCGACCACGTGAGCCTGAGAGTGGAACCCTCGGAGGAGCAGGAGGAGGAGGAGTGGCAGTAGTGATAGTAGAAACGTAATCGGATGAGGAAGGCTTCGGTAGATGCTTCGGTGGAGGTTCATACAGATTATGCTCGATGCCCTCGGGACATGGCCAGAAACATCGCATGTCCACGGTGTGCGGGTCCGCTGGCAGGAAGTAATACAAGGCCGTGGTCAAGGGGAGGACGGGATCGGGCAGATGTATGCCTGTACCAGTCCTAGTACCAGCATCCTCTGTCGATGAGGCGCTGCTGGTAACAGGCCTGTCCCCTTCTACTGCCAGTGGTTGGTCAACTTCACACACCAGTGGATGATGCTCTCGGTGAGCTTGAGGCTGAGGCTGAGGTTGTGAGATGTCCGTGGCAGCGGCAGCGACAATCCTATCGCGACTGGTCCAAGGTGATACTAGTAGTTCCGTCTCAGCTTCAGTTCCAGCTTCACCGTCCAATACTAGTAAGGGCTCCTGTCTGCTTCGACTCCCAAGTTTCTGCAGTTCTTCTTGGACTCTGGCCTTGACTTCTTCATCGCGCTGTCGTTTCTGCTTCTCGCGCCATACCCGTTGAGACCGGCGGTTCTGTTCGCATCGTGCCTCTGTCAATTTGCGCTTGTAGGATTTGGCAGGCGACTCTTGTCGGACTTCGGTACCACCCCTCGCACTCGGGGTTGTAGTACTTTGAATACTTGTCCTCGCCATCTTCGTTCGTCGCTGTTCGGCCGAGAATTTGCTTAATGAGAAAGATTGTATTGCGTTGGAACGGCCACGCGGGGAACAGCCACCATGATATTGTACTTTATCCTTGGAAAGATCTAACCCAACCCGTGAGAATCGGGCGGCCCAGTCGTCGGCTGGATCATCGTGGGAGGTCCGTTCGAGAGCCTACGTGTACCGTGGTATGCCATAACGGCCGTAAGCGAAAGAGCCATCCGCTACTAGTATCGATCTACTCTGTACTCTGTGCGCACTGGCCAATCGACCTTTGTAATAAATCTCCAGCCTGATCTGACTTAAGTGACTCATCCAGACCACTTCATCGTCCGGCCGGTAATTTGGCAAGATTTCCAATGACAGTATTCGTCCTCATCCTGAACATAAGTGGATCGTAATACAGGAATGCTGTTGGAGGCTTAGCCTGCACATTCTGCAGTCCTGGTGGGAAAAGGGAACATGTACTGCATAAGGAAAGCGGACGTGCATGTTGAACTTTGTGATATGGGCGACGATGGAAGATGAGTGTAAGGGGTCTATGTACGATCCAAGTTACTTCGTAGGGTCGAAATGAATGTTATGCTATTATTTTGTCATACTCAATACGTTTGATTATATATCATCGTCCCGTCTCAGCACCGAGCCAGACTTCCTGCCCCAGAGCTGCTTACTCTTCTTCTAGGAAGAAGGCTTGGTTCGACTCAGGCCAAGGCAGTCAGCCATGCCAAAGAAAATGTCAGTGTTGCCGTATACACCGCCAAATTTCTCCTGGCAAGGTCCACGAGTGAAGACAGGAACATCAGTCAGAGAGTGCACGCCTTGGTCGGCCTAGAAGAGAAGAGATGGTCAGTCACAACTAGCCACGAGGGGAACATGAATGGGAATGAGCTTACCGAAACAGGGAGGGTTCCGTTCACAATGAATCCAGTGACAGCGTCGACGTAGTTAACGTAATAGTCATCATTGTCGAAGCCCGTAATGTTCAATGCAGGAAGACGAGGACCGGACTTGTGCACCTGGTAGTTCTCTCTGTGGTCAGGGAACGCGGCAACGCCGGAGAACAAGGTATATCTGGGATCCCAGTTGGTCGGGAAGTTGACGCCAGGGCTGTACATAAGGTTTTGGTCGCTACCAACAGGGGCAGACCTGTTGTTAACGAGGTACTGAGAAAGTCCTGAGTTTTGGTAAGTACCAACAGCGTCACGCTTGTCACGGGCGTTGTCCTGAGCATTGAGGAACTTGGTGTCAACATTGCCCATGACGTCAAAGCCGTGACCGTGGTCGGCGGTGACAAGCACAAGAGTGTTGTTCAATTCGCCGATGGACTCGAGGTAACTGAACGTGGCCTTGATGGTGTCATCAAGCTCGAGAAGCTCACCTAGAGCACGGTCATAGTCGAGAGTGTGCATTTGCTTGTCAATGCTGGCAGCTTCGGACATGAGGAAGAAGCCCTCCTCTGGGTGGCGTGTGTGCAAAATCTCGAGAGCCTTCAGAGTCATTTCTTTGAGGCCCGGCTGGTCGGTGGCAGAGGAGTTGGACCCATCGGGAGCGGTCTTGGGGATGTCAACATTCTTGGGGTAGACATTACGGTCAAGCCATTTGGCCATGTTGCTGACGGAGAAAATGCCCAATGTCTTGGAGGAATTCGAGGAAGCTTGCAGGGCGGTGTTGTTCAGAACGACGCTGTAGTTCTTCTTGGCAAATTCCGCGTAGTAGTCCTTGCCTTGGAAGGAGCCCTTTCCGGGGTAGAACTGTTCAGCACCACCACCAAACAGAACATCCGGGCCGGTCCAGTTGGTCCAAGTGTAGTTGGTAATTCCGTTGAGGAAAGAATCCACCACAGCCCCGTATTGGCCTCGATCACGGGTGTGGGCGGTCAGCGCTGCTGGGGTGGCATCGGCGATGAAAGCGGTCGAGACAATACCCACGCCACCCTTGAAGAGTCGATGGAACATTTCGGCAATGCTTTCGACCTTAGGGTCATCGAAGGGTGACTTGGAGCTGTCTGCATAACAACCCAAGGCATTGACGGTGGACTTGTGCCCGGTGTAGAGTGCCGTGGCCGAGTTCGCACTGTCCGTAATGTAGGAGTCCAAGGAATGGGTCATTTGGTGGCCAAGGACAGGGAACGTGTCCATGGCCATCTTCGTCTGGTATTTGCCGTTGATCTGCTGGTGAGCAATCAATCGAGCGGCTGCACAGGACATTAGTCTCTCAAGTGACAGGTCCCCAGGGTCGAGTCTTACCAGTAATCATGTTGGTGGTCATTCCGTCACCAATGAACATGACAATGTTCTTGGCTTTCCGCTTGGGAGCAACATCACGGACAGTCCAGTTGGCATATGTCTGCGACCCATTGCGATAGTTGAGCGTCGCAATGTAGTTGCCAGGCTCATAAAGTGCAACCCGCCTGTAAGCTTTGGCAGCAACCTTGACCAGAGAAGGAGTTTTTGCGGCCTTGGCAAATAGATCCTCGTACCAAGTGAAGTTCCAGGTCTCAAGCTTTGGCTCTGAGATGCTGAAGAAGCTCGCAGCGGATTTGGCACTTTGTCCGTCCTTCGCAATGGTCAGGGTGAAGTTGGAGTCGGGAGTGGTGTAGCCCGGGACAACTTCGCTGCCGTTGATTGGAGCGTGGACTTCGACACGAATATCAAAGTATTGGCCGGGGAGAAAGTCAACCTGGTCCGGAGGAAGAATGCACCCCAGGCTGGGACAGCCTCCCAGTCTCTGGTATGTCTGAGCGGCACACTGGGCGCAGAAAGCACCTAGTGCTAAAGCAGCCTTTAGGGCAAACTGTGTTCTCATGGTGCCTTGCCGTCCAATGTCAAGTTCCTGAAGCAATGTCCGGGCTCAAGAAGAGGCTGCAAGTCGTGGAAAACGATCGAGGAAGCTCTGCCATTTTGTAGCTCCCACGGGCTTCTCAGGGAGCATCCCATCATGGGTCATCATGGGTCAACCATCGGCCTGGCGCACGCTGGCGGCATATTCCAACGGTTGCATTTTGCAAGGGATCAGATCCAAAGCTCTGCAAGCGAGGATCTCGTGGCATTGTCAAGCTTTGCCCAGCCTCGTAGTCGGCAGGCGGGAGGTATATGGGAGAAGGAAGCAAGTCTTATTTTGGCAGGAGGAACCTGTAGCGGGCGTTTGCCAAGACCGTCGTGCAAAGTGCCAAGGCGAGGGAAGGCGCAACAAGCTCTCACATCCAATCAAGCCATCCACGTTGCCTGTATAGAGGCAGTCTCGTAGTGTCCGCCCTCTCACGAACATGAGGTATGCCAAGTCGTAGAATTCGCACGGCGGCACCATGGTAGCTCAGGCGTGCTACTGTAGAAGATGGTCATTGGATTGCAGAACAAAACCCAGAGAGACATGGGGAACGCCGAGGGAATAGGCACAAACCATGGAACACCAGCACGCCCGAGATAGAAGAGGAACGTTCAAGACAGCCGTGATCGGAACAGATCCATCCCCGATCTATGACGGCACTTGCACGTTTACACACCACGCACACTCACCTGCACTTCGAGTACTTTGCATGCTCACCATGCTTGAACTGGCCAAAGCAGAAACAGGCAACGCCTCTTCGCCGAGACTCTCCTTCGGTCGCGGTCGGGACCCTTCCAGACCCTGCAGCGTGCCTGATCAAGTGGCTGGGATGTTTCTCTGCCCAGATTGACAGCATTGGTGTACCTGAACAACTTTGCAACAGGTCCACCCTCTCTGTGGAAGAGGGAGATGTATTCAGGTATTCAGATGATTGACTCGGAGCACAAAAACAAGCAATAGGCACGTCATGACCGCGATCTGGTCAGCTTGGCCTTCCTGTTGCCCTTACAGTAGCAAATGAGACCTCAGGAAGGCCATCACGAGCTGCAAGGGTTTGGCAATTTCCTTTCAAGATGAGCCGCTGATGGCATCTGTAGTGGCTACGGTCAACCAGGCAGTCTCTTTGAGGGACTGTCAGATCTGTCGACAGCAATGATCCAAGCTACCATGGCTGCAACTGCATCAAGTCCAGTAGCAGGCATGAGGAAGAAGACGCAATGGGATCATCAGATCTTGTCCATTCTCTTGTCAATTGCATTATAATTTTGATAGCCATGTGTGAGTTCTCCTCGGCCTCGCAGTAAATAATGTACCTTATCTTGGATCTTTTTCTGTTCGACTGCAGATGAAGCTTTCGGCCGGGGGGGTATGGAGAATAGGTGCGGTGTTTGGGGGCGCAGTCAATATTCTGGAGGCAGGTGTTGAGGGGTGAGGTGCGGATAGATTCGACGGGAATGTCTGCCATTCCTCGTATTTGGTAGGCTGTAGCATGAGAGATAAGGTTTGCGAGGTCGATGCGTCGAATACCAGGAGCACGTAGGAGGCGCTCCAATCAGGATGGTGTTGTCTGAAGGTGGTGTTTTTCGGTGCGAACTGAATTGGTTGACGGAAGTCCGTAAGCAGATGGTGGCAACAGCGATCACCATCAGACCACTCAGCGTTGAGGGATATGCATCCAAGAAACTACCCAGGTAAGCAAGCCACTATTTTCAGTCCCTATTTTGACGGCAACAACCCCCGGATGTCCTGGCCTAAGTTGGTAGGCCGCCACTATACCGCACCTACCACACTTTGTATCTATCTTTTTTCCCTACAAGATAGCAACCATCCCGCTTTACAGCACATGCCATGACTGTGGCCTGCAGAACAGGCTTGAAGTATGGAGGAGATCCCCTGTGTCTGGCCCGGACCCTAGCCCCATTCCACCGTTGGCATGCAGCATTGACGGCTTTTATGGTGAGCTTGTTTTGGCGCTATCTCCCTGGGTTTCAAACTCTTGGTCCTGGCTGGCCATTGACCCTTCACTGCTCGACGCAAGTACCCAATTATGGCCTCTGCTATTGGCATGCTCTGCACGGTGAATGGCGTGCATTCCCATGATCAGATCCATCTTCACTTCAAAAGCCCGCAGCTATCTGCGGAGACGCAAGTGTTGTCACCAGCTGAAAAGTGAATCATTCTCACGGGCCGTGGTGCAATGACGGCTATTGATGTTGCAATGAGCAATATCTCCCTTCTAACCGATCCCAAAACCATCAAATGGGTCGAGAGACCCAGCTCTTCTTCTTTTCATTCTTCTTCGAGGCGTGGACGTAATTTTCTCGTCATGTTGTTGGTGTCCTTCGTTTTTCTCACGGGGCTCGTCTTGGCCCTGGCCGCCCCCCAACACAAGCGGCAGGTCAGCGGTCCTGTCATTGGTTCGAATTTCCAGGATCCTTCAGTAGTTCAGCTGGGCGATGGAAGCTGGATCGCCTATGCGGGAGTCAATGGAAACCCAGCCGGTATCAATGTGCTTGTTGCAACCTCAACCGATTTCTCGACATGGAGCATCAGGAACGGCTACGATGCCTTACCTGTGATGCCGTCCTGGGCTGCCTCGCCGCCTCATGTTTGGGCTCCGGATGTGGTGCAGCTGGTGTGTGCTCACTTATTATTCACGAGTGTCCAAGTGGAGAAATTCATTGACTTTTGATCGACAGGGGAATGGCAATTATGTGCTTTATTATTCAGTGTCCATGGCGGAAAGCCCGGGAAAACATTGTGTTGCAGCAGCTACTGCGTCCAACCCAGAAGGCCCTTTCACCCCTGTTCAGACTCCATTGTTCTGTGATTTGGATGCTGGCGGAGCAATTGATGCAGATGGCTTCCAGGATCCCAACACCCACCGACAATATGTCATCTATAAGGTTGATGGTAATTCTGTTGGCAATGGAGGCGCGTGTTCCAACAGCGTGGACCCGATCGCACCCACTCCACTTGTGTTGCAAGAAGTCAGTGCCAGCGACGGCTATTCCTTGGTCGGAAATCCGCTCACTGTTCTGACGAACGATGCGAATGATGGCCCTAACATCGAGGCTCCTGTCCTCACGTACGACTCATCTTCCGGCACCTACGTGATTTTTTACAACTCGAAATGTTTCACCACGCCTCCTTACAATGTTCGGTACGCCACGAGCAAAAGCATTTCTGGGCCCTACACCAAACAAGGCACTCCGTTTTTGCAGACCGGGAGCACATCTGCTCAGGTGTACATTCCCGGCGGTATGGACATTACCAAGGATGGGAAACTGGCCGTCTTTCACGGCGATCTGAACATGGGTTGGTTCCAGAACGATGGCAGCAAGAGGGTCCGAGGCATGTATGCCATTGATCTTTCGGTGAAGAGTGGTAGTGCGAACGTGGGGCGGTTATACTGAAAGGTCAACGGAAGGAAGCTCCTAGCGAGTCTCCCAACGAACACGACTAACGAAGGCATGACGCTGCATGGTAATTCTGCATGTACAATATCGGCCTTGTTCAGGTTGTTGAGGTTTTGAGATTTTAGCCCTCTGAAGGTATTTAGCATTTAGACTGATTCAACAGACATGAAATTTTTCTTCACCATGACTCGCAACGCTCTGCCGTGCTCTGCCCCGCCATACGGAGGAGCAGTCAAGCCAGTCACGTGGCCAGTACAATGAGATTTTGTTTCTTAGCGGAAATCTATGCCGACAGCCTCGCCTATTGAATCCAACAATCTTTCTCAGTCTTTTACAACTCCTTCTCTCCCTCTCTCGCCAGTCTCCTGGGAAGAATGTGAGAAGATGGTCAGAAGTGTGACTCTTGCCAGCTTTCAGATCTGACTCGGGTGCTGACGCCGTACCTTCGACGAGCAAATGTTCATTGGAGGATGAAGGATCCGGGCGCTAGTCCTTAAGCAACCAGTGACGTCTGTCGAATACGGCCCGATGGTGGTTATTGCCGGCTTCTTTCCGTCCATCAATTCCATCCATCAATTCCATCCATCAATTCCATCCATCAATTCCCATCTCTTTGAGGAAACAGCGCACGCAGCCTCGTCATTTTGCCATCTTCCCATCCTTCCATCCTTCCATCCTTCCATCCTTCTGTTTCGTCGCATGGAAGTCGCTGAGGATCATGCATGCTGATCACGAAGATCCTTCACTTTTTCCCCAGAAACATCCTGGCCATATTTTATGCCATGGGATTTGAGATCCGTGAGTCTCTCATTGTGACTTGATCCCATCGCTCATTTTTCCTGCTTCCATCTTTCATCTTGTTGTTTCTGGGTCTATCCGTCAACAGTACCGTTAAGCTTCTTATCTGTCTTTCTTTCACCTCGACCGAGATACATCGTCATGTCTCAAGATGGTTCTTTCACCCTGTCCAGCCAACCTTCGCGCGACCGTGAACTAGGACAACAGCCCACAGTCACCACAACGCAGAGTGCCCCGTACTCTCTTGCTGGCCCTCGAGTAAGGACACGACCTGAGAGAACTCAAACTGGGAATCAGGAAGCAACCAGCTTTGTCAGTCGAGAATATCTCGAACATGATCCACGTCATGCAGAACCTACAAACCAGCCGATCTGGGGCCTTGCAGCTCCTTTGCCCAGAGTCAAGCGCTCTGGCATGGAGCGGAGGCAATCACGCACAGCTCGTCGCGGTCAACAATCGCCTCAAAGAACTGAAAGTCTTCGACGACCTCCGACGCAGGAATCCACCCAACCATCCGCTCCTGTTGGTAGAGCCGCGGCACCTCAAGTAGAAGTCACACCCGAGCGCCATGAAGGAGAGACTCAACAAGACGCTACCCGTCGGGAGGGCGAACCTCAAGGGCTTCCCGAGAGGCAGGACCTTCTACGACGTGCAACGACTGCACCCGGCTCCACGTATCAGTCAGAAGGCTACCCAACCGTGCGACCGGAAGACGCTATCGATGGCAAACCGAGTCGGCAAGAGCAGGAATTGGCCAGAGAGCACATCAGTGCGCAGGATCAAGCAACTTCCCTAACCAGTCCGTCATCACAAGGTCGACTAAGCGCCGCTGGTGGCCCCAGTCTTCAGCGGCTTCATTCAGGCTCTACAACTCCAGATGTTGCTGATCAACGACCTCAGGATCTGGTCGCTGGACCAAACATGTCATGGGCCAGTGAATCCGAGGTCGAAGCTGCACGAAGGCGTCTCCAAGGCTTGGCGGACACCGCAGCAGACGAGCCCGCGCTGAGCCAGCATCCGCCGAATATTGACTGGGAAGAATACCATGAAGCTGAAAAGCCCGATCTACCTTCCCAGGAAGAGCAACCGAGAGAGCCCGAGACCTTCAACAAATGGGGCAGATTTCGCAACAATTTTCGGCAGCCATTTGCCGAGTTTCTCGGAACGTTAGCCTTCATGATTATAGGTCTTTGTGGCAGTGTTGTCCGCACGACGGCCACAAATGACTACGGGAACCTTCTCACGGCCTACCTGGTATGGGGTTTGGCGGTTATGATAGGCATCTATATTGCTGGCGGTGTTTCTGGTGGTCATCTCAACCCTTCCGTTTCTATCATGCTCTCGGTGTTTCGAGGATTTCCCTGGTCACTCTGTTGGCAGTATATCGTTGCACAGATGCTAGGAGCAATTGTAGCATCTGCAATCGTGTACGGGCTTTACAAAGACGCCATCATGGACTACGCAGCTTCCGACGTAGCCCGTGTGGGACCGGCTTTCTGGACGACCCCTCGGGACGGTTTGAGCGCTACTGCCGCCTTCTTCACCGAATTCACGGCCACCGCTATTGCCTCGGGTTCCATCCTCGCTCTCGGAGACGATCGCAACTCGCCACCAGGTGCCGGTATGCATGCGTTCATTATTGGTCTACTCGTGTCCGCACTCTGTATGGCATTTTCCTACAACACCGGCACAGCTCTAAACCCTGCTCGGGACTTTGGTCCCCGGCTCATAACATGGGCCGCAGGTTTTGGTAGCGAGGTATTCACGCTCCATAGTTGGTGGTGGATCTGGGGACCCTGGGGGGGAACCATTTCCGGTGCTCTTGTTGGGGCTTGCTTCTACGACGGTCTGATATTTCTGGGTGGAGAAAGTCCAATCAATTATCCATTTGAGCAGGGTCTCACTGGTAGGATCAAAGAGTGGAAGGAAAGGAGAAATGTATCGAAGATGGGGAGGGGAAAGGATGCGCAGGACGACATCAGGAGGAAGGTTGAGAACTTTGCATGAATTGACCATCTTGCGCACCCCTTGCATCCTATTCATGCATGATTGGCACATGATGGCACTGATTGCTTTTGTTTGTATCAGCATATAGTTGATTGGCCGCGCAATGTGCAAGCAGCGACTTATTTGTCGCAGATGTTGTCCATTCAATCGACTTGCATCGCGTCAAGGCACCGCCTGCTCACCGTGCGTGTTGGCATGTCTCCATGTCTCAAGCACCAAGAACAAAGATACTGACCGGTGTGCAATGACTGGCTGACTCAACATGATGGGCAGCTCCATCTATCAATCGACCGGGTTGGCCACCACACACTCCTGCAGACCCTGGTAAGTATGCTGGAACGGGGCTTCCAATCCGGAGGAGGCAGTAAGTCGTGTCAGCCCAATCATCTTATCTTGTCCCAGCTGCCTCCTGCAATGGACAGAACATTGGCTCCTCACGTCTGCAAGGATGCATGGACCCAGACACCACCTTTTCACGGGGTCGACTTGCTATCCTTCCCTCCGCGAGAAACACGGTTCTGCTTCTTGTTCATACAGTTCTCCCCTTCCAAGCTTACCTTTCATTCAAGTCGTTCCTAGCCACGAAAACACCGATATTGCGAGGTTTCAACACAGCTGCAATGCCACGAGAGCAAGTCAAGAAACTATTACACCGTTTCTACGAGCCCTTGGTGCTGCTTCACGTTCTCGACCCAACCCAAGGTGATCATGTGCGGGAAGAAGCCGACAGACTGCCACTGGATATCACATCCTCGAAAGAGCTGCGTCGCCGCCTTGTCAGCGCTCTGGCTTATATCTGTGATTTCGAAAAGGGTGGAGACAGCTTTACTGCGATATTTATCATCCAAAGTCCACTGACATACTACATTGCTTGCAATGAGGGTCCGCGTCCAAAAACACTATCTTTCTTCCGAAACACCCTCGACCATTTCGAGAAAGTCTACGATCTGGATGAAGGGCAACGAGCCAGAGCCAAAGGGAAGATCTTGACCGAAAGTGTCAAATTCAGCAGCAAGCGCCTTAAGGCGTATTGGAGCTTTCTCCGGAACGTCCTAGTACGATGCGAGGAAATTCTGAAGGACGAACCTGAGAGCAAAGGTGAAACACATGCATTTCGCGTCATCAGTATTCATTCTCCTTTAATGCTCACGAGCTGACGCAAGAGTTTAGTTTTCTCTGCTTTGAAACAAGGGTTGATCGACTCCAGTCCGAATTTGTTGACTCTATGCCATCATTGCTACGGGCTGTTGAAATCTGCAGAATTCAATTTCGTACGGGAGAGAGCCAACCTCGCCGATACTCAGAACAACAAGCGAAACCTCTTTGCGGAAGTCAAGCATTTTGTGGGTCGTCTAGCCTTTCACGTCAAAACGATCGATGTCCTCATGGTTGCGGCCGTAAGGCTGCCGAGTCTCTTTCAGGATCCTGAGATTGAGCCTGTGAAAGGCCCCCCTGAGCAGATACAGGCCCCTGCACTTCGCCAACAGACACGTCTCGGTGGCATTGTCAACCGTATGGTCAAACCTGGGAACCGAGAGATGCTGGCCGAACTGAACGACCGCCTCGCAGACTTGGATCGCACATTCCAGGTCGAAGACTTGGTCAGGAGGACGTACGAAAGGAAAGGTATAGAGCCTCGAGTTCATGCCGAACTCATACTTTTGGAGTACTATTACAAGCATTGTGCTGATTTAGAGTTGTTCGAGAACGATCGGTACATTGGCACCAGCAAGCCAGCCTGTTACTGTTGTTCACTCTACTTGCGTGAGCATCCAGCTGCTTTCGAGCAGTCAGCAAGTCATCAGAGAATATATCTGAACTGGTTGCCACCAGCGACTTCGGCTAGTGGCCCAGGTTCAGCATGCCTGTTGGCTGCTCATAGCCAGAAAATGTTGAACAGGATGACAGAACTCATCCGAACGAGGACCATTGAGCAAATCAGAACTCAGAGCGGTCGACGACCCAAGAATTTCGATTCTACGACGGGTGAGACCATTTCTACCCGCGCTATTGCTGCTCTACAACGATTTCAAGAGGTGCCGGAGCCTCAGGGTCGCGACTCCGACTGTAAGATAAAACACCGGCCTTTACTGAACCTTTGCTGACAGTGCGCAGCAAGTGACCACGACAGCACTCCCGAAGGAGACGAGGACGAGTTTATGTCCGACCTCGCCATACAATTGGAACCGCCGTCCGACGAGAGGGACAGAGACAGCGACGAAGATTCCGAATTGACTGGAGGTGTTGAATTGCTTTAAATCTCGTAGCAGGCACTTTTGCTCCAAATTGGATCCGTCGTGTTTCCGGTCTAGAGCACAAGATCCGTGGCACCTGAAGCGCTGGGAAAACCACTCGGAGTCCCTTGTCAAATGTGTATGCAAGCTGGTATTAGTCCGCCTTACAGCAGAGCTTTGAACCCGTCATCAATGCCCAGATGCTGAGACCACTCCTAGCTGAAAGCCTCCGCTTCAGAGTTTCGATTGGATGTGATAGCAAGCACCATTGGTTATGTGTGCTCATGCCACGCCATGCCTGGAATCCCTACTACGTTCTGCTGGCAGAACAAGGGGTCTATGCGGCAGCCTAGACGTAACCCAATCATGTCACGAATCTTTGGAGGCAGTGCACATTGGCTGTCGAATCTATTCTGCATCATGCAAGAGGCAGCGCTATGACGCCGTACGGCTCTTTAGTGCCAACACAGCGGATGCAAAACCATCAACACGTGTCATGCAGAGCCTGATCATGGCCGGTACAAGAACATCAGAAGCCAGCTGGACCCGAAGTAGTCTTTGACTGCAGCACATCGAGACAAGCCTGGCCCTCATCAGGTCCGCAGCCTTTTTCGATGGCAACGTCGCCCAACGTCCAAGCCATCCTCTCTGGAGATGCCAACGAGGTAACGACCATGTCAGGACACAAGCCGAACGGAGATGTTGTTGACACATGACAGAAAGCGGCCATCATCAATCACATTCTCGGTGAGATTCACAGCGTGCTCGCCGAAGATGAGGACATCTCGAAGCTGGTACGGTACAAAGTGAAGGAGAGGGGCGAAAATGACAGGACTCGGCTTGCGAAAATATTCGAGTTCATGGGACCCGATGATGATACTTTAAACCTTCTCAACAGCAATATTTCAGCCTGGACAACTGATCCGGCAGCCTTCTGGATGAGACCTGCGCCTTGTTTTCTCGGACACATCGCGGCGCAGGCCCAGATTGTTGGATGCTACATCCAGTCGGAGCGTGACGATGCATAGTCACGTATAGTCCGTAGGGTGTTGTGCATCATCCTTGTCGACTTGTGCAACCGCGATCGTTCAATGTCGACGGGACAGACTGCACGTGCCCTACAGGCTCTCGACGCTTCCAGATTCGAATTTGTTAAGGTGGAAAATACGGTGAAAGACATGCTCGATGCCGGCTCCCGGTATAACAACCTGGAGAAAGCGCTCGGTGAAGGGGTTCTGTTCGTCTTGGGAAAGGGCCTTTCTGAATCACTGTGAGTTGGCCAGATAGACGCTACCTTCTGTCAAAGCTCACGCCGCACCTAGTTGGACAAAGCTGCTGCCCAAGAGCGGGAAGACTTTCGATGCGGCAATCAGTCATTTGAAAGCTGTGGGCTTGTCGGCGAGATCTCGAATGTATGCGCAGCTTCGCAAGACTGTGGTCGAGGCAAAGGTGGCATTGGTGCTCTCTCTTCCGCAGGCTTACCCGTCATACGAAAGCGTCAGTACGCCGGTATTGGAATGGGGTGTTGCATTTCCGCAGGCCAATTACCCGCAAGCTCAATGCTTCTGTGCAGGCCCGGAGCATTGTTGCGGGCTTTGATGTGAGTGAGTATATCCCGAAAGGACCAGAGCCAGACCTAATATCAAGAATAGATCCAGGTAGTAAGATCGCTCTGCTCCAGCTGACTGATTGACAGCCATTCCAGTTGTGGTGGCTCGGGGTGGACCTACGTTTTCTGGCGTCTCTTGTTCCCTTTTCGAAAGTGATGGCTTCCGGAGTCTCGTAGCGGACAACAGAAATGCCCGAGTAACTCTTCCTTTCATATTCGGTCGCTCTTCGCCCGAGACTATTTCACGAGTCGCATAGGAGACTCTCATTGTCCAGACTCGAGGGGTACTCGAGGGTGATTGAAGTCTCGGCAGAGCTTCTCACCGAAATGGTGAGAACTGCCGACGACCGACCTGCATATGCATCATGGACCTGCAGAAACTTGACCTTCTTCCACCACAAGCCTGCCAAATTGACTTCTTCTTTGCTCCGCATACATTTCGAGCTGCCCGAAAGAGCTATGATCCGTCTGTACAAAACTCAGCGGAGACTGGCCTTGGTCAAGCTTCCTCCTCCGTACTCCTGCTAACCTCAAACCCTTGTCCTCCGCACCCCGGATGATGCTGTTGCAGATCAGCTGCAGCTGTTCTCCACGTCCACCGGATTCTAACTATATCAGGAACAATATATCACAGAAGGATATAGTATAAGAGGGGGGAAAACAAGCAGGTAGGTCATGCGAGATGTACGCAAGCAGGAGCCATGTATTCGACTTCGTTGTTGGTGGCGCTACTACAGCTCAGCACTGCCTCGTGGGCGCGAAGCGTGGTCCGGACTCCTGCCAAGAGGCAATCATTTGATTTCATCAATATTACACAATACAACAGCACGCCGACACCTGTTGAGGTCAGCATAGCTCTCAATGCTGCTGGTAGGAACGAGACAGCTCCTCTGCTCTATGGCTGGTAAGTCACTATGCCCCTTTCGGACTGCCCAGCTAACCGACGGAGGATGCACGAGGACATCTCCCATTCTGGAGATGGAGGTCTCTACGGCGAGGCTCTTGTAAACCGTGCTTTCCAAGGCTCAGGGTCCATCATCGGTCCTGTACCAGGAATCCCAGGCAGCAGCGTCCAATATTCGGAGAATCCAATCCTGCCATGGGGCCCCGTCATTACCGGCTGGCAAGGGATAGGCGGTGTCAACCTCAGTCTGACGCTGCTTCATCCGCTATCCGATGCCTTACCGGTGGCTTTGCAAATGGACATTCCATGGGATGTCACTGGCGAAGTCGGGATCCTGAATGAGGGCTGGTGGGGAATTGATGTGCGTCCGGGGACATACAATGCTTCGTTCTACATCTTGTCCAACAAGCCCCGAAATAACGGCAGCCTGTCTCATATTGACGTCTCACTGAGGTCAAATTTAACCGACGACGTATGGTGTACTTCGACTATCCCATTCAGTGAAGGCCAGAATGTCTCGAGCTTTGAATGGACGCAGTACGAGGTTGAACTGGATAACAGTGTCAAAGCACCAAACTCCAACAATACCTTCGCCATCACCTTTGATGCAAGTGAAGTCGCTGGGAACACGTATTACTTTTCACTGCTCAGTCTCTTCCCCGAGACCTTCAACGACCGTCCCAACGGTATCCGGAAAGACCTCGGCCAGGCCATTGTCGATCTCGGCACGAAAATCCTACGGTTTCCTGGGGGCAACAACATCGAGGGATACAGTATCGACCAACGCTGGAAATGGAACGAGACAATCGGTCCTCTCAAAGACCGCAAAGGGCGCGTCGGCGACTGGGGCTACACCAACACCAACGGCCTCGGGCTGATGGAGTACCTCCAGTTCTGCGAGGACGGCGGCATTGAACCCGTCCTGGCCGTCTATGCCGGCTTCTCCCTGGACATCTGGGGCCAAGACGGTGTCTCATTCCCCGAGGACCGCATGGGTGATGTCCTGGCCGACATTTTGAATGAACTCGAGTACATCACGGGCGACGCGAGCACAACGACGTACGGAGCTCTCCGGGCATCTCACGGGCGCACCGAACCTTTCAGGCTGAACTACGTCGAAATCGGCAACGAAGACTGGTTCAGCTCGACGTATCCGTACAGGTTTCCGATCTTGTATCAGGGCATCAAGCAGGCGTACCCGAACCTCACGCTGATTTCGACGGCGTACAACGAAAATGCCGACTACAACATTTCGATCCCCGCGGGCGGCATGTGGGACACGCACCACTACGAAGAGCCCACTTACTTTCTGTCGCACTTTGACTATTGGGACAATTGGCAGTCGGCCACGAATAACACCGGCGTGACCGTGTTTGTGGGCGAGTATTCCGTGTTCCAGGTCGACACGCCTGACGGGGTGGTCAATTTCAGCATGCCGCTGGGCCAGCACATTTTCTATCCGACGCTGATGGCCGCCATCGGTGAGGGGGTGTACTTGTTGGGCGCGGAACGGAATCCCAACGTCGTCAGGATGTCGAGTTATGCGCCCAGTCTGCTGAATCTGAACTGGCAGAATTGGACGCCGGATCTGGTCGCCTTCACGGCGAATCATGATGAGACCGTGCTGAGTGCCAGTTATTATATGCAGCAAGTTTTTGCGCGGTATCGAGGACACCAGACTTTGCCGGTTACGACCGTGGAGGGGGATTTTGATCCGTTGTGGTGGGTTGCGACGGTCACCGAGGATGACGCCGCTGCGACGGTGTACTTCAAGGTCATTAATTCGGGGAATGCTAGTGTTCCATTGACGGTGGGCTTTGATAGGGGGTTCAATGAGGTGAATGGGACGATTCTGGTGAGTATCTTTTGGCTTTTGGCCTTTTACTTCCTTCCCTTCCCTTCCCTTGTTGTGCAACGGTTGGCAAAGTATGCAACTGGTAGGGGCTTTTGTGTCTCGAGTTATGTAACTGCAGTGTAGCATTGCTGACGAACTGCGATTTTTGCCACAGACACACCCCGAAATCGGGGCGTTCAATTATCTGGGCAACGCGACGGCCGTGTCGCCTGCGCCGATCACGAATCTGCCTTCTGTCACTGCAGCAGCTGCAACAGCCTCCGCCGCCGCCGCCGGGCAAGGAAATGGACAGGGAGAGGGACAGGGAGAGGGAGAGACAACGTTCAATTGGGCTGTGCCGCCGTGGTCGATCAATGTGCTGGAATTTCGGATGTCCTAGGTACTGGGTGGTTACCTCCTGTACTAGTGAGTAGGATGTAGGACGTAGGAAGTCGTAAGTAGTAGATACTACATGAGGTGGGAGGGGGAATTAGCGCTGTGAGACGCCGGTGTACCCGTTCTCGTTCTGGTTTGCGTTCTCGTCCTCGTCCTCGTTCTCGTGGTGAGAGACAATGACGACTACAGACCCATTTGATAAAAGCAGTGAGAGAGAGAGGACGAAGAAAAGGAAGGAGAGAAAGAGAAAGGGAAGAAGGAAGCAAAGAAAAGGCAGAAATATCCTATATTGCTCAGTACTCCCACGCTTAATCTAAGCTATTGTTTACAAGCGCTACCCACTACCATTTCTCAGTAGAAGCTTTTCTTTGCAAAAAAGATTTGCCCTTCGCAATGACTTAACCACTGGCAGTCCCCCATCTTATTTCTGAAGTCGTCGACACACTGAGTGTGATTTACCGCCTATTGAAGTTCAAATACCTCGAGCCGATGAACAACAGAATCAGATTGCTCGCGATGAAAGCCGCAAAAATGCCCAGATCGCGCCATCGATGACCAAAGCTCAATTGCAAGGGCTCGTAGAATTGATCGCCGACCTTGTACGCGCAGTACTGGCACACATCGCTCACGTTGCTGACAATGTATCCGGACCCGCCTCGCTCAAAGAAATCCGCCATGTACGAGCCACAATCCTGACCAGACGGGGCCGGGAAGGAATTCAGTTCGTGCGGTTTGCACACGACCGGCAAACCGTGTAGTTCGGTGGTGACCATGCCGGACACGAGCCGCGTGAAGGGATCGAGCTGGTACAGCCAGGCGCGCCAGAAGCCGGGGATCTGCGGTTTCGGGATGGTCACGCCACAGAACAGGGCGAAGATGATGACGACGAACGGGTTGATGAGACTGGAGATGAAGCTCGACGGGGTCAGCGCGGCGATCATCTGGCCCGCCGTGACGGAGAAGAGCTCGGTGATCAGCACGATGAAGAATTGGTAACCCGCGCGCGTCGACGAATGGTTGAACCCGGGGAGGTAGTAGATCGGAATGAAGAAGAAGGCGGCGCACAGCAGGCTGTACGGCATCTCGGCGCAGACCATGGCGAACGCGAAGGGGAACTGCTTGTACGCTTTCGCCGCAGACTCACGGTAGAAGATCAGCCGCGACAGGTCGTACATGGGCTCGACTTGCGCGAGGATCAGTGCCGGGATCACGGTGACCTGGAATATCACGAACACCCGGTACTGCAGGCTCGATCTGCTGTCGTCGAGTTGCAGGAACGCCAGACCGGACAGTAAGGCGATGGCGACGTGGTTGAAAAGTCGGGTGAAGCCGTAGTTCGGCGACCGCCAGAAGGCCAGGTGCGTGCGCCACGAGACGATCTTGATCTGGTGCCACAGGGGCGAGGCGTATTCCTTTTCGTCGAGTTGCGGTTCACTGGCGGCGTCGCGTTGACGAAGGGCTCGCATCTCGACGATCTCGGCCTTTGTGGTGGCCAGTTCGTCGCTGTCGCGCCAGATCTCGCCCCAGTCGCGGGCACCGATGCGAGGCGCGATGCCTGCGCCGATGGCGTCCAGCATCCATTCGGCTGGGTTGGCGTCCGGTGGACAGTCCGCCCCGTATTTGTGGAAGTAGCCGAGCAGCACGTGTGCGTCTTTGCCAATGTCGCCAAAGTATACGGTCTCGCCGCCCTTCTGGAGCAGCAAGAGTCGGTCGAAGTTCTCGAACAATGCACTGTTGGGTTGATGAATCGTGCAGAGGATGGCTTGGCCTGCGGCGGCGAGCTTGCGTAGGAACCGGACGATGTTGAACGCAGATTGGGAGTCGAGGCCCGAGGTGGGTTCGTCGAGGAAGAGAAGCAATTGGGGCTTTGCGGCGAGTTCGACGCCAATGGTCACGCGCTTGCGTTCTTCGACAGAGAGGCCGCTCTCGGGCGTGCCGATGATGGCGTCGGCGAGATTCTCGAGTTCGAGGAGGCACAGGATCTCTTCGACGTACGCGTACTTGTTTTCCCGCGGGACTTCGTAGGGCTGGCGAAGGTCGGCACTGAAGCGGAGTGCTTCACGGACAGTCTGGGTCGATTCGTGTACGTCGAGCTGCTCAGCATACGACGTGCCTCGTTGGAAGCCAATACCCGGTTTCTGCCCGTCGACCAGAATGTCTCCACCAACAACACCGATGTTCTTTCGGTGTGCGAGCACGTCCAGAAGTGTCGTCTTTCCCGCCCCACTTGCACCCATCAACGCGGTCAATTGTCCTGGACGCACGTATCCAAAGACGTCCCTGAGAAGACGGAGTTGGCCTGAAGCAGTGGGCACGTCGTATGTCAAATTCTCCCAGGTCAATACCGCCTTGGAAGTAATATTGAGCTCTGAGCTGTCTTCGGCATCCTGTTTCCTCTGCCTTCTTCGCTTTCGCTCTCGGAGCTTTTCGTTCAAGTCTTTTCTTTCATTGTTCTCTTTGGTAAAATAGGTCACAGTTCGACCTCCTGCGCCATACTTGATGGTTTCGCCCAGGACAACATTGGCGAAGAGAAAGACCGCACAAAGCACGACAATTATGCCCCAATTACGCCAGAGGTCGTCAGGGTCATATTGAAAGCCAGTCTTGACGTATGCCGTCCCCGAGACTTCGTCGGAACCGGCCTGAGATCCTGGTAGAGTGCAGACTTGGTGGTCAATATTGTTGTAGCCAGCACCAGAGGGGATAAGCGATTCGGAAGTGCAGCGCATCGTCAGTCTTTTGAACTCGTTCATCATCATGGCCGAAAATCCCAGGCCTAGCGCGTTGACGTAGAAAATCCATCGTAACCACACTTGCTGGCTTTGATATTGGATGATATAGCCAGAGGTGATGACAAACAACGTAATGATGATAGCAGCGAATTTGATGGCATAGTCGAAGTCTGGACACAAGCAACCGATTGTCCGGAAGAACAGTGTCATGGACAGATAGCCGGATATGATGATTAGCGTGAAGGTGAAGAATGCACCTGGAGTTCGCACAAGACCGGTCATGAAGTAAACAATCACACTGAAGACGAAGATCTGGACAGTTGCAAAGCAGAGGTCGACCACAATTTGAGCCAACCATAATGCTCCTGGACGATGAAATGTATACGCGCGATGTTTGTTGACAATTGGCCGACCAAGCATGGTAGATGCCAGCTCTGCAAAGGCTTGAAAGGCGTTGAAGAGTAGAGCAATGAACAATACGCCGCCTCGTGTGAAAGCGCCTGCCGACGTCTGGGGCTGGTTGAGCCAGACCGTACCGGTCACGATGCCGATGACGATTGAGGTGACCCAGGAGACAACGAGTGAGAACTTGTCCTGCCATTTGATCAAGAATTGTCTCTGCACCAACGCCCAGATCTGCAGGTAGAAAGGGACAGAATAAACAGAGTTCTTGGGGGTGTGTTTTCGCTTGGCTTCTCGATGTGCCGCTACGAAATCGTCGTAGATTTGTTTCTCTTCCCGGATCGACTCTCTGTAGGCTGTCATTTCTTTTGACAGTTTCTCGGAATACACAGAGTTGTTGAAGGCTTCCACGAGCGCGTCTGGGGTGGAAGGTACATTTTCAGATGATCTACCGGGTTTGTACTCCCGCTCGAACTCATCGGTACAACCGGTGAGATAGTCGGGTGTGGTCTGGCGAGGTTTCTCCAGGAAGCCCAATCCCTCAAAGTACGCCCTGGCTTCGTTTGCGGGACCAAAAAAGACTTGTCGCCCCTGGTCGATTACCATGACCTTGTCGAATTGCTTGTAGATGTTCTCGGACGCTTGATATAACGATACGAATGTCGTGGTTTTGTAGATGTTGGTCATGATCCGGAGCGATTTCGCATAATCCAGGGCGGTAGACGCATCCAATCCACGGGTGCTGTTATCCCAAGCACATACAGTAGCTGCTGTTATCATCATCTCGGCGATCGAGACTCGTTTTCTCTCACCACCTGATACGCCACGCATAAAAGGATTGCCAACAATAGTGTTGATGGTGTGCTCGATGTTGAACATCTTTAGGAGTAAGTGGATAATTCTGTCCTTAAATTCAGCTTTGCTCATGCCGGCCGGTCGCTTCCCAGGTGTTTTGGTGTCCAGGGCGAAGCCGAGAGTCTGGCCAACAGTAAGGGTAGGGTGATGGACATCATCTTCTTGATTGTAGACCGCTTCACCTCGATACATTTTGGCAAATGTCGATGAGTCAAATGGACCGTAGAGAACTTCGCCGTCAATGCCAGTGTAGCCATAGCGCTGGTTAGCAATCACTTTGAGGAATGTTGTGCATCCGCTTCCAGGTCGGCCTAGAACAAGAACCATCTCGCCCGGTTTTGCGAGACCGCGGAAGTCCCTTAGGATATTGAACTCTCTGCCCTTCTTTCCATAACCCAGAATGCTCATAATGGTCCCTGGGACATTGAAGAAATCGACAAAAGCGTCGGGGAACACCTTGACAAAATTCTTAACGCCACCAATGCCGCGTACGGTCAGGTTCTCCCATATGACGCCAATATACTTCGATTTGATGCCTGCAGCTCCTTCGGCTTCACGATTGCCTCGCAAGGTAGCTTCAAGATCAAAACCTTCCTCGGAAGTGTATTCGGACGAGGTGATAGCTTTTTCCAGATCCTTCCTCCTGGGCACAGAAGCCCTGGAATGAGTCCTTGAAACGCGACGACTAATCGAGCTCAGTTCTCTGCTTAGCTCTGCAAAATCCTTCTCAGCGCGCTCGACATCGACGCCGGAAGCTGTCCTTTGAAGACCGTATGAGTCTGAAGACGTCCGGGATTTTGCGTTTCGCTTTCCATGGTCAATGGCGTGCACCTCGCCCACAGTATCAGTTTCGGACCTCGTAGACGACGGAGATGCGTTCTCCTGGACATGGTCATTTGCGGTATGGCCATGTTGCTGGGTTGGTCGGTCGAGGCTCAATGCTCGGGAAAGGGTATTGGCCATTGTTCACCCACAACTTTCAGTTCGGAGACCTCCACAACTTCTCGAATCGCTCCCCCACGAAAGCCACCGCCGCAAGCTGGATTGAAGGACTGTAGGTCGCGGCGGACCGGGAGAAGTAAAAGAAAGGAGACGGAACGAAAACAACAAGGGACTATCTCGAAAAGATCTACGACAGCATCGTGAAAAGCACCGTCTCATATTTGGGCAGACCAAGAAGAAAGAAATTGGTAATCCGGCAGAAGGTGGATTTTCGCATTGACCGTGTCCATCGAGGTGGGATGTAGCCACCCACTGCGTGGAGCTTGTCATTGGATTCGGCAGTGCGGTAAAGGGCCGCTAGCCTCAAAGATGACTCTTATTGGCATCGCATCTCAGGCAAAATGGGGTAGACATGAGTCGGATCTGGATGCAGTGGGGTAGGCTTTTGTGGTGACCTGGAGGCGTTTGTTTGAATAAAGGAAGTCCTCGCCGTGGTCGTTACCATGCACTCAGCTGAATCCTCGAGATTGTCGACTTGCAGTGCGCGACCTTGACCGTGTTGACCCCGTAAAGCAATCACCATCCTTGTTCCGCCGTGAGTCATAGCTGCATTGCACTTCCAGTCAGGCAGTGCCACCGCCGACTCCAGTAAAACCGCAGACCAGAAGCGACTGTCCTCTGACGTCTGGTGAACCACATTCAAGGGGTTTTTCCTTTCAGCATTTCTAAGCTCTCGCTTGTGGCGGCCAGTAGGCGTGTAACTGTCGATCTTGGCCAGAGGTTGGCGCGAGAACAGAGAATCCAGCTCAAGGTCGCACAACGGGACGAAGGGGTAGTTGCCGTACATCATGCACCATGGTGAGACCTCCTCCGTCGGGAGACATGATTGGAAGAGTCAAGGATGCCGCTTAGACAGCGGCACCACGATTCTTAAGTCCTTTCTATATTTCCGCACGGATGCTCGTATTCCGTCTTGGACTTCCCCACTGTGGAGGGACCACAGTAGTACTCAAAATTGCGATACACCTCTGAAGCCTGGACCGTGATGAATGACTCCTTGCTGTGACTCGAAGACCTTAGGATCTCCGGGCATGGAGAACCATGTGGCCATCTATTGGACTTTCGACAAAATTGGTGACAAGGCAATAGGACTGTGACTCGTCTCATCAAAAATATATTTGGACATAGTATAAAAGGGTACACGACCCGCATGGAACGATGCTGCCTATTTGGCCATGAACGACACGTAGGACGTCTCAAATCACCTTCTCCTGCGTATGTGGAAGAGTCGCGCCAACCCATTTCCGCCTTGATGCTTTGGTGCAACGAGAGTCTCAGTACCCTCTTCTGCAACGTTGTGCTTGCCAACTATACTGAGGAAAACCTGATCGAGTGTCGCTCGGCTTACGCTGTAATATTGGATTTGCAGCTCGCTCTTGTTCTTTTCGAGAGCTGTGAACACCGCAGATATGCCTGAGCCATGACTGATCTCATCTTCATCGCGTCGAAATCCAGCCGTGGGCACGGAAAACCTGATCTGTCCGGCGTATATTTTGCTTTCGACGTCCGCGTTCGGGAAAGTGCTGACGATCCAGTTTCGGATACGCTCCATGTCCTCGACAGATGCATGAGGTGCTTGACAATGAACCAGGTGAACATAGTACGCGTCTCCGTGCTTGCGGCGAAGGTAATCGGTGGTGCCCAACGCCAGCATCTTTCCTGCCATGATCCCAGCTCTTGTCGCCAAGGCGTCTGCCTCCTCCATCGAGTGCGTCGTAAGAACAAGGGATCGACCAGGCACGACGGACTCCAAGGTACGCCACATGACGCGTTTGCTTGCTGCGTCCATGCCGGAGGACGGCTCGTCCAACAAGAGAACGCTGGGATTGCCCATGAGTGCTATTCCCAAGGATAATTTGCGTTTGTTGCCTCCAGATAACTTGGCGGCCATCCGGTCAGCATATTGCTCAAGTCCCACTGCACGCATGACTGCTTCAACATTGTGACGAGGATCGCTAACTCCGCGCACTTTGGCGTAAAAGTGCAGGTGTTCCGCTACTGTCATCGTGTCTATGGCGTCAAATTGAGGACAGACCCCCAACCGAGATCTGGCTTGAGCTCGATGGCGTATGACGGAAATGTCGTCAACAAGAATATCGCCTCCACGGCGACTCGGTTGAATATCCCCTCGGATGAGTGATATTGTCGTCGACTTTCCTGCCCCATTCCTGCCGAGGAGTGCAAAAACCTGGCTCCGTGGGACTCCGAACGTCACGTTGTCGACAGCAAGGTTCTTGCCAAAATACTTGGTAAGATGAAGAACCCGCAGACCATCTTGCGAAGAGTTAACCCTCGTCAACTCGTCGGAGATTTCAGCCTCCGCAGTGTCTTTGGACTCGACCTCTTCCTCTAGTTGTTTTCCGCGAAGGCGCCGGAAGAGCGGACCTGAGTCCCACCAGAGAAGCAGGCCGAATAACAGGACGGATTGCAGGATCAGATATAAGATAGGACCACCAAACGTTGTCATCGAGCCAGGATAAGAAGCAAATTGCCGATCTCTGCAGGTAATCGAGAACACGTTCAACGTGACGAACAATGCTCGAGTCAGATTCGCCACAGGAGATATTGCAGCAATCGTGAAATGACTGATATTCACGTACTGGTCAATTTTGTCGATCGGTGAGTATGTCAGGACGCTCATATATGCAATGAAATAAAGGAGAAACATGACTGCCTGGCCACCGGCCGCAAACGCAAAGGCTGCAAGTTGCGACCTCGAAAACAAAGAAATGACATATGACAGCAGTGTTGAAGCCAAGCCGTACAAGAACAAAACCACAAAGAGGTATTCAATGTGGTACCAGACATCGGAAGCCGCGCGAAAGATGATGACAGCGACGGCGCTGGTAATGACGACAATAGTAAAGTCAAATGTTGTGTATGCGAGCCAGAGGGGCGCTGATCGGACGCCGTTGCTGTAATGTAGGCCTCTGACATTGCGAAGTCGCTCGATGGTTGGGTAGAGAGCAAAAAACGAAGGATAGACAGCCATAGCCAAACCGAAGTAAGTGATCAGTTGCAGTGCATCTCCGACGCTTGCGCCCCATGGCACATCAAATGCCTGATATTGGTTAGAGATTGAGATATTGGTCAGCAGCGTGTCCAATGCGTTTTGCACGATGACCGGAAATGCAATGTCGCCATTACCTTTCCAGGCAAAAGTGGGTGAAGAACCACTATCGCCGAGGAAAAAGCCGCCAGGGGTGACATTTGCGAATTTGTTCTGGATATAGTCGTTAAATTCGTCCAGAGTGTTGACGATGTGCAGAGAGTTGAGTAGTCTGGTTGTGTTTGCAGCGACACCCCCAGCGCCGGTGCTTCCAGCAAACGTGCCGGACAGCATTTCTAGTGCACGCTGATCCAGCCGATCCCGAGGCCCTGCGACAAGCTGATAGTCGATCTGTGTGGACAATGACACGATGTCAGATATCGAAATGGCTGAAGCCGGAGTACATTCAGCCTTTTCGAAATGTTTGAGGAAGAGTGTCACCAAACCAGCGGCAATGATTGGAATGAGCAGTGCTGCAAGATATGGCAGGGTATTTCGACGAAGGACAACGACTCTCTTTGAGAAAAGGGCCATGGCTTGTCGCGTCATGCTAATTCGGCGGCCGTCCAGGAGCTGCGGGACGTCGGCAGCCGAATCATCTTTTATAGCCACGTCTGCGGCTTTGCTGGGTGATGTTGCTTCGTCACTACTACGGCTGCCGACCTCCTGGAGCTTGTTACCCAAGCCGACTTTTTGAGGAGTGTCGTGCGACGATCTGACTTCTTCCGCGACTTTGAGGAAGACATCTTCGATCGTTGGGCCGTTAACCTGGTACTCAGCAAGTCCGGCGCTGTCAATGCGGTTGAGAAACTGGGCAGCTTCTGCGGAGTCGTTCAATGAATATATCGTCTGGTCGCCATGCCGCCTATGGCTTATCTCTTGATACGTGGGGAGTTGCTGGGCCCCATGAGTATGATAGACGTGCACCCGATACCCGGAGCCTAGTCTGTTCTTGAGCTCGACAGAAGTACCCGAAGCTTTCAACGAGCCCTTAGAAAGTATCGCGATGTGGTCAGCAAGCAGCTCGGCTTCGTCCAGAAAGTGTGTCGTCAGAATGATGGAGCGCGTGCCACGCTCAGCAAGCAATATGTCCCATATCTTGCGTCGCGACAGCGGATCCAGACCAGACGAAACTTCATCCACGCAACATACCCTCGACCCTCCTGTAAACATCACGGCTAGCTGGAGCTTTCGTTTCTGCCCGCCGGACAATGTTTTGGAGCGAGCATTTGCTTTCGCCACGATGTCGCAGGAGGTAAGCAGGGACATGTTCTCGTCTTTGGACGCGGGAGTTTTGCTTTTGATCCGATTGAAGATTCGGACGTGCTCCTCGACCGTCAGATCGTCCCATAACACATTTTTCTGGGGACACAGTCCTAGACCCGTGTTTGCTTCTGGGTAGTTGATCACGATCTCGCCAGATGTGATTGAATTGAGACCTGCAATCGCGTCAAGTGTCGTGGACTTGCCAGACCCATTTGCCCCGAGCAGAACCATGATTTGACCCCGTATCGCATCCAGACTCAATTGATCGACAGCAAGGACAGTTTTTGGCTTCTTTCGCCACAACAAAGCCCGCAACTTGGCAAAGATCGACGGTCTATACACCTTTGTGAATCCGACAAGTGATATCGCGGTCGTATCGTCAGAGTAGTTCGTCTTTCTGCTCTTTGAGGCAGTTCCGTACAGGGCCCGCTCCACGTACGCTCCGAGAATGGGATACATGACTATCTGGATGACCGAGAAGATCCAGAAGGCAATTCCTGGCAGAGCTGAGGTGTTATTAGGCGCTTGTTTCACCAAGTTTGTTCCCAGGTTCTGTCTCTCGTAACGAGCCATGAAGATAACGAAATAGACATAGTTCATGGGCGGGAAAAGCAGTGAAAGTATGGCCACTGAAGCCGTGCCTGCTTTGCCCGCGACTTGTGCAATGATAGCGAGCAGCAAGCTGGTAATGACAGAGGTAATGCCGCTAAGCTGGGCTTTCTTGAAGAAGGAGGCTCCAAAGATTGACAAGGAAGACATCGCCAGCCCCGATAGGATGTTGAAAATGATCACGATGGCTGTTGATGTTTTGCTGAAAACGCCCACGGAAAGAATGATGGCCATGATGATCCAACCAGGACCGTAGAGCAGATCAAAGGCGGCATGATTGGCAACTATCCTTGCCATTTGTGGTTGCCATCGCTTGGAGTTGGGCATCATGCAGTCAAGCAATTGTGCCATGCCTTGTTCTCTCTCAGCCGCTATGAGTCCAGTAAGTTGGTAGGTCACGCCAACCACCCCAATGAAAAAGGCGACTGCAAGGATGTCGATGATGCCTCCCATATACCTGGTCCTAATCTGTTGTAGTCGCTGCTCCTTCGTCATGGACGTATAAGGGTATTCCTCCACCCGCTCGGGCAGAGTCCCCGAGCCATTGTTTCCCGATTCCACCTCTGAAATAGCGCGGTCGATGGCATGTTGAAGAGGGAGCAGGTAGATCTCTACATCGTTTTTCGAAGAGTCTGTCACGATCTTGTTCTGCAGGCCCCCATCTGCGCGAATCGAGTAATTCCAGCGACCAGCCTCGCCTTCCGATGGGGAAGAGAAGAATACCGCTCCGGCGATGCATGTTGAAGTGCCTCTGATCGAGTTTCTGCAAGTTGTCAAAAGGTCCACCTCTTGTGACAAGATTTCTACTTTTCCGCTAAAAGAGCCAGCATCGCTGGTGACTCGATCAATGACCGACTGAATGGGACCATCTGAAAAGCCATTGTTGACAAAGACCAGCTTGTCTCGCCCACCGGATACGAGGTCGAGAGCCTGAGGCAGATCACGGACTGAAATAGGACTGCCAATGCCGTAAACAGAAGGCGGGATGAAGAGAAATCGTGCGTAAGACCTGTGATTGTCAGAACTGGCAGACACTGTGTGTATATCGGTACGCACAGAAACCCCACAAAGATGCAAGGTAAGAGAAAGGCTCGTATTGTGGTAGTAAACCAGCGTCGCACGAAAGCAATGAGAAGGTTCTTGAGGATCAGAGTCCAGACTTGACGAACGAAGAGAGCCATCTTTGGAGAAACGAAGCAAAACGAGCCGAGGAAGGAACGGGTGAGGCTGTTATTGATATTGTGACATTTTCTGGGTCTGGTAGGTTGTTGAATATGGACATGAACGGGCAAATATTAGCACAGTAAAGGATATGTACTCAAAGGCAATGTATCAGACATGATATCCAGACTGGACCACCCTCCAGGGGACTTGATGCAGAGCGGAGACGTTGATGCCTGGCGCGGTCGTCTTGTCGAGGCGAAACAGATGAAGCAGCGAAGCAAGACCACAATTTCCAGCGCAGTCTATGACGACCACTAACAACCAGTCTCGCCAGTCTGGAAAGAAATACGCCATACGCGCGCCTCGGCAGTGCTGGGCGTCAAACCATTTACCCGTTAGGGTCCATCATGGGCTCACCAGGCCACTGGGCAGGCCTGATGGGTTTTAGCTGCTTGGTTCCGGGTGGCTTAGACGTGACAGCTCCCCATATTTGAGCGAAGAGGGTCCCCTGGAACGTGGAGATTTTGCTTCTCGGCAGCTCACACCTGCACCTTGCAGAGGGAACGGCATGTTTTCTGCACATCACGTTTTCCACGCCGTAGGCCGCACGTGTCGCCCGGACGACATGCCCTTGATGGCACCAAAACCATCGCACTCATGCCTTTTCAAGACCACAGACTTGTATTCGAATAGCCGTTTCCTTTTGTGACGGCGCAATGCTAGTCTAAGAGAAGAAGCATGCCGGACTTGGCTGTTTGGAGCAAGCAGAGGAACTGGCTGATTTATTTGACATGCCAGCCCGTGTTAAGACAACATGCGCGTATATGGACCGTGTCTCACCTCAGGACGCGACCGATCGAGACACGTGCGGACAATTTGGATGTGCCAGAGCTTGATACATATGCTAACGCCGACTGTTTTGATGCTACGAAGACAACTGCTCGAGAAACATGGATCAAAGCTCAGATTCTCCCGACGGTGTTTCAATTTCTGTTGCGTTTCTTGATAAGGTCGGCTGCCTTCTCAGCCACCGCGTACATCGTGGCCTGCAAATGAGCTGCTGGGATGATTGGCAAGATCGAGCAGTCGACAATGCTGAGCTTCCTCGTGCCATAGACCAACAAGTCCGAGCTCACCACACCTCCGAGTTGCTGTGGCATCATCGGGCATGAACAGCTTGGGTGTGCGAATGTTGGGCTCAGCGCGGAAGATCCGAAAGGGGACTTGGAGACCAACAATTGGTTGAAAATCTCATCCTCGGTCTTGTATTGTGGGCCCGGCACAGTCTCGACAGGAGCCAGGTGAGCGAGAGCATCTGTGGCCATCAACTCACGTGTAAAGTTCACCATGATACCAAGCTGTGTCTTGTCAAAGGGGTTGCTGAAAGCGTAGTATGTCACCACTGGTTCTCCATGAGGGTTGCTGGCGTTCAAGTAGACAGTTCCACGAGAGAGTGGTTTCTGCATAGCATTTGGAACCGAGCCACTTCCCTGGAAGGGCACCTCGAGAACAGCGACTTTGCCTGATTTGATCTGGCTGGCGAGGATCGTGCGTTGCGCTGCGAAGCCGGCCAAGAGTGCCTTGCTCGAGCTATAGATCGGAGGCAAATAACTGGCAGCATTCTGGGCCAAGAGCGATGAAATCATGGACGATGCCTTGTTGGTGATCATATTGAGCGATAGGAAGCCGGCGCTGCTGCCTTGAGCCTTGGTATATGGACCGGTCAGTTTGTTGAGATACAAAGACACTGCTTCGGCATTGTATGTGGCATTAGCCAACAAAATACCTGGATAAGGGAACGTGGCATTTACTGTGTATTGGTCAGTATTGCTACATCATGCTTGTGGATTGTTGACATGACTTACAGTTCCAGTTGAGATAGGCGGTAGGATGGTCCTGGAAATTGCTTCCAACGGCAGGGAAGTTGAGCTTTACGGGCACGCCGGCGGCTTTCAGGACATCTTTCGGTCCGATACCACTGAGTTGCAAGACTTGAGGTGTATGGACTCCGCCAGCCGCGAGGATGACCTCCTTGTTCGCCTTGAATTGATACACTTTCCCAGTGGTCCTGTCAATGGCTTCAACACCCTGCGCCGTAAGGCTTCTGTCGAACAAGACCTGGGTCACTTGGTACTCAGTCAACATCTTCAGATTGCTACGGTAAGACACAGGGTCATAGTATGCATTGAGCGAGGATGATCTGGTCTTCTTTTTGGGGTCTTCGGAGGCAGGAGTCCAGAAGACGCCGACAGCATTACCGAGAGCATGTTCGCGTATGAAGGGGACGCCACATTCCTCGAATGCAGTGAAGAAAGGATCTGGATGTGTTAGAGTGGATTTGTTCACGATGAGTATTGTTCTCGCTTACAATTGTCAGGATACTGGAACTCTGGGTAACAGGCCTGCAATGGTCCGTTCCCATACGCAGAGGTGTCCCATGTGTAGTTGTACTGGGCTTGGATGGCAGCGGTTGGCGGCGTGAAGTCGATACTCTGAATATTCTATCAGCAGAAGTCCAGTGAGCGGGTGAGATGATGTTTGCCTTTTTGAAGTAAGGGAACAGACCCGACCAACCCCATCCGGGGTTTCCCAGCTGCTCCCAAGAATCATAGTCTGCAGCCGAAGCCCGGTCCAACTCCATACCATTGACAGTCGAACCACCTCCTGGCACTGAACCTGCTAACACGGAATAGGCGTTTCCACTCATCCCAGGTTCCGGAGCCGAAGTAATGTTGAACATGTCTGCCGAGTTGAGTAGGACAGCGTTGCCTGGCCATAAGGTCGTGTTGCTTCGGTCGAATGGTCCAAATTCAAGGACAAGAACAGATGCTAAGACACTGTTAGGGATTTGAGCCGTCTAAAAAGCACCAGCACCGACCTCTGCTGTCTTCCGAGAGGCGATTGGCAACGACGAGCCCCGAAAGGCCTCCGCCCACGATCACATAATCGAACTGCTTTGCAGAGCTGCCGAGTGTACTGAACGTGTCATTGCTGCTGGTACTGCTGTCTTGAGGTAGCCCCTTTGCAAGACTGCCGAAAGCGAGCAGAGCAGCACAGGTTGAGCTGAAGTGCCCACGAAACGAAGGAGACATGATAACGAGTGACTACACAATTGAAAATGAGCGACTAGGGGTCAGATCGAAGGCCGTGGGAAGACACAGAAAAATTGATTCGGAATTCAGTGGGCAAGCAACTCATAGATATCCTTCATGTTGTGTATCTCAAGAGGGGTGCGTGGTTTTCGGCAGCTGTTCATGGTCCACCACGTGGGCTAGTCTGCCATTGCTTTCGAAAGCGAGATCAGAACTCTTCTCAAGTGGTATTACCTATTGAGATCCATCCTTCGAACATTCTGCACCCCTGGAAAGACATCAGATTATTGATCATTGTTGGGGTCTAGAAGGCCAATCTGCCACTGGCCAGGAATATTGATCGCGAGAGGAGAGCACCAAGCTATTAGTATTGTAGCCGGCGCGGCTAAAATAAAACAAGGGAGCTCCTAGGGAAATGGGATAGGGTATTGACCGGGACGAGTGGCCAGGACCTCTTGCACCTGTCTCTCCCTTCTGATGAGACAGACCGAGGCTTTCCAGCAAGCTGTTTTGACAGACCATCGCCAAGCTGACGCCAGCCGGGAATCCTAGGTCGGAGGATACCCCAGATGCGTGCTTAGACGCACGTTTTCCAAGCCTTGCGTCTTTGATTGCATGGCGAGCGAAACATCTGTGGATACTACCAGGCATATTTCCGCTCCGTGATGCTATCGACTAGACCAAGAAGCTGTCTGGATGGGCGGCGTTATTATTCGAGCATAATCAAACCAGGAGCAGGCATGATTGCAACTCATGCATTAGCGGTGAACAACCCAACAGCGACTATCACCTACTGTAGTACTACTAGTACCATAGTATCTGGTGGGATCAGATTCATATGCTCTTGGCGTCTCCAACCGGAACATCCATCGCCTTGAAGAGACCGAGGCAAAGGCCCGAAAGGGAGGTCACAGCGGCACGTATGTGGCTTTGATGAGCGTGGCAGCTGGGAACAGACAACTCGCCTGTTAAAGGCTGCGCAGAGGCTGGAAAGGACAATGTTGGGGTCAGACCTCGAACCTCGTCTCGACACGATCGAAACTTCTCCGCGTACGGAGTAGACCTAAAAGATTTCGGCTTGGGAGCCGCTGAAGCGAGTCCACACCTCAAACCACAAGATTGCCACAGCCATGGCATATTCTGGCTCGCCACGAAGGATTGACCGCGGGCCAGGTCCCAAACCAACCAGCTAATCGGCTAGCACTCGCAAGCCTAGTCTTACCGGGCACGGAATAGTGGCAGCAACCGGTTCGCATCTTAAAACTGACGCTAGAAATGGTTCTGCGATCTAGTCAGCCTCATCAGAATCCTTCATCACAGTATACGGAGCAGCACTAACTTTGTATAGAGCCCGGTAATACGAGTAACAGTCCTTGCAGCAAGGACGATGTTTGGGCTAAGGGGGTTAGACTTTACCCCTTTGCAAGGATTGTTTGACGGGCCGCTGCAACTTCACAACAGATCGTGAAAAGAGCTCTTCGAAAGGCAGCCGATGATTTTTCTTTGGCCAACTTCAGCAACGCTGATTTGTGGCATAGCTCATGCTAATCCGGCTTCCAACCACTTGACCTGCTTATGCTGTGCTCCGATACTCCCCATTGCTGTCTCAGGACAAGGGTGTGAAGGCCAAGGACCCCCGAACGATGGACATAGCGCAATAGGGTAGCAGGCTGGGGCCGCGGCAAACTTTTGCTCATGCAATGTGCTGCAATCTCTGTTCAGACGGTGAGTCTTTGTTATGGAAACTCTTGCGAAGTCATGATATATTCCTTGCCGCGATGTTGCCATCCATTTTTCTACACTGAAAACCCCGATCTGCATTCCACTCTATAGAGGACGGTCTATAAGTGCAGAATGGCGGACACGCCAGTGGTGGACAAACCGAGCCGACAAGCAGAGTTGCTGGGTGTGTCTATCATGCTCACAGTCTTTTCTTCGATTTTCGTTTCTGCAAGGTTGTGGACTAGACTCTTCAGGTCGAGGTCGTTCGGTTGGGATGATGCTTTCCTTGGACTGGCGATGGTAAGTTCAGGAGTCTCCCTAGACACGAATCCTCCTCGATGGCTGACCATACCAAGGCAGGAAGCTGGGCAGGGCAAGGCCTTACCATCGCCCAAGTCACGAGAGGGCTGGGCCTTACGATATCGAAGGTTCAGCCATCCAACTTCGTACCAATGCTCAAGTACACTCAATTCGCAATATTCACGAATGGCATTTCAATGTGCTTCATGAAAGTCGGCATCGGACTATCGCTCCTGCGCCTTAATCTGAGCAAACCACTCAACTGGGCTGTGGTGGGCTGCATAATCCTCAGCCTTCTGGTGAACCTGATTGTGTTCCCGGGTATTTTTGGGCAGTGCCAGCCTATGAACAAACTGTGGGATCCCAGCGTCGAAGGCACCTGCTGGCCGGAACGTGCTAGTCTAGCATTCGCTTACACGCAGACAGGTATGTATAGGCTCGTTCACCATGCGAGTGTTTTCGGGCTGATATCTTTCAGTTGGAAACATCCTGACCGATTTTGCCTTCACTTTTGGGCCCTTGTTTTACCTTTCCAAAGTCAAGGTTTCGCAGTACAACAAATGGGCACTTCGAGGCGTCTTCCTCATAGGTTTGCTGTGAGTCTGGCTCGGCTGGTCATGTCGTTCTTCTTCTAATATGGTTGCAAGCGCCACTGCTTGTGCCATCGCAAAGGCAACAGAACTTCCAAAAAACGAAACGTCAACAGATCCTACTTGTGAGTATATCCCCATCGATTGCCCTTATTGTTTGTTGTGCTGATGGATTTCAGATGACACTGTCTCTTTGACACTTTGGGTCATGTAAGTCATCGTTCGGAGTACCACACCCCTATCTTCGTTCTGACCGACTGTAGCGCCGAGATCTCAGCCGGTCTGTTTGCTGCCTCCCTGCCTCCCCTCAAAAGCACCTTTGAGCGTATCCTGGTGCGAGTATTTGGCGTGCACTCGGGCCTCACCACTCCTTCCGCAACCAGGACCAAGGGGCATAGCTACACAAACAGTCGGACCCTGCGGTCTTCACGCCGCCCACCCCCAGGCAGCTCCATGGGCACTGGCTTCGAGTTCGAGGAGAATATGCCGCACGGAACTGCAACGTATGTCATGGGAGACATGGGCAAGATGAAGAAAAAGACAGACAATGAAACCATTAGTGTTGAAGAGGACCAGAAACACATCCTTCATGCAGGAAGTGTCAAGACCGGCAGCGAGGGGAATGAAAATGAAGGGCCCCAAGGAGATTGGATAACGAAGACGATCGAATACACCGTGAGCGATGCTCAGTCTCTGCATAATCGCGGAAGGGACTGACACGCGGTCCTCGGTGTCAAGATTGCTAAAGATCCCACGATGCTTGGGCAACTGTATAAATTGGATGAATCGAAAGCGTGTACATACAGTCTGTCACCGACCACCCTGTATTTATATCAACAGCACAGATCTCTCAAAGGTTTGAGTTGAAAAGAATCTCTGTTAGACTACTAACGGTTCCACGGGCTATGTCGCCTATCTCCGTCTCGAGTACAATGAATCGACACTTCATCTTACTTTCAAGTGATCTAACTCTACTACCCCAACATCGGACAGCAATCCGAGTAGCAAACAACCAAAAATACCTACAGACTTCCAACCATATTCGATCGATGCACCAAATCTGCGTGTCTGGTGTCAGGCGCGCGTCGATAGCCACACAATGCCTGCCCATATATCCTCCCGGTGGTGAATCTTAGGTAGCAAACGTCCCTTGATCCATTCTGCCGACGAAACACATGTGGTCCGACTCCCTCAGAATCTTAACAAGAGCACGTCCTGCTATCAGTTGCGTAGTGTTAGTCTGTAGGGTCATGACAAGACGACGTGATTGATGATACCAGTAAATGATGACGGGAAATATATTAGAAAGTGTGCCGGAATACCATGTTCGTTCCAGAGTATCTTGGATACGAAATGGCAAGAATTGCGATCAATGGTGCTCACATCAGGTTTCACGTCGTTCGAGATAAGTATTAGGCCCTTGAAGGTGCCCACGAATCCTTCCTTTGTCACCCTCATTAGAGGAGATGCGTCCATTGACACCACAGCCGTTTCCACTAACGCGGCAAGGAGTTCTCGGGGACGCAGAGCAACAGCCCCAAATTCGTAGAAACTCCGCAGTCCGTTGGTCTTCCGGGTGCTCGAGAGACCACGTATCTGCTCGCAAGTAACCCAACACAACCCAACGAAGCAGTTGATTTCATCACGTTTGTGACTTGTATTTCGATAGCAAGCAGCCTTGATAGGGTACGCGACTGGGGGTGACTGGGGATGCCCAGGATCGACGGAGATCCACTAAACTTTAACAACATTAAAAAGTGTTTTGCTAGGACAAGACCAGGCAGGTCAGCCGAATGACTTCATCTTTACTGACTACATTTCCGAACTGTACCGTGGGTGCGTGGGCGCAATTAAATTAATCAAGTCCTTTCTTATGACCTTGTACTTATTTTCTCCCGGCTGTGTGAACATTGATACTCTCTATAATGTCTAGCGAGTGAGCATTTGCATATCGTCTTCCCTGTCAGCTGCAAAAATCTTCTTCTCGGTGACGGTTCAGGGCAGCGAGCCACGATCCGAGCATTTCCTACCCTTTTCGGTCTCCAGCTTCATCATCCTGTCCTGATACGTCTAGATGCAGAAGAGCGTGTTATACACCTTCAAGCCAGCTGCTGCTGCGCTCAGACCCTGTTCGCAATGTTTCACAATCATCCGGTCGAGACAATTGTTCAGACGCAGGCTGCAGCCCTTCTCGACCTCTCCTAACTGTACCCAAGAGCGACCTCCCCCTCCGAATCACAATGACAAGAATCCTTCTCGAACCGAACCACCTCCCAAATCTCCCTCAATGGAGATCATTCTGGCCGAGACCAGTCCGGAAGATAATTCCCTTCTCGCTCCCGTCCACATTCCCGAAGCACCGAACGCCATCTTAAAGTCAGATCACCCTGCCACAAATATTCTCGCCCAGTCAGGAATCGTGGTACAGAGGCAAATAGAGATGATGAACCTGTTCCTGGGCTTCGAACAAGCAAATCGGTACGTCATACTAGATCCTCATGGAAATCATATTGGGTACATGGCGGAACATGATGGAGGATTTGGAAAAGTCATGGCACGCCAATGGCTGAAAACACACCGTGCATTCACGACTCATGTGTTTGACAAGCATGCAAAAGAGGTTCTAAGATTTCATCGCCCATTCTCTTGGTTTGTCACTCATATGCGGGTCTATGATCCTCTAGAGCCGAACAGCAAACCGTCATCCTCCACGTCCGACGGTTTAGTGAGCTCTGACGGGTTGACTGGTATGCAACAAATCTCGCATATGCCTCTTGATACCATGCGCGTGGTTGGTGAAGCTGTTTCCGAATGGGCTCCCATGCGACGCAAGTACAACTTATTTGTTCCTCAAGACGACGCCGTTAGTGAACCAGGCTCTGCGAGGACGAGCTCACTATCGTTCCATCAGTTCGCAGCGGTCGATGAGCCCTTCTTATCCTGGGATTTCTCCCTCCGTGACCGAAATTCTCGCTTGGTTGGCTCTGTCAATCGAAGTTTTCGCGGATTTGGTCGTGAACTATTCACGGATACAGGTAGTTACGCCCTTCGTCTGGATGCGGCGGGATTAGACAACGAACAGAATCAGGATCAAGCCGCATCAGAACCAGGCTCGAAGCAGCATGCCTATGCCGAAGCCTTAGGAGGACATGACGGCAACTCCAGTTTGACTCTCGATCAAAGAGCAGTGATGCTCGCCACGGCCGTCACGATTGATTATGACTACTTCTCTCGCCATAGTTCGCATGGGAGTGGCGCCTTTCTACCAATCTGGCTGGGTGGCGGAGGCGAGGCAGCAGGTGGTGCGGCTACAGGCGCAGCAGGAGCTGGTGAGGCTGCTGGTGGCGCTGTTGCAGGCGGAGCCGGCCGAGCTGTAGGCTCAGCCGCAGGTGGAGTTGGTGCTGGTGAAGGCGCCATTGCCGGTGCCGGTACAATGGCAGGCTATGAAGCAATGCAGAGAGGTATGGGAAGAGAATCTCGACCCATGGGGGACGACGCCAGTCCTCAGGACCAACCATATGGCCAGCCCAATGACTCTCAACCTCCACAAAACACACCCAGCTCTGAACAACAACCATTCGACCGGCCGTTTGATTCTCAATCGCCGCAACAGGGCTTTGGTGACCAAAATCAAGGCCAGGACGTCTGGGGCCAGGGCTCAGATCCATGGAGTGAAGGACCCGCGCAGGGTCAATCAGGGGGTGGTGAAGGTGGAGGATTTTTCTCGTCTCTTTGGGATAATTTCTTTGGAGATTAAATGAGTGGACATGATCGGATACAAAAGTCTCATCGGCTTCACCCCGCAAGTACGGAGCTACACTGTCGCACTATTCGTTTTCATGTCGAGACAAATGCATCTGCTGTCTAGATGAGGAGTCCTGACGGACACTGGCGGCTATTCTCGGTTCGACTTTGAGAGGGTCCAGATGCTGGCGAAAGCCTCGTCGAAATATGCGTGGTAGTCTCTGATCTGGGTCGATCTCGGTACGATGCATATACTGAAATGGACGGCCAGCGCTATAAGAGCTCCATTGGCAGGTATCCGTCGCACCTGTGCACCTTGCGCAGTGAACACTACGATCTTCGTGATCTTCTTATCTGTCAGCAGCTCTTCGGCTGTTGATCCTACTTGGCATTACGACTTCGCTTGCTGGGGCTTTGGGTACGGCAACTTGTCCAAAAGGACGTGGTGGGCTTTGAATAGTACCCGCACATGGGATAGCGATCAACTCCCACCAGTCAGCAACACGAAAATCTATCTACCCCCCGACTCCGCCCACTTGGCGTAGCCCGCATCTCTTGGCTGCCGCTTGCCACGTCTTGGACTGCATCATTCTACTTCTTGCATTTGTCCTTTGCCAGTTTGCTTATCTTTTCTCCTTCTCCATTCCGTCCTAGAGATTCTTGGATTCATACGCAGGAGCTTGTCCGGCGCCTTGGCTCATGCTTCGAGCGCCCAGAGGAGCCACTGACGTCGCATCGCTCAGCTGCCATGATCACGATAATCAACCAAGGTAGGCTTCTAACTAGGTCAGCCTTATCCTGGTCCTCTGCTTTGATGCAGTGTAACGTAACGCGAAAGCCAAATCACCAGGAATAGCGTCGTGTGACCGAATTGACATCGGCCCCTTGAAAAAAAATGATAAAAGAGCATGGCCAGGGCCCAGCAATTTGTGCGCGTCTCCGCTGGCCTTCGCACTTCCTGCTTCCCATCTCACAGTCACTATGGCAGGCTTTCATGAGAGGAACCCGGATTCGCCTGAGATGATGGAGAAACCCGATTACAACACCCAGCAGAGGACTCTCTCCCCAACGGACAGAGTTGACGTTCAGGGAACCCAGTTCCAGGAAGGCACTCAGCTTCATCGAGGTCTCAAAGCTCGCCACATTACCATGATTGCCATTGGGGGAGCCATAGGTCAGTGATACCATCACAGCTCACAAGGACTGCTTCTCATTCTGATGGCTCCAGGCACCGGTTTGATTATCGGTACAGGTCAGGCGCTGGCCCGCGCTGGGCCTGGCTCCATATTCATCTCATACACGGTCGTCGGCTTCATCGTCTACCTAGTGATGTGTGCACTAGGCGAGATGGCCGCCTGGCTGCCTCTCTCATCTGGCTTCACTGGATATGCGGCTCGCTTCTGCGATCCCTCGTTAGGCTTCGCTCTCGGCTATACATACTGGTTTAAGTACATTATTGTCACGCCTAACCAGCTGACAGCTGGAGCACTCATCATCCAGTACTGGGTAGATCGTGACAGAGTCAATCCTGGAGTCTTCATCGCCGTTTTCTGGGTCGCCATTGTCTGCATCAACTACTTTGGGATACGATTCTTTGGCGAATTTGAATTCTGGTTGTCGACTATCAAGGTCCTTGTGATTGTGGGTGTCATCATCTTGTCGCTGATTCTCGCACTGGGCGGCGGACCTGACCATGATCGCAAAGGGTTTCGGTAGGTTCTCTTTATTGATGCATCGATCAGGCGACTGATAGAAAGCAGGTATTGGAACGATCCTGGCGCCTTTGCAGAATATATCGATACAGGCGCTACTGGTCGTTTCATCGCCTTCTGGTCTACAATGGTCACCGCTACGTTCGCCTACCTCGGCACGGAACTCGTCGGCGTGACAGTTGGCGAAGCTCAAGTAAGTAACGTTCCCGCCGGAAATGGTGTGGCCTCTGCTGTAGTCTCATGCATTGTTTCTGGCCGCGATGCGAGAGCTTTCTGACGACTTGTAGAACCCACGCAAGACTATCCCCCGCGCCATCAAGCTTACTTTTTATCGGATCCTGTTTTTCTATTGCCTCTCCGTCCTATTACTGGGCATGCTGGTCCCCTACAATTCCGAAGAGCTCGCTTTCGCTACCAAGGCATCGAGCTCGGCGTCTGCATCTCCATTCGTCGTTGCCATCAAACTTGCTGGGATCAACGCTCTCCCTGGCATCCTGAATGGCTGCATCCTGCTGTTCGTCTTCTCCGCCTCCAATTCCGATCTGTATATTGCCAGCCGGACCCTGTACGGTCTTGCGAGCGAAGGAAAGGCACCTGCACTGTTTCGGCGGACCGACCAGCGAGGTGTGCCCGTTTATGCGCTTGGCCTCTCAGCGGCGTTTGCCTTACTGGCATTTATGAACGTCTCCGACGACTCCAAAGTCGTGTTCGGGTATTTTGTTAACCTTACTACTATCTTTGGTCTCTTGACCTGGATATCTATCCTGGTTGCGCACATCTACTTCGTCCGAGCACGCAGGGCACAAAACGTTCCCGACACGGCGTTGGCATTCAAGGCGCCTCTCGGTGTGGCAGGGTCCTGCGGAGCTCTAGCCCTTTGTATCCTGATTTCCCTTACCAAGAATTTCAACGTCTTTACACACTCGGAATCATATGGTGACTTCGACTACAAAAACTTTGTCACCGGATATCTGGGCATACCTTTGTATCTGATCATGATCTTCGGGTACAAGCTATGGACGAAATGCAAGGGCGTTAAGCCTCGTGAGGCGGACCTATGGACTGGCAAGGACATCATTGATCGTGAGGAAGAGGAATTTTTGGCAGCGAAGCGCGCAAAGGAGCTAGAAAGGGGCAAGGGTGGGAATTGGTTCTACAGGACATTTGTCTCGTGGCTTTTCTAGGCCATGCCCATTGTCAGCGAGGCCTTCAACAGGTGTGTAGATATGCAGACATAGATTACTCAGCATGGCACTGTGACCCTCCTCGCACCATACCTCCTCCTCTCTCCTCATACCAGCTTTCTCCACACTGATCTGCCCGCTGCGGAGGAGCCTGTAGTGCCTGTACGATACTTATATGGCCTTGGTAGCAAGTGTATGGAGTATTAAATACTTAATCGCCAATGCAGGCTAAAGTTCGACTTCCATTCCTGGGTATCTCCTCTTGTTGTTATGAGCCTTCACAATGGACGGCGTCGCCTTGGATACGACAATCCCAGTCCGCCGAAGGGCCAATCTGGTTTGTGTTCGCTGCCATGAGAAGAAGGTGCGTCTTCGGTAGACTTGCCCATGACCTGAACCGATCTTGAACGACTGAGTCTCTTACATATGAAGCAGATCAAGTGTGACATTTCTTCACAGAGGAATGCATCAGGGTGCAGTCATTGTCGTTATGCCCAAGAGGCATGCAGGTATGAACCATACACGATTAGTCTTCCGAACCGCTGACAGCGATTTTCCAGCATCCGCGCTTCAAGGCGTAAAGGTCCTCGTCGACGAGGGCACAATGATTCAGCGACAGATGTGTCGTCTCCTCCACGTAGAAGAGAGCCTTCTTCGCAATGGTCTCCTGCTCAACCAACCACCAACCACACCTTTGCCTTGTTACAGCAGAGCTCAACTATCGATGATCGGGCACGGCATTTACTTCAGAGTACTCGACAATCGCCTGCGCCGGACCAGATGTCGAATGCCGAGACCCAAGAGCAGGGTTATTTGGGCCAATCTGGTTTCATGCCCATCTTCAGTCAACGTGCCCAATCCAATCCCAGTCTGGCGCACTCGTCGTTGCACGGGCTTGACGTATCAGCACTGACGGTTCCCCGCGTCCTCCAGCAAAGCTACACGGAAACGTATCTGGAGTTTTGCTTTCCATGGTGCCCTGTCCTGGAGCAAAAGGATCTGCTGGCTCATGGCCCATTTGCGGACTCGGTCCTTTTGCAACAAGCTTTGGCGCTTTTGGGCAGTATTATCAATCCTCCGAGGTTGCAGCATGCCTCTTCGCAAACATACTACGAGCGCATGAAGATGCTCTTCTACCGCAACCACGAACGGAACTCCCTTGTCCGCATCATCGCCATCACACTGGTTTACTGGTGGAGTGCTGGTCCTCCGAACCTGGTCAGCATGGACAGCCAGTATTGGTGGAACTCGGTCGCCGTCCGGATGGCTCAAGAGATTGGTTTGCACCGAGAAGTGGCCCCTGATCATGTGTTCAGACCCGGTGAGACGGCTAGCCTGAGGCGGCGCGTCTGGTGGACCCTATTTGTAAGTTTTCTGCCTGGTGATGCAGTGTCGACACTGACATACCACCAGGCTCGCGAGCGCCTGACGGCAATCTGTCAAGGACGTCCCTGTATCATCCACCCGGACGATTGCAACGTCAGATCGCCTACCATCGAGGACTTCCCCAAAGACAAGGCCTCTCAAGCCGAAGTGTTCGTCAACTGGGTCAAGATATGCGCTATTGTTGGCGATGTTTCCAAACATTTGGTTAATCGCACTGAATCTACGCCGTTCCCGTTTGACCTTGCGCAACGACTGATCGGATGGGTACGTGCGTTGCCAGACCATCTCCAGCTACCCTTCAGTACAGGGCAGAGTTCGTACTTCGACCGACATCTGTATCAACTCCACCTTCCTTATCTAGCGGCCATCACTCTGCTCTACATGAGTCCATCCGCTCACCCCCTGCCTAAGGCCTATACGGCAGCCATACTGTCCGCTTCCCTAGTGGGCCGAATCTTTGAAGACTATCTGGCAAGAGGACATATTCGTTTCCTCCCGGGAATATCCGGGTGGTACATCAGCATCGCCATCCTTGCGCTCCTGCATGCTCGGCAAGTCAACGGCCTAAGATCTGAAGCAAGTGAGCAAATCGACATCCTGTATGTCGCCCTGAAAGAGATCTCAAAGCTCTGGCATTCGTCAAAAATGTTCCTGGTTGGCTTCGAGAGACTTCTGACCGGGTCACATCTACCGCCTGGTCGGACGTCGATCAATGCACCAGCTCCGTCGAACGGAACCGTGTCGGCGCTGGATGACTTGGCGGGAGAGCCTGGGATCAATTACCTGGACTTCTTCCCTACCGCGACCACGGAGACGAGTCAACTGTTTAAGGTGTTGCTGACGGAGAATCCTCCCAACATATTCATGGGTGCTGAGTGGGCGAACGACTTGAGCATGCAACTGCACGACTTATTCGACCAACCATTCGAGGATGTCAATTTTGACTCGTTGATGTTATGATATTTCTCGTAGTTGACAGCCTCAACCACAGGGTTCGAACATCTTCAGAACATTGGATGCTACAGAGTCAGTCACGGAGAAACTCTAGGCCTGCCCTTTCAGTGCTCCCTTGAAATCCTCCAGGAACCTCCAATAAACCTTCTGCCGCACTTCTTTAGCCTTCCAGTCGTTCGCTTCTGCCGGGAACATATCAACTATGCCCTTGATTGTGCCATCATGCGCATAAATGAACAAGACATTGTCCTCAGCGTCGGCTTCCTGAACCTTCTTGATTGTACGAATGGTTTCGGGAATGTCCAGCCCCATGTTGGGATCAAAGAAAGTTTGGTTTGGCGCTCTCGACCGAGTCTTCTGGATTTCTTCAAACTCCGCACCGGGACACACGCCGCCACGATGATGGCTCAGGGCGGCTAGACGGATCTCTGCTGGAAGAGGCAGAAGCTCGGATGGACGCAATTCACCGGCGTGATGACACAGGTCACCACCCATCATGATGAAGCTATCAGGAGTCGTCCTTGCCAAACCTGCCAGATGTCCGATGGCGTGCCCGGGTGTGTCAAGGAGGTAGAAAGACCCGTCTTCGAATAGGTCGAAGGCCCTGAATTGCCCGATCCTCAGGACGCCGTCTTCTTCGAAGCTGATTTCCCGCACATTTCGGCCTCTTCAGAACGGTGAGCTGAGGACGTGAGTGGCTTTGCAGATCTGTCACTTACTTGAAGTCGCTTTCGCGGACCGGAGAATCTTGCTTCGCAGGATAGCCTGGGAGGAAAGCCTCCTTGAACCCTGGACCCACCACCAACTCCGTCGATGAAGGAAACGTGGAAGGGTCACCTAGGTGGTCCCAATGCCAGTGACTTCAAAATCACATCGTTAGCCAGCATCACGAGCAAAACCAAGGCAAGGGTCGCTTACCTCCAAACAATACTGTTAATACCCGACGGGTCCATACCATCTTCCCGCAGAATATCTGCGACGTGCTTGTCCCCAGAGATTTCCCATCCACGTTTCACCAGACCGTCCACAACTACAGGCGAGAAATCACGCCAGTTGGGCGGAACACCCAGGTCGAAGAGTGCCTTCTTTCCGGTTTCGCTTTCGACGAGAAATGACCACGTTGGTATCTCCGGCATGATATCCATCCCCGGCATGGGCGGTGTCATTAGATAGTCCGTTGGAAGACCATTGATTTTCGTGGTCGAGTCAATGATACGGACACGGGCTACAGCGCCTCCTGGCACCGAGAAACGTTTCGTGGTGACCATATTTGCGAGCTACACCCGTTGATGCTAGAGTTCTTCAGAGGGTACTGTCTGTCTGTCTGTCTGCCTGCCCAGATATTGGTTGTGTCGCAGGGACTGCAGGTACATCAAGGCTGCCATATCGCCGGTTACTCGTCGTCAACCCTGTTGACAGTTTTGCGGCCCGAACCAAACCCCGCACTCTACCTTGAGGAGATGGAGGCACGAGATTAGTAGCACCTAGGCGAGCTTGAAAGCTTTGAAGGCTTGAGGGGTCGACTGCCGGAGTTCTGCGGCCTTGATAACCGCCATTACCGAGCGGCTTCGAGTCTGGTGCAGGGCAAGCATACGGGGCTCGTTCAGGCATCAGAGGCCGTTGGAAGGGGAAGAGTCTGGCTGAGGAGCTACAGAGCTCGCAATCTCTTCTAGCAGCGTGAAGATTCTTGAGTGGCTGAATGTTTACGAATTGTTACAGATTGTATGAGCATGCCGGTACGTCATCCACCTGCAAAGTCCAGAGTCCTCCTCAGAGAGCTTTACGAAACGCGGCCATCAACTACCCGCGGTGAGCTTGTTTTCAGGATTAACACCAAGAAACTACCATACCGGATGAATCTGAACCTGGAAATTCGTCAGCAAGAGCTCATCGTCCTCCTGCAAGACTAGGACTTACCTTGTCGAGATTCCATATTCCTTCTCGAGCATAAACATCCTTTGACAGCTCTTGGAGAACTTCTTCTTTCGAGCGTGCCTTTGCAATGACACAGCTTCCGTTGAACTGCTTGTCTCCGTCCGGGCCAGGAGGTGCGCTCAAGGTGGCGCCTGTCGTCGATCAGCATATCAGGCACAAGATCTGAACAGGGTTTGTAGCCACGAACCTCCCATCACCCAAATGCCGCTATCGATCCGCGGCTTCAGGCCTTCGAGATGCGAGCTGCAACTGATCAGAATGGCTGAGAGGGCCGAGACGTGGTGATATGATACGGTCTTGCTTTCATACGCTTTGGCAGAGCGTCCTGATGATCTGGGATCAAGACTATCCATTCAATGGGTGTCTCAGACATCATGCGCGAGTTGTACAGCTTTGAAAAGATCCCTAAAATTGACCGGCCTCGTCCAGGTGGTTGTCGAAATCACAATACCCACTTTACTGATCTCTGGCAGGCTGACGACCAGGCTGACCGAAAGCACATTCAAACAAAACAGTACCTCGTGCTTACAAATCTATACAACCGAACGAGAACAGCCGGCAAGAGAGTACTACCAGTTCACCTGTTCTCCGCATTTTGTAACATGGAGGTGTGGGAAAACTATGGAGCATCTGGAGAAACGTGTCGGCGACACAGCCGAACCAGTATAACCGAACCACTATCACCTTTGACTCGGCATAGTCCATCTTAGAAGCAGGAATGGCTAAAGTTACCTGGTGGTGGGGAGCATATTGCGGCAGTATAAGATTACCGGATCACCTTCCAAGGCCCACCACTTTCCTGAAACCCTCTCCTTGCCACCTACCTTGTTGTTCGACGGAGAGTTACTCATCTTGGTGTCTGGAAAAAACATGTCTGCAATCCACGTCGATCAGGAACCCAAGTTCAACGCCGCACATATGGAGTTCGAGGAAAAGCCCGCGGACTACGCGCAGGAGCTGGGTGCTCCCCAGCAGGACTTTGTCATCGACACCCAGGTCGAGAAACGCATCAAGTATACCGAAACCCATGTCTCCGAGATTCTCGTTGCTATGCTGATAGTTTTCGCAGGCGGAAGATTGATGCCAGGCTGCTCCCGATACTCGGTATGATGTATACCTTCTCTCTCATTGATCGGACCAATGTTGGCGGTGCCCGGATATCTGGACTTGATGAAGCTGTCGACCTCGACGTGGGTAACAGAGCCTCCACCATCAGTAGGTATCTGCTCAGCCCACGGGATGTGAGCCACGCAGCTCACTGGTGCTACAGTTCTGGTCTTCTACGTAGGATATGTCATATTCGAACTGCCGAGCAACATTGTCCTCAAGAAGCTGGGAGCCGCAAATTGGCTGTCGTTCCTGGGAGTCGCATGGGGACTGATATCTCTGGGTATTGGGTTCAGCAAGAACTGGGGAACGGTGGCAGTACTGAGGGTGCTCCTCGGCATACTCGAAGCGGTGAGTTTGAGTTCTCCCTCCAGGATTTCTCATCCAGACACAACATGGCCTGACAATGGTTATTGACTCTTGACTCAGGGTCTGTTCCCGGGATGTATCTATTTGATCTCGGCCTGGTATCGGCGATACGAGGTTCAGAAGAGGTACGATGAATTTCCTGTAGGGGTAAAACAGACCTCACTGACCCAACTTCCGCAGAATTGCAGTGTTCTTCATGACAGCCTCGTTCCTCTCGTCATTCTCCAATATCTTGGCCTACGGCTTGACACAAATCGCTTCCAACCCGGAACTTGACGGCTGGAAATGGATCTTCATCGTCGAGGGAGCCATCACCGTCGGCCTGGCCATTATGGCACGATTCATCATTGTCGACTTCCCCGAATCACCCAGGAACAAGTTCCTCACTCCCGATGAAGTTCGAGTGGTGACCAACAGACTGCTGGCAGAACGTGGAACTGCCGAAGGTGGCAAAGTGAGCTGGAAAGTGATCAGGGAGACCGTCTTGGACTGGCAAGTCTGGACCATGTGAGTTTTGCTCCGGTCCAACACCAACCAACTTAGTCGACGCTGCTTCCCCACTGCCCTCAAAACACCTACATTATGTCCCGATAACGCTGACGGACGGCTGCTTTTAGTGCGTGTGTCTACATGAGTGGATCCTGCGGCACATACGGCTTCCTGTTCTTCCTGCCGCTGATCCTCCGTAACGGGTTGGGCTATTCTCAGTCCCTCTCGTTTTGTCTCACTGCTCCCCCCGCGGCGGTGGCGGTGATTTACGCGCTCGGAATATCCTGGGCAGCCGACAAGTACCGTGTCCGAGGACCGTTCATCCTGATGCATTGCGCGCTGGGGATCGTGGGTCTTTGCATGATCGGATTCCTGGATCCTCCGACACCGCGATACATCGGCTCGTTCCTGGGAGAGTGTGGTACCAACGGACTCATCGTGACGGGACTGGCTTGGGGCCAGAACAATGTCAGAGGCGACGCCAAACGCAGCGTGGCCACGGCGATCCAGGTCATGATGGCTGCTGTGGGAGGCATTTACTCGGCATTGGTGTTTCGGCAGCAGGTCAGTTCCTCTTTAGTATTTACCCTCTAGCCCCTTGAGGCCTTCCTTTCTTTCCTTGACTGATTGACGAGATTCGAATGACAAACTGACACTGACTCTGACTCTCAAAACAACAGGATGCACCAAACTATGTGCCTGGCCTCGTGGCTACGGGTGCTTTGATCTTGCTGGCTGGAGTGTTGACGCTCATCACCTGTCCTCTGTTGATTCGAGCGAACCGTAAAGCTGACAGGGGTGAGAAGGTCATTGAGGGCGCTGCGGACTTCAGATATACTTGGTGATATATCAGGGAGACGAAGACCCTGGGAGCAGTCGGCAGTCGGCGGTGCCTCGTACTGTTGAGTGAGTGAGTGAAGACCGTTTCTGGCTGGGAGGGTGGTTGTCTTTGCGGTATTGGAGTTTGACCTCATAGAGTACAGTACCTGGGTGGTTTCAATAAAGAGGATAGATTGTCCAAATATCAAGGGCTGCCCACCACCAAGGGGTACTCGGCGTATAAAAGCGTACCATGAGCTATCTAACGATCCCATTCCTATACCCATCAATACTCAGCACCCTCTGTCCGCTCTCCTCATATTCTCTGCTTAACATTTCCTCCCCTTTCGATCCTCCTCCAACGCCTTGACAACATCGACAATCGCCTCGTCCTTCCTACTCGTCCACGCATGCGGTCCTGGGCCCGGATCATTCAACAAACTCACCTCCCTCCACCGATCCGGATGCGTGACTTCCAACACCGTGCCCGACGGGAACCTTTTGCTCGATCCTCCTCCGTCGGCCCCGTCTTCAAAACACACCGCCATCATGCCCCTAGCAATCTCGGCCGTCGAACACAACTTGTCCTTATCCGGATCCACAAACCGAATCGCCTCCGGGTGATCATACATCAGCGGACTCATCGTCGGCCCGGGCGCCACGGCCGTCACCCTGATGCCCTCCATCTCGCTCAATTTCGCCATCGCCCTTGCGAAGTTGCTGATCCCCTGCTTCGCCGCGCCATACAGCGGTGTGAGGATACTCGACTTCTGCGCGCCCGTGCTGCTCACCAGCACGATGTTGCCCCTCACCCCCTGTTGTCCTTGTCCTCGGGGTCCTGGTCCCGCCTGCACCCACTTGCGGATGGCGATGCGCGACATTTTGATCGGATGCTCCAAGTTGATCCGGAGCAGCTTGTATCCGTCGTCGTCTTTGTCGTTCCAGAAATTCGGCGCGGACTGAGCAAGAGAACACAAGACAACATATTAGCCAACACGTCTAGCAAACAAGTCTAGCCCAGCATATATCCAACCACGCCATATATTAACGATGTCAACGGGCCATGTAACCCTACGCAGAGCCCAGCCATAGGCACAACCCGACTGAACGAGCCCAAGACGGAAACGAGACCACGGGACAAGAGGAAGAAAGAAAGAAACAGACAAAGAAGAAAAGGGAACGTACAGGCTCATAAACACCAGCCCCCGGACACAGAACGTACGGCACCCCTCCGAATTCCTTCTCGTACACATCGAACGCGGCCTCGAGCTGTTTCCAATCACTCACGTCCGTCTTGTTGAAGACCACGCGTGGTGCTGGTTGTTCTGCTCCATCTCCGTCGTGCTTGCTGTTGCCAGTGCCATTGATGACCCCGGCCGTGTGTGCGTCTGCGACTGCGTCCTTAAGAGAGTCAAGCCAGAGCTGCGCCTCGCGATGCAGGCCCAGGTCACATATGAGCACGTTGCAACCCTTCTGGTACAATGCTTTTGTGAAGGCCAGACATATTCCTGGAAACGACCATCTCAGGTGTTAGAAAAATGTTTGATCACTCTCGTCAAATTTACTGGCTTAAGGACGTCGTCTCCCCCTTTCTCTCACCCACTTACCTGAACCGCCTCCAGTCACTATTGCCCCTTTTCCTCTCAGATCCGGTCGTGACATTGTTATCTCAGAGTTTCGTTCAGGCTCTATAGAGTAGATCTTGTCTTTCGGTTGCAAAGACCAAAGTTGAAGTCCTCTTAGAACACTGGTAGTGGTCTGCCTAAGCGTAAAATAATGGCAGTACGTTGGAAATTGCCATGCTCCTGTTCTACTAGTATTGTCTCCCATTCCTTCCCCCTTCCCCTTCCCCTTCCCCCTCCCCACGTTTTACAATAGTACAACCGTAATCTCCAACGCTCCAAGAACCGAGGTGACAAACACTAAACAGATCTACATTGGAGTAGAGCCGATACTACCGGCTTTGCCGATGGAGAGAGCAAGACACGAGAAACAAGATTCCATGGGTGCCTGGACCCAGGACTGGACCTCGTCGTGATTATTCTATAGGTACTTGATGGGTAGTACATTTAAATGATCCTGATCACTTTTGAGTGCCCAGTATTATTAACCTGGAGTAGTTTGCACTGGCAGAGAGACAATCACTTGAGACACCCACGACTCCCAATTTAATAACGTCGTGACTTATGAATATTCAAATGTGCGTGGGCAGAGATCTAAGTAAAGGCCCCAAAGTAAGAGCCAGAGCCTTGATCAGCCGACAGCCTGTTCGAGTCCTGTTCGAGTCCAGGCCGGCCGAATCCAATCGCTCATTTAAGCACGAATGCGTGCAACCTCCAGAGGATTCGGCTTTCCCAAAGTCCATCACTGTCATGTCCGCTGTGTCTCAAAATTGCAATTCTGCAGTACAAACAGTCAATGTTCCAGTTCATCCAGAAGCACATCGAACCGGTATCAGTCCAAATATGTCGGTCACCCCAGATTCAAGATGGCGGTCCAAGATAGTGTTCCTCCAGATATTCCTTCGTCCTTTCTCCGAGATATTCCGTCCCCTTCTCTCCCAGATATGCCTCCCCTTTGTCGTCCGGATTTTTCTTCACTCTCGCTCCCAGATGTTTGTTTGCTCCGTCTCCCAGATATTCCTGCAATCCCAAGTATGCCTTCGGCCAAATGGACTGTACTCCGGAGCCTCGGATCATCACCGCAGTAAAATGAGCCTTTGTTCAACAACTTCGGGAGGATGTTGATGGCTTCTTGCCAGTCCCAAACCACGTCCGCCACCAGAGGGTTGTCGTCTTGATTTTCTTGACCTGGAGCAGGTTGTTCAGGCGCGTCATGGAGTGTGGTCGCACCTTTCTCACGCGTCAGTGGTGAGCAGATATCGCCGCAGGAAGCAAAGACCAAAGCTCCGACAAAGTGCAATCGTAGGACCGGGTCCAGAAGCTTCAAACAAGATTGACAGGTCTTCAAGCCATCACATTTGCAAGTGCTGTCCTCTGCAGGTAGGAATGGCCGGGCTCCTTTGTCGTAAAACATTACCAGCTTCTGCTGTTTTCCCGTAGATGAGATTGCTCTCTCATGCGTCAGTTGCCTAGCCAATCGACCCATCAGTTCTCTGCGTAGTTCGAGAACTCGTCTGCCAACTTGCTGAATATCTCTGGAAGTTTCAGCAGGCCGCGAATGATCGACTAATCGGACAAACAACAAAGACTCTACCAATGGCTGCTTGAGACCGGCAGACTCAGTCATGACGATGCTAAGACGAGATTTCTCCTCCTCAATGGGGATGCAGTATGCGCTGAGGACTTTCTTGGCGAAGTCGTCTACAGAAAGGTCGAGCTTGTAGATAGTGTCATCGCAAGAGCCACTGCCAGCATTGCCGTGCGCAGAAGAATTTGGAGGCTTTCGTGGAAATTGAGTATTCTCGGGTTGCAGATTGCCTCTCTTTGATAGCCTGCTGGAATGGTCACCTCCAGGTGGGTTTGGTCCACGACGGCTGCCAGAGATCTTCTGGGCGAGAGCCTTTCTCTTCGAAACATCCCTTGCACTGCCACGGCCAGACTGTATTAATGACTCCGTCCGGCTCGAATTCTCTTTGTTGGACGCCTCAGCCTCCGTCAGATCAACGGGCAACTTCTTAAGTCCTCGTTGAGATGAAAGCGTCGACACTTGAGAAAGCGGATGTCGTTCTCGGCGGGGCGGCATAACATTGACAAGGTGGCTGACCAGCTTTGTCTTGGCGGTAGGCTTTGTAGGTGTTCGGAACACCGCTGCCGGTTCAAAGGGCGGGAGCCTGTTCGAGGACCTGGGTAGAGAGGACTGTGGCTGCACTGGGCGCGCTGGAACAGGCGTCTCGAAGTCTGACATAAGAGGCACAGCACGGAAATATGTACTTGATTGCACATTCGTCGTCGAAGTGGTGGCAGGCATCGGTGGCTTTCTCATATGCACAAAGGTAGCAGTTCGAATTGGACCAGAAGCTCCAGCAAGGCTTTCATCAATAGGGGAGGTAAATGTCTTTTGTTGTCTGCTGCTTGAAACTGTTTCGGCAAGCAGTGTCAGCTTCGAAACATCTTTTGAGGTCGCACTGCCGTTACTATCAGCTGGAGCGCTCGTCCGCTGGCGTTTAGTAGTCGGGACTGCGTCTGTGGCAAATGTGGTGTCTGTCAACCCCCGCTTGGATGCTGCCTGAGATGCAGTGTTGTCTCTATCATCCGCCGGTGCCCACATTCTCTGTCGGTTTCTGTTAGGGCCTGCTTCACGAACCACAGTAGTATCTGCAACCTTCCGCTTCGACGTGCTCTTGATGGGAGATTTTGCCTTTGAGTGCCCAGCATTCATCGCCTCCCGGCCTGCTATAGACTGCTCCGCCGCGACGAGATTCTGGTTGCCATTCTTTCCAGATGCGTCGAGTCTGTCAATAGGTCTACCCAAAGGCGACAGGGCACAATGGGTGCTTCTTGAAGGACTTGCTGTGCTCGGAGTATCTTCTATAACAATAAAAACGGGACTGCTCCGGCAAGGTGTCACGTTGGTATGGAAGCGCTGGTCGAAGATAGCACCAGGGGTCGGAGTCGCTGTGCTCACAGACTCTGGATTCACAATCGATGTGGAGACACTGTCGAGGGGAACGACTTGTTGATCCCTCTTCTGGCAAGGTGCATCGGCGGTCCGCAAATAGTGGTCCACCAGGGCGCCCGGAGTCTGCGGAGTCGGGCTTGCGTTGCTCACCGACTGCGGGTTCACAATCACAGCTCGATGCATTATTGAGGGCGTGGCATTATCGTGAGACGGGTACTGGTCGATCTGACCACGACTGTGTAGCGAAGGACTCGCAGTGCTCTGAGAATGTCCACCGCCCAAACTGCGAGGAGTGGTCTGGGCACGACTTGGTGTACTCTGAGCGTCTGATTCGTGGGGAGCGTTCTTGCCGTCAGCTGCGATCAGACGCTGGACCCAGTCGACTTCATCTTGCTCTTCCTGATCCCAGGCAACTTCCATGCTCTTCTTTGCCTGCTCCTGCAATTCTTCAAAAGAACTTGTCTCCAAGATTGACCTATCCGTGTGCAACTTGATGCTCACTCGAGGGAAACGCGGCACAAAGTATCTGGCGTTCTGCGGTCTCTCATACCCAGCACCCATCACCTCAACGACGAAGGGCTTCTTGAATAGTTCAGATGGCATCGGCATCTCTGTCTGTTCTGTCCGCATGTCGAGATGGTCGGTTGAACTTGCGAACGGTACTTCCAGGTATTTGCCGTGGGCATTCAGGTGGCGGATCTCGTCTTTCGAGATGCCGGGCGGGGAGACGGTGTCCAAAACTCGAAATATGGGTGTGGCATCGAATCTTCTAACCTCCTCCTTGTTTTCGAGACAGGCAATGTAGAACGTCGTCCATGAGAGCGAACCCATTCCAAGCTCCTCGACAACGGTTTGATCACGTCGGCCACCAATGATGCAGAGGTCAACGGTGTCGCCACATCCTTTGATATAGTCTTTCTTGAGCTTGATGACACTCTTCGATTTGTCCCAGGAGAAGTATGGATCGTTGCAGCCCTTCAGCACAAAGCCTTCCCATCTCTGATTGATAGCGTGGACGAAGAAGTTCCGCAACTCTTCCTTTGCGTGAGTAGTCCCAAAATTGATGGTTCGTTGGTAGCCAAGCTCGGCCTCTCCCTCAATGTAACGTACTATACGTTCGAGCTGTTTTCGCCGTTGACACTGAGGTTTATTGGTCAAAGCTTCATCGTCAAGGAGCAAGACGTCGTAGAAGACAAACATGAGCTGCTCGTCGGGTTTGCGGGGTGAATCCTCTGCAACTCCAAGGAACCTCCCACCGTGCATGACGTGCTTTCGGATGGTATGGAACGGCAGTATATCTTTCTTTGACCGGCTATACACCAGAAGCTCGCCCTCAACGATACAATTTTTGGAGAAGGCACATTCAGGTTCGCCTATTCTGAGACCCGCTTTGACGGCGCCATGAAGTCGCACACGGTCATTTGTGGAATCTTTGCCGCTCTTTGAGAAGATCTTGATTGGATCTCGGGCATCTGATAGATCGATGTGGATCTGACAATACTCGCCATCATATTTCCGTTCCACGCTCATGCTTCTTCCACGCACCTCATGGCAGCAGTGCTTGATGCTTCTCGCCTTGACATAAGGCGTCCGCGTGATCATGTTTCCAAGCTTGGGTGCGAGGTATTGTGCGCAGAGTCCGAGCAAAACAGGCACGTAATCCGGCTCAGGGCTTGGTGGAAGCGACTTGAGCTGTGTATGTCCCAGAACCGCAACCGCTGCATCGATTGAGTTCTGTACCGCTAGGAGCTCAGGGAGGAGGAAGTGGAAACATCGGAGGACCGTCCGCTCAGGTATTTGTATAGGGCTGTAGTCTTTCAACATCATGCGGACAAGCCATTTCAGCTGATGGCTCCGCAGTCGCCTCACGATGGGAAACAGTATGTCGTGTGAGTGACTGCTGTTCTGCTGTTTACTGATTTCAGGCGACGAATAGCCCGAATTGGCAGCGAGCTGAAGAAAAGCATGATCAATCTCCTCCAAAGTGACTGGGCTTTCTGGAGCCACATAGACGTCGAACTCTGCCATTACTTGCTCGACGACGGTGGCGAAGTCGATCTTCGCAGTCTTCCATTCTTGCAGAGGCTTGATACACCTGTTTGGCAAGTTCCATATCCTGGCTAAGACTTTAACTAGCCTGACTTCTCGCATGCCATAAGTGCGCTGCGGCAGGCGCTCAGGAAGGATACATGATAAGAATGCAACTGCTGATGGTCCATGCCGAGCGATCTCCCGGCCATATTTGTTGAACCATGTTGTAGTGTATTTGTGGTCAAGGTCCACATTGCGATTTGAGGTTAGCACCTTCTCTTTTCGAGCTCCGTCGAGCTTGTCAAAGAGCTCGCAAAGCCGTTCGAATTTGAACCCTTCAGGCGCCATGGCTTTGAGTGCAGAGTCGGGTCATGGAGAAGATCGGCAGGGTGGTGGTTGATTGTTCGAGGATTGAGAGACTCGCAGCATGACTGAATGGCCATGTCGCCTTTGGTGCAAGCCAGTGACAAAGACATTCGCGATCGCGTGATGTGTATATCTATATTCACATAGATAATTCCTTTGTGACTGCTGGTGACTGATGCTGCGTCTCAGCTCCGAATTGAAGGAAGATTGAGATGTGAAAACTGGGCACTGAAAGAAAGACGCGTCTGCCCCGCGTGTGCGACACCAGTTCACGTGATGCCATTAAATGGAAAGAACCTCGGCATTCCTTCCCCGGAATGGGGTTAGAGAGGTTAGTCACCCATTAGCGAGGCTGAAGATGTCCCTTAGCAGCCCTGGGAAAGTGAAAAGGGGATAACGAGATATTTGTACTTTTACCTGCCACCAGGCTCCTTTGGCTTGATGCCTCTGCTGTCGATGTTTGCTTTACTGGTTTGAACACTCTGTACAACAAAGCCTCTATCAAGTTCTATGCTCACTGTTTGGCAAACTCAACTGGAAGCCTTCTCACACCACCTTGGTCAAGAACTGCGGCACTCCAGCTTGCGGACATTGCGGCCGCCTCTTGGCACAATTACTCTCCTTAGTCATGCATATTCACGTCTTCTGTCAGCTAAACAACCATGCCTATCCACCCTTTCGTTCCAATCGAAACCCGGTAGAAGGCCGAAGTTGCTCGCATGGAAAGCAATATCGCTCAAGCCATCAAAAAGACCAAGCCATAATTCAATGACATGGCCTCCAGCACTGACGCTGGCCAAGATGATCGTTCCAACGATTTGTTAACTCCGTTGATCATCCTCATGCCGCGCCCGTGCCGTGTATGAACGATAGCTATAAGAAGGTGAGAAAACTCTCACTATCCATCCTTGCACTCCACCACTCTCTCAAGTCCTACTATCTGTTACCTCATCTGCTCTGAGAATTTGTCTTGACACCCTAACGCGCATCCACCGTTCAACAACCCACTACTAACTTAGTATCGACACCATGTCCGCTCCAGTCTGGCTCATCACCGCGGCGAGCAGCGGCTTCGGCAAAGCCATCGCCGTTGAAGCTCTTTCCCGCGGCCACCAAGTCCTCGCCACCGCTCGCAACCCTGCCAAACTAGACGACCTCAAAGCTGCCGGGGCCAAGCTCTACGAACTCGACGTGACATGGGACTTCTCCCGCATCCAGGCCGCCATCGACCTCATGCACAAAGACGCTGGCCGTATCGACATCCTAATCAACTCGGCCGGCTACATCCTCGAAGGCGCACTTGAAGAGACATCGTACGTCTTCCTTCCTCGCTCCCCTTTCCACCTCTTCTTCTTCTTCTTCTTCTTCTTCTTCTTCTCCTCCTCCTCCTCCTCCCCCTCATCCATCCATATTAACTCTCTGCCCACTCTCCAGCCCCGAAGAAACCCTCGCCGAATTCACCACCAACGTCTTCGGCATGCTAAACGTGACCCGCGCCGTCCTGCCACACATGCGCGCCGCCCACTCCGGCGTGATCGCCAACTTCGGCAGCCTAGGCTCCTGGCGCGGCGGGCCCGCCTTCTCCAACTACACCGGCACGAAATGGGCCTGCTCCGGCATTTCCGAGTCCCTCTACGAAGAGCTCAAACCTCTGGGCATCACCTGCACCGTCATCGAGCCGGGCTATTTCCGCACCGGTTTTCTCAACGCCGGAGCCCGGGTCCAAAGCGCCAAAGTCATCGACGACTACACCAACACCGCCGCGGGACAGGTCCGCAACGCTCTCACCACTGTCGACAACAATCAGCCTGGCGACGTCGTCAAAGGTTCCCGCGTCATCGTCGATGTCCTTACCAAGACTGGCGTGGCCGAAGGCAAGGACATTCCGATCAGATTGGTGCTAGGCAAGGACTGTGTCGCGACCATCAGGCAGAAATGCGAGAGCACCCTCGCACTGCTCAAGGAGTGGGAACCTGTAATCAGTAGCACCGATCATGACGCTTAACGCGTCCCAGAACCGACTGTGGTAGTTATCAGGAAACAGAGTCGTTTCTATGTCTCAGAACCGGCTGTAGTAGTTGTCAGCACTCAAAGAGTACCATCTATCTCTCTTCCTCAGCCTTTCGTTGAAGACAAATCTATGCCCAGCTTGTCTGTATTTTTAGCTTTGAAACCACATCCTCGCCCGCAGAATCATGATATCCACGATGAGCCTAGCCACGAGGGTGAAATCCGTGGCCCTCGCCCTCGCCTTGCAGCTCCCACCAATATGCACCCCCCGGAACCGCAAACTTGGAGCACGTCTTCTACGCCGGGTTGATAGCAGCAACTACAGTGCAGTCGCTCTCAGCATTAGTCAGGGGCAAAGTGGTTGGCCTGACATACGAGTAACTAACTTAGAATGCTTACAAAAAAGCGGGCCGCGCCTTTCCAGTCCTCCCATCGCCAGAGTACGCGAGAGGACGCCAGATGACGGATAATACGGGCTCACCTTAGCACGCTTAATATCCGTATCAGATCAACCATTATATGAACCTTGAAAGTCTACATGAACAACGCTCTCATAACAAATAATCAAATTGACAAAGGCTCGAGTCATCAGTCCCAAACCATGCCTCCTACTACTAACAAACCCCTAACCTCCGTCACGCTAATCTTCTCTCCTTACCACGTCGGCATCCGCGACCACGCGGTCGGCGCAGGACCGACCCGCATCAAAGAAGCAGGTATCGTCGACACCCTTCAAGACCTAGACATACAGATAAAACAGGTCGACATCCCCAGCGTGTACGACTTCGAAGGCGATATTGGACGCAGTTTTGAAGTCATCCGACGCACGGCGAAACTGGTCGCCCAAGCCCGGCGGGAGTCTTCTTTTCCAGTGCTTATCGCGGGGAATTGCTCCGGTAGTGTTGGGGTGTTTGCCGGATTGTGTGCAAACAACAACAATGCAGCTGAGGTGGGATGTATATGGTTCGATGCCCACGATGATTACAACACGCCGGACACGGTCGTGAGTGGATATTTCGACTCGATGGGCGTGGCGATTATGGGTGGGGAATGTTGGAAAGCCCAGGCAGCGACGGTGCCTGGATTCCCTGAGGGCGGGATGGATTTAAGGAGGGCATTTGTGCAAGTTGGGGTGAGGGATGTGACGGTAGAAGAGGTGACGAGAGTGAAGGAGGGCAAATATGCCGTGATCTGGGGCGGAGGCAAAACCGAGGACAGTGAAAGGGTGGATTACGTCCGAGACTTGGATAGGGTGGTGAGAGAGAAAGTCGAGAGTGGAAATGTGGGCAAAGAGGACGGGTGGGAGGTCATAGTGCATGTTGATTTGGATGTATTGGATAAAGGCGTCGGACAGGCTAATAAGTACACGGCGACGGATGGTGGACTTTTGCAGGAGGAATTAGTCAGTTGTTTGGAATTGCTTGCGACGGGAGTCAAAGAGGCAGAGGGCGAGAAAGGGAGAATCAGGCCGGCGAGCCTGACGGTCGCAAGTTATGACCCGACTTTTGACCAGGACGGCCGGATTTTGAGGACAGCAATAAATGGGATTGTCGCGTTTGTGGAGGGATTGAGAGATACAGGGACATTGTTGAGAGTTCCATGAGTCGAAAGATGCAAAAAGCACGTGAGATCGGGTCTGGCGTCTGCAGAGTTCAAGCAACTGCAACCAGGCTAGTAAACATCTGCACCATGGCTAATCTGACAAGCTTCGATACATATCGAGCTGTAGAAGGGTAGACCAATCGAGTGAGGACCAACGGCTGTATACCAGCAATCACAAAGAAAATGGTCTGTATGATCTCAATAGTTCGGCTCTATCACCAACGCTGATGGCTCGCTGTTGGCAACTAGCCCGCCAGCAAAACGTCTCCTTTTCGAGCCAGGCAATAAGATGCAGCCATCAAAGAGTGCCACCGGAGAGAGTACTTCCGCTGATAGTCACAATGCTCAATCTGTAAGGGGTATCGTTCGTTCGTTCAAGTCGTGAGTGGAAAAGAGGTAGTATAAACACGCTGAGAGCCGACAGTTAATCATCGATTCCTTGTGTTGCCAGAGACCCTCCCGGTCTATCTGAAATGGTGTAGTCGAGATCGTAGATTAAGTAACGTCTTCTCGATTTAGGAGTCCACTACTCCTTGGGAGCGAGGAGTGGCTCAATTTGAGCCTCGGACCGTAACCACCACTCAGGGCTCTCGGGGTTGTGTTGGGTGTGCGATGTTGTGTGACTCTGGCATTGCTGGACTCGGCTGGTGGATTGACTGGGTCCACGTCTTCCGGGTCGAGTGGTACGAACGGCCAGATCGCAGACTTCTTTGTGGATGTGGACAGCGTGGTGAGCACCCGTGAGCAGGCTAATCGCTATCACGCGACCTTCTCGTGCTGGGTGGACACGCGGTTCAGTGACACAACTAAAGAAAGAGTCAGTCAATCTAAACGGATCACAGCTGGCTTAGCTTGGACTCACGAAAATCTTCCATATCTCGCTTCTTCAGCACCTTATTGCTTCGAGACCGCCGCCCGTGGACGATATCATCAAAAGTGACACTGTCCTGTAAGAGGTAATACACCCCAGCCATTACGCAAAACACGCCGAATGAATACAGCCAGATTCGGACCACAGCAACGATATTGGTCCCTTTCCCATCCACGAACCACCCAAAGATACAGAAAAGGGTGGCGAGAATGTCGACCAAGAGGATTGCGGCAGTGAGTTGCCACGATGGAAGGCTTGACCAGAAAGGTCCGTTTGCTCGAGTGATGAAGATTAACCAATTTTCAGAAAGCGAGATCTGGAGAAATAGGACGGCATCTTTGTGGCCATGGTTTTGCACGATACCTTTGTCGTCCCCATAGATGAGCATGGTTGTCAGAGCTATCCAAGTGCCAGCGGCCAAGACCATTCCCAGCAGGATCGATGTACCCCAGAGCTTGGGTAGGTTCCACTTTACTGGCGTCTTCGAGTAAGGCGCATTGTCGTAAGCGATTGCCAACGTCGCAATGTCGGCGAAGATTGCCAGAAAGACAACAAGCTTCAGGTTCAGACACCGGTTTTGGATGGCAATCCATAACCCGAAAAAGATTTCCAGATGAAGTGACAATGCAATGCGATAGACGATGTAAGCGTACATCCGGTGGAAGATTTGTCGAGATGTTTTCAGAGCATCAATGATGGCCGAGAGGCCAGGAGCGAGGAAAACGATATCTGCGGCTGAACGAGCTGCATCAGAGGCCCCTTCGACAGCGATTCCCGTATCTGCTTTCTTCAACGAGGGAGCATCATTGACACCATCGCCAGTCATCGCCACGAGGTGACCACGTTGCTGCAATATTTCCACCACGTTGTATTTGTGCTGAGGGAACACTTCTGCAAACCCATCGGCGGCTTCAACAAAATCGTACACTTCGGAGCCAGGCATTGTACCACCACCAGCAAGACCGAGGCGCTCGGCATTGAAAACATTGGTGCCGAGCCCCAGTTGTCGTGATGTCTCACGGGCAATTCCGACCGCGTCGCCTGTCAACATCTTTATGGAGAGGCCGAGCCTCTTTGCTTCATTGATTGTCTTCGCCGTATCATATCGTGGTGGATCAGCACAAGGCATGATTCCTAGTATCTCCCACTGGCCCTCGCCTCGTTTGCGAGCAACACCGAGAGATCGGAAACCTCTAGTTGCGAACTCTGCGACTTTGTTCTTGTAGGCGATGTCGATTTCCTCGGGAATAGGATGGTCATCTTCAACAGTATGAAGTACAAAAAGTGGTGAACCCTTGACGCAGGTGATACGTTCACCCTGCGGTGATTCAACAACCGCGCTGACCTTTTTCGACACCGGGTCAAAGGGAGAAAACTGGACCACTTTGTATTTGGAGAGCGCCTGCTTTGCCCGTGGATAGTATCGAAGAGCTCTGAAAAAAGCTTTGTCGATCGCGTCCATACCCTTCTTCTTCCTCGAGGCGGCCAGACAGGCAGTAAGCATCAGATCTTCCGGATCGACACCTTGCACAGTATAGGGCTCGTGCAACGAGAGCTTATTCTTGGTCAAGGTGCCTGTCTTATCGGAGCAGAGTACTTGTACTCCAGCAAGTGACTCGATGGCGGACAACTTCCGAACAATGGCCTTCTTCTTTGCCAGGTACGCGGCACCAACAGCCATAGTGGTGGTGACAACGGCAGGCAGGCCAACAGGAACTCCAATGATGGTAATTGATAATGTGAATTGGAGAATTGTGACAATGTCGTTGGATCGATAAAAGGAGGAAATCCACACAACAAGTAAGGTGAAGATCACAAGTGCCAGTAACACGGCACCGATGCCATTGAGGACTTCGGTAAAATGACCCGTACCGCCGGAAGCTTCATTGACCAAAGCTGCAGCTCGACCGACAAAAGAGTTGTCCCCAATAGCAGTAACGATCATAAAGCATGTTCCTCGTTTGACTGCAGACGAGGCGTAACAGGTATCACCTATGCCCTTATCGGCTGCGAGCGACTCACCAGTGATGGACGACTGGTCAACTTGTAGGTAGGCATCTTCGGTAACTATGCGGCCATCAGCCGGTATGATTGTTCCCTCTTCGAGTTGAAGTATGTCCCCAGGCACCACCATCGGTGCTTCAATCTCGATCAGTCGTCCTTCCCTGAGCACCACGGCTTTGAGAGCGAGGGTCTTCTTGAGTTCTTCAACAATGGATCCAGCTTGGAACTCCTGGACAAACCCGACAGTCGCATTGAGCAAGAGCATTCCGCAGATGACGCCAAAATCAACCCAATCCTGCAGGCCGGCAGCAAGGATGGCAGCAGCCTACGTGCAAAGGAGTCAGAACATTGTCAATTGAAGGTCTGGAAATTTATACCTCCATCACGAACTGAATAGGGCCAACAAAATAGCCGAGGAATTTCATGAACAGCTTTTCTCTCTCTTCTTTCATCTGATTGAGTCCGTACTTTTTCCGTCTTGCCACGACCTCCGGCTCTATCAAACCGACCCGTGGATCGGTCTGAAGCATCTCTTCCGGGACTGGTCGAGCGACTCCTATGGTTTCGATCTCGGCCTCGAGTCCATCATCAGGATCCAGAGATTCCAGCTCTTCAATGAGGGCATCTACATCTTCATCCACCTCATCATCGTCTATTCTGGACTGCCCCTTTTCTGCAAACGTAGGGCCATCGTGATGTTCATTGTGAGGCAATTCGGTGGCATTGATGTGGACTCGAGGCGCGAGCTTTGGAGAAGCCGATCCGGCCGAGCTTACGTCTGAAGGAATATCTACCATATTGAACGGTAAGATAGGGAAGGTAAAAGGTTGTAAGGTGGTGGTGCTATGTCAACTCCATAGGGAATGCGGTATAGGTACGCGACGGGGAATTGGTCATTGAGGAGGAGACGTGCAGGTCAGGGCAGGTTAGGGCAGGTATGTTGGGGGCAGCTGCCTCCAAAGACAGTCCCTTGAGGAGAGGAAAGGTCGGTCGGCTTCAATATAGAATATACGGGAATGTGCGAGGGAAGCAATACACATGGAGTCATTTGGGAAACCAAGAGATGCGCAGGAGAAATAGTAGAATGATGATCATGATGGCGCCGGGGTTCCTCCCCGCAAATCCTGGTGGAATTCCTTTCAGTGGTAGTTAGCGGGCCAGACTGAGTGATGGCAGCCGACCCGCTCCAGAGCAGACCACTGTAAGTGCCTGGAAACTTCGGCTTTGGTGGGCTTCCTCTCATTATTCGCTGCGAATTTGCCATGGCTTACATTTCCGAAAACCAAGATGTCCTGGGCAGAGGCGGTGCTGGTACTAGCCAAAGCCTTGTCGAGAAGAGCACCAGCATATGCCCAGCTTCTTCTGTCTGGGCCACGTTTGACCGGATCATCGTGTTACTCCCACGTGCAGCAAGCTTGGACAGGTGGAACAGAGCCCAACGATCCATGAAAGAAGCTCAACGTGTACGTGCATGTCCTACTGCGCCTGTGGTACCGAGAGAAATTATGAAATGAAGTCGAACATCTGCAGAAAAAGTGGTCTGAGGTATGATGAACTATGTAATTGAGTCCTGTATGCCCAATCCAGCGTGACAGAAGCAAGTGTCGCAGTCGAAGGCCTTCATATGCAGCCATGATAAGCTCAGGACTGCCCAGTTGAACAAAAGAAGTGGCACTGATGAACGTTCCAGGTGCAAGTAGATGTCGGTGGGAGCCCCGCCGTGGCCTTTCCCAACAACGATGGAGACCGCCTCAGATGTCCCTCCCACCCCAATCAACGCCGAAGATGCAATTTCAATCATGTACAGGGTATCAATCGAGATGAGTCTTCAAGTCGTAGTCTTCCCCCAGCGCTGTGTACACCTTCTTCGACCCCTATCCTTTGATTTGGCTCGAACTATTCTTGCTGATTTTGCTGAATGCCAGGGAACTGGAACCCTGGAGGGAACACTGGCATGCCAGTTCCAAAATTCATAGGAAATCCCATGGGCGGCATAACACCAGTGTTATTGGCAGAGCCTGGTCGGTCGTCTCGGTCCATTCGGCGATCATCGTCTCGGCGTCTTTCATCTCGGCCACCATGTTGACGAGAGGACTGAGGGCCCCGTCGACCACCTGAATCGGTAGGAACGCGTCGACTCATAGCTATCTATGGTTAGCATATGCATGAAACACAAGGGGAAGGGGACCCATTGCGAACCTTTCGACGAGACTCCAGCACCAATCTCAATGTCAGGTTCTTCAACAACCATGAATTCTTCAAGAGGCTTGCCACCAGTGCCACCGTATTCGGCGGTGAGAAGCCATTTGCGATCGGCTTCCGTCAGTCGCTCGATAGGAATGACACTAACACCGGTGGCATAATCGCTGCAGTCACGTGGGCCGAAGCCTACACCCCATTTGGTCTGGAGCTCGGTCAGTTAGTGAGGACTGTAAGCCGGTGATTTACATTCACTTACTCGAAGCTGTGCGTCGCCCATTTTGTACTCTTCCATTCCATGCCGGGCCGCCTCTGCATCTCGGCGGTTGATCATCTTGATGAAAGCATGGCGTTTGTCGATATTAACAATGCAAGTCTGCACCACTCCGAATCGGCTGAAAAGCTGTCGCAGGGTAGGTTCGCCCGAGGTGACGCCCCCAACAAACAGTGTTCGGCTGTAGACCTTGATATGACCTCTTGGCAGGCTTTTGTCATATGTGATGGTCTTCGGGCCTGGCGGTGGAAGGCTCGGGTCAAGACTGGGGGGAGTCGGGGTACGACGTCTCCTACCAGGCGGGCTTCGTTGACGATAGTCGCGGTCACGGTGCTGATCAGCCGCTGGACTGTCCCGATGGCGTCTGGGAGACAGGTCTCGTCTTCTATCATAGCCAGGAGAACGAGACCGCCGCCGGTACTGGCCCGGAGGAGACCGGGTGTGAGCATCACGTGACTGACCAGCACCTGGGGCCGCCCAATTGTTGGCTTGCATTGGGGCCTGGAATGGTAAGGCATTGGCACTGCCACCAGCGCTCTGCATGTTCAGCAATTGAAGAGCCGTGCCCCACTGATCGGGAGGAACACCTTGAGCAGCCAAAAGCTGCACAAGTTGGATTTGAGCCTGAACGTCTTGGTTTATGGGAGCAGGATTTTGAGGCACCGGAACAGGAGCTTGTGGCTGAGGTAGAAAAGCAGCAAGTGGATTCGGCGGCACATTGGCAGGACTTTGGCTCTGCGCACCGTTACTCATTCCTGCAAGCAAAGCTCCCAGCGGGTTTACAGCCTGCGCGTTGGCGGCAGTGGGAATAGGCCCTTGATTTACGGTACTGGTCGGTAAGGGAGTTCCAGCTTGCGCGCCTAACAGACTATTCAAACTAGATTGTGTGGGTGCAGCTGCGGGTTGCGGCGCGGCAGCATTCTGCTTCGCCATGTTTTTGAGAGCTTCGAGGATGGCGGAGGTATCTTGCTGAGGAGGTGCTGCTGAAGGCATGTTGTTAGATGTTGAGTGCTGACCAAGAGGCACGAAACCTGGTCCAGGAGACCCTTCTGGCGTGGTAGAAACTATGGCAAAGTTAGGATGTCAACATGGCTTGGAAGGAGAGATCGTACCTCTAGGAGCATTAAGTTTTTCTTTGAGGGAGGCGAGCAATGGTGCAGGAAATGTTTGTGAGCGGTCCCAGATCTCTAGGAGTTTGTTGATTTTGACCTATCAAACCATGACAAATATGAGCATCGATCAAGCAGATGGCACAAAGGCGAAAACGATGTCGCTAGGACATGTGGTTTACTGTCGCGAAACATGGCAAACCCATGTGTTTGAGTGAAGCAATACAAAAGCAAAATTCACCATACCTTTTGATCTTCTGGAGCCGTAGCGATGATATCGTTCATGAGCACGGGAAGTAATTCAGTCACTCGATTCACGCCAGCAGCGAATGTTCCATCAGGAGCTCCGCTACCAATCTGCTGACCGGCCTTTCTGGCTTGATCTACCCATTGTCGCGTTACCGAGTCTACGACATAAAGCACTCCCAACTTGTGTGTTCCTGGCGTCTTCTTGAAGTGGGTGTAGATTTTCTGGATAAGGACTGATTCGGACTGGGCAAACGCGTTAGTCAGGTGGTTGTGGCAGCGCAGGTTGGGACTTTGACATACTTGAATATTGGCGGTGCAAAGTGAGGTGATGGAGGTAATCTTGGAACCCGACACTCCAGGAGGCTTGAGATTGAGCATGGACTGCAGGATGGTGTCCAGCTCCGCTACTGCAGATGACATGGTCGATGAAGCGATTCTCCTACGATGTTGAGGTCAAGATACTCGATTTGACTTGGATAGACTAGCCAGAGGGTGTGACTAAATCGCAGTCTGCAAATCCCCGATCGAAGGAGATAAACTTGCAATGGGCGTTGATCCTTCGAGAGGTCTAATCGACTTCAGGTACAGATGAGGTGAAGGTGACGCGAGATGCAGGTCATGAGTTGAGTCTTGCTCTTTTCAAACCCCGCGACTCAGCAGACTTCTACAGTCCAAAATGGCAAGGACGGACGCCTCCTATTGTTCGTGCAGCAGCAAGAGCAAGGATACTATCGTTCAAGTGCAAGTAGGATATTGATCTAAGAAAGATTACGTTGACGGCGCTACATGCGCAGGAAGGAAGGGGATTGATGGTGAAGGTGAGGGTGACGATCGTATGATGATGAGAAAAGAGGTTGGCGAAGAAGAAAACGGGCTGTTTGCAGGCGACAAAGAAACAAGCAAGAGAGGAGAAGAGTGCAGGAGAGAAATGCACCGAGAAAGCTTGGCATGGTCACGTGGATACTCTGGTCTCCAACTCGAGCCGTGATACGAGGGATGATCCTGCAAGCTGGCGTTCGGAGTGCGTCTTTTGCTGTGTGTGACGTCCGGTCTTTGGTTGGTTGATTTATGTCCTGCGGTCTTCCGGAGCTCCATTCAAATCTTTGCTGCTCAAACATCATTCTTGAAGCTCCTCCCTATCTACACAATTTTCTCTCCACTGACCTCACTCCTTCACCCGCCTTTACTTTCTGTTGTTGACTTTCTTCTGTCTGACGATCACCATGGCCTCTTCACTTCGTGTTGGAAGCTCTCTGCTTCGCTCCACCTCGGTCTCCTCCAGACCCTTTGTCCAGAAAGCCGCATTCAATGGTGTCCGCTGCGCAAGCACCAAAGTGAGCATCCGTTCGAGCTTGGGCTGCACTCTTATTGACGTCTCTGCTACCAGACCCTCAAAGACACCTTCGCAGAGAAGCTCCCTGGAGAGATTGAAAAGGTCAAGAAGCTGAGGAAAGACTACGGTTCCAAGGTCATTGGCGAGGTCACCCTAGATCAAGTCTACGGTGGTGCTCGAGGCATCAAGGCCCTTGTTTGGGAAGGATCCGTCCTTGACTCGGAGGAGGGTATCAGATTCCGGGGGAAGACCATTCCAGAATGCCAGGAAGTCCTCCCCAAGGCTCCTGGTGGAGAGGAACCCCTTCCAGAAGGTCTTTTCTGGCTGCTCCTCACCGGCGAGGTCCCAAGCGAACAACAGGTCCGAGACCTCTCTGCTGACTGGGCTGCTCGCTCCGACCTTCCCAAGTTCGTCGAAGAGCTCATCGACCGCTGCCCCAACGACATGCACCCGATGGCTCAATTCTCCATCGCCGTCGCTGCGCTCGAGCACACCTCCGAGTTCGCCAAAGCCTACGCCAAGGGCATCAACAAGAAGGAATACTGGACATACACTTTCGAGGACTCGATGAACTTGATTGCTAAGCTTCCTACCATCGCAGCCAAGATCTACCGCAACGCATACAAGGATGGAAAGGTTGCTCCCATTCAGAAAGATAAGGACTATGGTTACAACTTGGCCAACCAGCTTGGCTACGGTGGCAACGCAGACTTCGTTGAGCTGATGCGCCTGTACCTGACCATCCACTCCGACCACGAGGGTGGTAATGTCAGCGCGCACACGACTCACTTGGTTGGTAGCGCTCTGAGCTCCCCCATGCTGTCTCTTGCTGCCGGTCTCAACGGTTTGGCCGGTCCTCTCCACGGGTTGGCCAACCAGGAGGTCTTGAACTGGCTCACCAAGATGAAGCAGACAGTCGGTGATGATCTCAGCGACGCGAACATCACCAAATACCTCTGGGACACTCTCAACAGTGGCCGTGTCGTGCCTGGTTACGGTCACGCTGTTCTCCGCAAGACTGATCCACGATATGTGTCTCAACGCGAATTTGCGCTCCGCAAATTGCCCAACGACCCCATGTTCAAGCTTGTCAGCCAGGTCTACAAGATTGCTCCAGGTGTCTTGACCGAGCATGGCAAGACCAAGAACCCTTACCCCAACGTTGACGCTGTAAGTTACTCAAACCCTCGAGTGTATGCACATTGCTAATCTTGACCTCCAGCACTCTGGTGTCCTGCTGCAATACTACGGATTGACCGAAGCCAACTACTACACTGTGCTCTTCGGTGTCTCCCGTGCGCTTGGTGTCCTTCCCCAATTGATCATTGACCGTGGTTTGGGAGCTCCAATTGAACGACCAAAGTCTTTCAGCACCGACGCTTATGCCAAACTTGTTGGCGCTTCATTGTAAGCGATGTGATTGGAACGGATTCCACGAGCAAGCGATGTACTGTGCAAGACAAAATCTGTAGTTTATATGGGAGGGCAAGGATGGATTGGCGGCTCGAGGTCAGCTACCATTGGGCGATGGCTCAACCATGGGGAGAACCTAGTATGCCATTTTAATTGACGAGCGTTTTGGTCCAGTTTGTCTCTCCTTGTTCTCTGGGCACCCTCTACTTTCAAAGTACTCGCCGAATTCTATGCAATCGAAGAGACTATATGCCGATCGTACCTTACGACGCGCCCTCGTCATAAACTCACCGCAGGCCTTAAAATAATTTTCGGGCGTTGAGGCCTGTTGAAACCCTGGCTCCACCGTTAGCTTAAGGAAAGCCGAGTCCGCAATTTTAGGCCAGTGATGGCCCGATGGGTGACAAGGTACCCAAGCCAGTGGCTGATGGTGAGAATGGCTGGTCGCTCAACGCCCCGAAGATGACGGTGCTAGTCTTGTTTGGGCCCGAATGGGGGTGAACGGGGGATTCTTTTGGGATTTGTCGAGGCGCAGGCGCAGGCACAACGCCGACAGGCCATGCAACACGATAATGGAATCTGTCTTGTATTGAACTATTGTTGCCCAGCTCCATCACCGAAACCCAGCTGAACATTTTCGAACTCCGGCCCCAGTCATTGTGTCAGCTTGCACCGTCTCTTGATCTCCGTTCCTGACTTCGTTCCTCCATTCTGGAATTTCCTCTCCTCCAGTACACCTTCCCGCAGAGCCTCAGCCCTTTCTCCTAAGCGCTCAATCCTCCAAGGCGACGAAGCCGACCTGTTCCCTTGGTCAGGGCAGACAATACCAACCACCTCTTTGCAATGTCCGCTCAACAAGTCATGGGTACATCGACTCCCGGTGTGGAGAAGATTGAGAAGAAACCCGTCAAGTTCAGCAACCTGCTCCTCGGAGCTGGGCTGAACATGTTCGAGGTCACAACCCTGGGACAGCCCTTGGAAGTCATCAAGACAACCATGGCTGCCAACCGAAAGGACACCTTCGCTGGTGCCATGTCAAGAATATGGGGACGTGGTGGTATTCTTGGATGTAAGCACCAAACATTGGAGCATTCCTGCTGCCAAACAGACCTCGGCTAACGAAGTTGCGCATGCTAGACTACCAAGGCCTCATCCCGTGGGCCTGGATCGAAGCCTCGACAAAGGGTGCCGTCCTCCTCTTCGTCGCCTCCGAGGCTGAGTACTACGCGAAGACCTTTGGAGCCAACAACTTTGTCGCCGGCATCAGCGGTGGCATGGTTGGTGGTGTCGCCCAAGCATATGCGACAATGGGTTTCTGCACGTGTATGAAGACGGTCGAGATTACCCAGCATAAACTCGCCGCGCAGGGTGTCAAGCCTCCTTCAACCTTCCAAACATTCGCGGACATTTACAGAAAAGAAGGCATCCGGGGTATCAATAAGGGTGTCAACGCCGTTGCCATCCGTCAAACTACGAACTGGGGTTCGCGATTCGGTTTGTCCAGATTGGCCGAGTCGGCTATTCGAAAAGTGACCGATAAGAAGGATGGCGAGAAATTGAGCAGTGTTGAGAAGATCATTGCTAGCGCTCTTGGTGGTGGTCTGTCTGCCTGGAATCAACCGATTGAAGTCATTCGTGTTGAGATGCAGAGCAAAACTGCCGATCCCAATCGGCCCAAGAACTTGACTGTCGGAAAGACGCTGAAGTATATCTACGAAACCAACGGTCTTAAGGGTCTATACCGTGGTGTTACTCCTCGTATTGGTCTCGGCGTTTGGCAAACTGTGTGCATGGTTGCTTTGGGTGATATGTAAGCTCATCCCTCCAGATGTTTCTGAGCTACTGCTGACAGTTGTGACTCCAGGGCCAAGGATGCTGTTGAGAAATTGACTGGCGAAAAGGTTACTGCGAAGCACTGAAGGAGTTCGGGTTGACATGTTGAGTTGGGCACAAGCGAGAGCGGAGATGCGAGTCTTCCTCCGTCCCTAGAGTATCTACAACAGCGAATCATTACGACATGTTGGTGTGCCTGTTTCTGGAAGACATGAATAGATCTGGACTGGAATACTTTTTTCGGGCGTTCTCTTCGAATTACGTTGTTACACATTGTGTTGCCCGAGTCGGCGACAGAGCGAGGCTGCAAATTGCTTCGCAATGGAATGCAAAATATGATGGATATATATATTTATTATTCTGCGTCTGTATCGCTTATATGTCCGACTGTTCAACAGGATGTGCATATCGTTGTTCCATGTCTTCCCTCAGAACATCAAGTGCCGGCTTCTAACCTAGCAGCTAGTCTGCAATCCTTGGGACTCCTCGGTCCTGGTTCAACTCGGCAGCAACCAGGAGCACTTACTGTATGTACTTCGGCAATGCGGTAGACGCTGACACAGTGTGTGCTATACCTTGCTGCAGGAACAGTCTCATCAGCTCATAGACGAAAATTCAAACGTCGGGACTGAAGACCGACGATGGCACGCCCAGTACAACGAATTGCCTCCTCATGGACGGAAGTTTGGGTCGATGGCTTTCTGAAATTCTGAAGGATTGTAACATTTATCTCCTTTCATTGCAAGAAAGAGTGTGGTTGGATATCATGATCTGCGGCAAGCTTCGAGTCGTTCGGACCAGGGTGCCAGGGGTTCTCAGCCTCGTCTACCTGGTCGTTGCACCCCACATCCACCCCCATTGGGCATGTCGCTCGCTTCCAACCTTGCCAACTTTGGACGACGTCAAGAATTCTACCACGCAAAGAAAGTCCGTCCAATGGCGCACAGAGAGCTCGATGGTAGCTTGAGAGTTGACAAGCTGATCCTGGTGCAGATCTGCGTCATATTGCCTTGCGATATGCAAGCTGCATTGGTACAAGTGGGGACATGGAAGTGCAAGTCATTTTTCCTTGATTCTTTGCCGGATAACGAACGGATGCAAACAGCGCCTCAAGGGGAGGTGACTGCAGCAGCTGCGTTTCCGCTATCTGTGTCCCCGGGCCAAAGGTGAGTACCTATGGAGAGCATGTGCAAACGAAACGGCAATGCTGTGCATAGCATTCCTTGGGGCCGGTCTAAAAATATGGTAAAGCTAATGAAGCGAGCAGCTCTAGCGGAGGTACGAGTACAGTACCTCCAGTGAATGATGTCCCGGCTGATGCATCAAAGTGACGGTGACTTTCAATATTTTCTCTTCTTCTTCTTCACTGCAATGCATCACTATGAGAGTGACATTGAATTCAACAAGCCCTTCATTCACTTTACGCTTCAACGGCTGGTGACAAACGATGTCTCTCTTTATCTCAGTCGTTTACGTTTAAATTTCCTTGCTTCCAGCACACATGCTCATGCAAGAACACTTCGAGCACTCTGCAACCAGATCAAACACCATCTTCATCCCACGATCCGTGCCCGGACTACCAATATCAAATAACATCGAACAAAAGCCGAAACTTAGCAGCATGTCCTCTTTCTCGACTTTCGTCATGGACGTCCGCCGCACTCTCTTCCCATCGGTCGTGATGATGCTTGCTCTCACCGTCTTCGGTATCTTGCCAACACTCGTCAGCGCAACCTGCCCATCGACTCAATCTCCATTCGCTCCTGGATGGTAAGTTGGCCCAGCCTAGCGACACAAAGAAAGCGTCTTAAAGCGTCCTCTCTCACGCCGTTGCGCTACTACAGGGACACCCTGTTGTCGACAATAGTGCGGGAAATGGCAGGCACTTTGCTGACCACCTCTCGCTCGATCTGCACCGAATGCTGCATCTTCCAATTCGGCCTAGGCAGCTGCGGCGCGTCGACCTTGTGGGACGGCATTGTCCGCGACCCAGGATGCAACGGTATCTGGCCGCGCGAGCAGGCATTGGGTTTCCCCGGTATTCAGGGCGTAAGTTTTGCCTCTCCCTCACTCTGCTCTCCCCTGATGTTCCTTCCGAGACGCATGCTTAAGCTGGGCCTTGGATTACGTTGTCTCTCTGACCGATTATATTTCTAGGTCGACCACGTTTGGATCTCCGAGTGTACAGGCGCGTTCACGAGCTGCAACTTGTACAGCAGCCCAGACTGCACAGGCAACCAGGTCATGAAGATTGACAATAGCGCGAACGTGTGCCACTCACCTGGTTGGTATATCTTCAGCTTCGACTGCCAGATCGACTGAGACGCTCCGGGGCCAAAAGCAGGCATGAGACAAAACTCGTGGCTGGTTGCTGCATCAATGGGAGAAAGGGCAGAGATTCTGGGTTCTGGATCCATGGACACGGCGCAAAGCTGAAGAAGGCGGCATCGATGCTTTTGGGAGCTTGCGATTATGAGAAAATGGAATGATATTACCCGTCAATGGAGAGTGCACTGGTCATGTGCGTTCTCTCTCGGTTGGCATCATGCCGGTACGGGAAGAACTACATGGCAGATCTAAGCTGACCGTGCCTGACCAAGGATGATATTTCGTCAGGAGGGTCGACGAGACGCGGGCAGACACTCTCGAAGCAACTAGGCCTTGAGGCAGGCTTCACGCCTAACAATCAGATCCCATCTCCTGGGCATCATATGCATCTTTTTACATGGGATTTCATTTCCCACAGCGTTTCATTCAATTCTCATCGGTCACTGGACATCCTTCCATCACATGTTGTATCAGATCACTATTCACTGCTCACCCGTGACGACACTGATATTCACTGCTCACGACGACACTGGCAACGAAGGCAAGACAGAAAGGCGGTCGGCAGTCCTTCACCTTCGTCTGCATACAAAAATGTCGCTCATTGTTGATTTCTTCGAGCCAAGAGGACGTTCTTTGACACATATCTCATTCGTCTATTCCAAAACAATATACTTTTGGAGATGCTCAGGAATGGCGTCTCTCAGCCCTTTACTCCGCAACCATTTGTCGCTGAATAATCGGTCCGCGTACCTGTACGCACCGTCACACAGCATTGTGACAACGGTATGATTCGGCCCCAGCTTCTCAGCAACCTCCTTCGCCGCCACAACGTTCAACGCGCTGCTCGCTCCGAGGTAAAGCCCTTCCTCATCCAGACAGCGATACACCATGGCTATCGTCTTGTCGTCCGAGATCTGTAGCGCACCGTCAAGTTCGTTGACCTCGTTCTTCAAGTTATCCGTAACCCGACCCTGGCCGATGCCTTCAGTGATACTGCTACCCTTCCGCTCGTTGAGTTGCCCGCCCGAGCTGACGTACGAAAACAAAACTGAACCGGGCGGGTCTGCCAGGAACGACTTGACACGCCCACCGCTCACGTCCTTGAGATATCGCGTGGTGCCCGCAAGTGTTCCGCCCGTGCCTGTCGCACACGTGAAAGCGTCAATCTTGCCATCCGTCTGCGCCCAGATTTCGGGCCCCGTCGTCTCGATGTGTGCCCGACGATTTGCGATGTTGTCGAACTGATTCGTCCAGACGGCGCCGTGCTCGGGATCCTCTTTCAATAACCGCTCCGCGTGCCGTTTGGCCTGCCAATTGTAGTTCTCTGGATTCTCCCACGCAACCGCAGGCACGGGGTACACTTCAGCCCCGAGCAGGCGTAGGAGGTCGATCTTGCCTTGTGACTGCGTGTTGGGCATGTATATGACCAGCTTATATCCACGCGCGCGGCAGACATGGGCGAGCCCGATGCCCGTGTTGCCCGCTGTGCCCTCGACGACCGTGCCTCCTGCCTTGAGAAGCCCACGCTCTTCGGCATCTTTAACGACGTATAGCGCCGCGCGGTCTTTGACCGAGCCTCCGGGGTTTTGGAATTCGGATTTGCCTAAGACGTTGCATCCGGTTTGCTCGGAGAGGTGCCGGAGGCGGATGAGGGGAGTGTTGCCGATTGCTGCACACGTCAATATTAGCTGACCGTTTCTGGTCTCACATCTGAGGGACATCGAGCGTACCACCTGTCAACTGGTCGACTACACCTTGGGCTTTGGACACGCGGATACCGTAAGCATTGGGCGTGGGTGCTTCTGTAGCTGCGCTTGCCGCGCGGGCTGCTGTGGTGGCGAAGCGCCTTATTGACATTCTGAAGGCGTTCGCCATGGTGTGGACGCCCGTCGACAGCACAGTGATCGGGATGTAGAGGGTTAAATCAATGGAAGAGGACCCGAGCAGATCGTGGGCTTCGAAAGGAAAAAAGTCGCTACGGAGGATCGATGGCATCATTGCTGCCGAGGTCGAGGCTGCGCCTTGCAGCTGCTTACATAACCAAGGACTGCAGATGTTGCTCCTAGGTGGCTCACGTGGCTCCTGCTGTCTGATGCCTGACTTCATGCACGCGTCTGAATCCCACCTTGACACACATTTCACTTGCCGATATGGCAGACGAGTCCTCCTTATGGGCAGCCAAGAACAAGCTGCAGGATTTGAGAGAACAGTTCGAGGGTGTGAAATCCCGGCTGGAATTGACTCTTGACAATGCAACAGCCATTCTCGAAGAGGCCGATGACAACCTCAAGCACGCTGAGGAGGGTCTACACGGCGACGCCGCATCAAGGCCCGGAACGGTTCGAGGTACAGTGAGACTTTGCGATTCTTGTAAAGAAATTGACATCCCCAACGTGTTCGCTGCGTTGTCTAAGCTCAAACCTGACACCGAGCAACGCCATCTGGCGAACGCACGTCGCACAGTTGGTGATTTACGGCACGCTGTCGAGGTAGAATATTATTGTTGTCTATGCAAATTCCTGCTCGAGGCCATCCTGCTACAGACTGCTAAAGGCTCGTTCACAATTCCACCTGGCCAGAATGAACATGCGACCTCGATTCGACTTGTTTCCGATTCTGACCCGTGGTTCGTTACTGCAGGAATTAGTGTCAATCTCCCACCTTGTCAATTTGGCTGGCTTCGGGTTGGCGCGCGAGCAAGATCAGACCCATCGATCTGTATTACCTTCGAGCCGGCCATTGATTCTGGCCACGGCACAGAATCCCGCAACCTCGTCTACCCCAGTGAAAGGCGTCGTCTCTACGCCTTCAACGGCAGCCTCGATATCGAGCTTGTCATATCATGGATCAACAAGTGTGAGGACGTACATGGTAGTCTCTGTTGCCCAACCGAGTTGGACAATACAGAAGGCCTCACCGTTATCGATGTCGATTCCCGCGCGATTGTTCCGTATCCGCACGGAGAGCGTTATGTAGCTCTAAGCTATGTGTGGGGTTCGGATCAGTCCACTCAGTCTCTTGGATCTCGCCCACGACCAGTCCGCCTTTCAGACAATGCCGGACAGGGCTATGCGCAAGTGCTGCCATCAAAAACCCCACAAACATTCGAGGACGCAATCCGGGTGACGAAGGGACTGGGGGTGCGATACCTTTGGATTGACCTCTTTTGTATCAATCAGGATGACCGAGAAGAGCAACAACGGCAGATCGCGCTGATGGATCAGATTTTCTCCTCAGCTTGGCTGACCATAGCCTGCCTAGACGGACCCAACGCACGGTATGGGCTTCCCGGAGTTTCTCGCCCGTTCTTATACACAAGGCAACCTAAAGTCGAACTTTCCTCGGGACGGCTGACGGCTACTTATGTACACTCTTGGTGGGACGACAACGGCAAATCTCGATGGGATAGTCGAGCATGGACCCTCCAAGAACGGCTTCTATCGAGACGTCTCCTCACTTTCGCGGACACTTATATCGCCATGTCATGCCGCACAGAATACTTTCATGACTTGTTGAGCGTCGACAACTTGACAAGCGCAGGTGGAACCTCACAGATTGGAGACAAATACTACAGGGAAGATGGATCCGAGATTAACCTCGAGAAACTAGAGTGGGATTTCCAACAGTACAGCTCCTTGGTAGCCGACTACACTCACCGCGAGATTACATGGGAGAACGACCGATACAATGCGTGTCGAGGCTCGTTGAATCGAATGACGGCCAGGACCGGGGTCCAATTCCACTGGGCACTGCCCAAAGTAGACCTCCTGAAATCTTTGTTATGGAAGCCCCATCATGGCTACGTCAATTCTCGGTGTCCGGAATTTCCATCCTGGAGCTGGCTCGGCTGGTCAGGTTGGGCGGAATATGCATATTGGATCCATGATCAGACTGCAACTCCTCCCAATGATCCGACCAAAGCCGCAAAGCAACACCAAAACACCTCAAACAAGAGAAGGCGCTTGGAAGATTTCAGCTCGCCAGGAGAATATCGACAGGAGGCGACCATTCTCGAGCTCTCCCATGTGGGAGAAGATGTGCCTCCGGACATCGCTCTACGCACGAGCCTCTGCATGTTCCAAGTCCGATTCTTACGACGGGCCGGTGCTCCTCACCTGAACCGTCCGAGTAACACGCAGCAGGCGAAATTTGCAGTAGGCGACCACTGGGGTCTCGTCGCTCGAAATGGAGATCTGCTGCGAAACCCCGTTGGCGAGCACCAAAACTTTGAGCCTACGGACGTGGCCTTCCGCTTACACCCTGCACATTCGCAAGTCTTACGAAATCAGAACAACCGGGTAGAATTAATGTTTGTGAAGCATTGGCTTCGGATCTGGGATTCGGACAGAATCATTGAAAACATGGTCAGCGCTCTGGTGGTCGTCAAGAGAGACGATGGCAGATCTTATTGGCGACTTTCTTCCGTGCTGATACCCGCATCAGAATGGTACACACGAAATCCTGACGAAAGGGATATCATTTTGACATGACATGACATGACGTGACTGCAATCGCAAGATTGCCACACGACACAACACGGCGACCCAAGCGAGTACTAAGCTACTAGTACTTCTGTGTACCTCGCAATGCAGACGCCACCGCAACTTCCTCGAGGATACCGGTCATCCTCGGACGCAACCTGTCTGAGATTCGGTAACAGATACCACAAATCCTACTGAAGAGGAGAGGTGCGAATGTTCACGCCTTAAGCCACGCAAATGCTTCCTGCATGATCCTTTCCACAGTCTCTGGCCTGTCCAGTCCCGGCATATCCTGACTGATTGGAAACCCAGTACGCTCCATCATCCACGCAAGCACGTTATAACTCTCTCTATACTCGACGGGCGGCCTCGTCGAGGGGATCTTGTCAGTGGGAAACGTGGGCGTCAAGGTCTCGTTGTCGTAAATGGCCTCGAACTTGACCATGTACCACTTCTGCCCCTGCCCCTTGTCCTGGTCCTGGTCCTGGTACTTCTCCAAACGATTGATAAACCGGCCGTACGAGGTGATGTCGTACCACGTGCCTTCAATCTCGGTACGGTTGCGGATTCGAACATTGGACTCGGAGGAGGCCTTTTTATTGTTGCTACTGAAGTGCACCTCTACCGGGTTGATGTCGTGCCTGGCTTTGGGCCCCTTTTCGGCCATGACCTTGGACCCCGCGATGAAGCCATCAATATCCCCGTTGTACCTGTGCAGGCGGAGATTTTCAGCCCTGGAGTCAAAGTAGGTTCTGATCGTCCACATTTACCATGAGATATTGATGTTCGTCCTCGATGCGTCGGGGTGCCAGACTTCGCGAAGCGCCGTCCAGTTCAACGAGTCCCGGTATGATTTCTCCCGGACTAGAAGGTCTTTGATCTCGACCAGGTCTATAACGCGCTCGAGTCTCTCGTTCGTCATGTTGTTAATATGCTCATTCTGCTTTGAAGCCCAAAGTTTTGGTGAACGTATTATCGTCTCACCAGGGTTTCTCGCATATTTACTTGAGCTGTCAGTATGAAGAGGTGCGAAGAAGCTCATATCAGCACTACTAAGTTAGGCATACCGCAGCGTCATCCATACGAGTATTACATGTGCGTCGTATTCTGAGATCGTCAATTTCTTTCAGGCCACCCATCTACGATCTCAGCCTGAGTGCGGCGGCTTAGCAACAGTTGGTGTGTGATGATGCACATCCGACCTTGACAAGAAATCTGGAACGACAGAACAGACTGTGACTTCGTCCAAATGTTGACATACATACTGAGTCAATGTGCTCTCGAAATAGGTATCACGAAAGCGTCATCGAGGACATTCGACTTTGGCTTTACAAGGTCCTATACCTGAGGGCTTTCTTCTTCAAACCTTCTCACTGCCCACAATATCCCTCACAGAAACGGCGCTCATTCCTTCCGACGCTCGGTCTTCAGGCTCCTGGCCGGTGGTCACACCCGATTCAATGAGCATCTCACCATCAAAATACCCTTCCGTCTCTGCGAGGGTTTCAAACCCTTTCGAAGCACCCTCGTGGCCCATGGGGAACACCTTGGCCGGCATCACGAGATTGGCCGTGAAGTAAAAGGCGACAGCCACCGCAAAACATATCACCCATCCCGTTTGGTACATGTGTATGGCGGCTTCAGCGACCCATGTCGGATGGTATGCTCCGATCAGGCCCGGAACGCCGAAAATTGCAGCAGAGACCCAGCATGCCAGCGCTTTGAGGTTCCAGCCTTTAGTGTAGTAGTACAAAGACCCCAGGGCCGGGTTGAAAAGCGAAGGCGTGTGGATGTTGCCGCGCCTGACGACGAAATAGTCGACCATGATGATCTAGCAGGTGTTAGTACTCGGGTTTCCCAGTGCTCTTAGGACTTAGTGAGGCAACACTTACGCCACAGATCGGCGAGATGAAGATATTGTAGCTGCCCAGGAGGGTCAAGAAGCCGGAGCCGTCGGCCATCAGACAGACAAGTTAGTGGTCGGCATTGAGGTGGTTGAGCTGGCAGAGCTTACTGAGAAGCTTCCACGGCACAATTGCAAGGGACGCAATGCCGCAGAACAGCTGGCCCCGGACGATGGTGAAGTACTTGGGCAATAAGTCTGTCACATCGCACCTGAGAAAAGGACAAAAGAACCGTCAGTCATGTCTGGCCACCTTGTCGAGGACATGGGGAATATATGGTACCGAAGGGAATAGCATTGCAGCCAATGTTGACGCCCAACACAGACAATGCGAGCCCCATTGCAGCAAAGAAGCAGCCCGCTCGCGCGGCAGGACCCCAGAACCGGTCGAGGATGGCATTGAGTAAGTCCCACTGGTTCCAGTATGCTTGTCCGAATTTTCCTTGGACAGCTGCGGTCGCGCCGATGCCGAAGAAAAATATCAACGTCTTGCTGGCGAAGATGGACGACGCTGGGCGCCATCCAGCATCTTTGGGTCGTCTGGTATTATCGGGTCAAGTCAGGTTGCTGGAACAGAGAGTCAGCCATTGCCATTCGTCTCCGCGGACATTACAGTATGCGATTTACATTGACAAGAAGAGCAGACGTCACGCCCAGACAGCTACTGATGCCATTGAGCATGGCCCAGCCCAGAGCACCACCGTGGACTCGTGTCGCTCCGAATGTGTTTACGCGAATGCCGCCTCCGTAGTTGACATACCAGGCGAATGTTCCCAGGCAAGCCAGCGGGCAGAATATCAATTCAGCCTGCGACGCCGCAAATTGATCAGCACAACCGCGATGGGAAAAGGTGGGCGAGAGCATGGAGAAACACACCGCGAATAGGTACTTGATCCTGGTTGGATGCACAACTTGAAACGGCAGCTCAATCAACCAAAAGAGGAAGAAGGCCAGGAGATCTCTCGAGCTGATTCCAGCGCTGGTGGGAAGATGGTTCGGCATGTTCTCCCACGAATTCCCGAAGATGCATCTGAAGATGACGCTCAAGTGCTGCGAGCCGAAATACGTCAGTACACCGAACCAGATAATGGCGACCACGGCGCGGATCCAGACGAAGAAGTAGTGCCCGTATATGCCGAAGACACTCCTAGCTAGGACCGGGTAGCCGATGTGGTACCTCGCCCCAGGTCGTCCCAAGGCGAGGGCCACAGTGGACGAGATGAGATTCGCCAACATGCAGGCAATCAATGCTTGCCACCAATTCAAGCCGACGGCAATGAGACTAGCGCCGTTGGACCACTGGCTGGAATTGAAGGCATTGCCCCACCAGTAGCTGGTCAGGGATATCCTGTTGTGCAGGTTAGTATGAGTGATTGGAACATAACAAATTCGTTGCCAGCTCACCATGACCATGTACGTGCTTCCTTTGGCGTGGGTGCGAGGTCCTTGTTGATCCATTGAGATGCGGGATCATGCTCGGAACCAGTCGCGATGATGGCTTTCCATTCTTTCTTAGACTTGGGCATGTATATGTTCAAACCCTCCATAATGACAACGGCTGAGATGCTTGAATTTGGTTCCCCGAGACTCGAGTGCTGGGCTTCATTTCCAAGGGATCATGAGTAGTTGTAACTTCCCACAGTAGAGCGAGTGGCGATAGCATGGCCTTTATATGCTTGATTCACTTCGATTGTCGTCGAGATGCGCTGCATGCCTGATACGCACATGTTGATTTGGACTTTCGGGATATCTGTATAGGATAACATGATGAAACGATGCGTTTCTCTTGGAAGACGAAGTCTCAGGTACGTAAGTCACGACTGTTATCTCGAGAAGTTTATGGGGATCATCGGGCTCGTCCGACAATAAAGGGAGAGATTGATTGGTTATAATAGATCGTGAAACTCCGTATACTCGCGTGAGAGAGACGTTGAGAGCGGATGTACCGACGATGATGGCGATGGCGAGGGTGGCCTTACTCCGAAACGCATTTGATATCGGAACCGTCCGCATCTCTCGCTCTCTTGTGCTCGCCGTTGTTTGTGGATGCAGGCGTTCATGAGCATGCAGTATTTCTTCGAGAAGATATCGAATCTAGAGAATGTAGACCACTTTAGCAAATTCAAATCCGATTCCCAGTGACTGTCCGCATTGTCAATCTCGCGATGGCTATGAGTTCCTAGTCTTGGATCCGCAAGTCTGACATGAGAGTATCGGCCAGTCCTCTGGCAGCGTGGTTTTAGGAGTCGAAAGTGTTCCGGAGTTCTGAGTTTAGCCGGCTTCAACATGCAATTGTTTGATGTGATATTGCGGGACGCCTTCGTCAACGGGGCGTTTGTATGCGACATTGGCATCAAGCATGGTGTGATATCAGCGCTGGGTCTGAACCTTGTCGCTTCGGAAGACATCAAAATCATTGATTGCGAGGATGCCATTGTAACTCCAGGAGTCATAGACGGCCATGTGCATCTGGCCCAGGACAAGTCGCCGCGGGCACGAGAAGCCGGATACCAGTGTGCCGACACCAGTGAGTTGGCCATGACCCGAGGCGGGGAAATGTTACTGACTTCAGCACAGTAGAGACAGGAACGCGGAGTGCAGTTGCGGGAGGGACAACGACGGTATTGTTGTTCGCCGAGCAGTCGCGAGGAGAGTCGCTTCGAGAGAAAGTCGACGCTTACCACCAGCTGGCGCAAGAACAAGGCTCATATGCCGACTACGGCTTCCATGCTATCATCACGGATCCCGCGCCAACGGTGCTCGAAGAGGAGCTTCCGAGTCTAGCCCGCGACGGGATCATGAGCATAAAACTTTTCCTGACGTACAAGCACATGAGGATCTCTGACAAGGACTTTCTCCGTGCTCTGCATAAAGCACGAGAACTGGGCATGGTAGCGTTGGTCCATGCTGAAAATGGTGATCTTGTCGACTTCTTCGCCGAACAGCTCGAGTCTCAAGGCTTGACAGATCCGCTGTACAAAGCCATTGCCCACCCGGCAGCCGCTGAAGCAGAAGCGACCAATCGCGCCATAACATTCTCATCGGTCATGGATACGCCACTGCTCATTGTCCACATTTCTGTGCCAGAGTCCGCTGCAGTCATCAGAAAGGCCCAGTCACAACTGAAACCAGTCTTTGCAGAGACCTGTCCACAGTACTTGCTGCTCGGGAAGTCAAACTTGGCACAGGAGCATTTCTGCGGTGCAAAGTTCATATGCTCGCCGCCATTAAGAAGCGACCCGAATGATGTGGAAGCCATTTGGAGAGGAGTCGTCAACGGGACATTCACCATATTCTCTTCTGACCATTGCCCATATAGATGAGCAGGAAAAGTCTCATTGTTTCGTGTTTTCGTCTGACCATCGTTTGTGCAGATTCGCTGGCCCAAATGGGAAGCAGGTGGGACTTTCTCAAGCGGATAATGGCAATCCCAATGGAACGTAAGTGTAAATTCCTCGTTGAGGCTAGTGCCAGAGCCTAACTTCAGTCCCAAGGTTTACCAAAATACCCAACGGACTCCCTGGTGTCGAGACTCGACTCCCTCTTCTCTTCTCTGAAGGCGTATTGAGACGGCGGTGCATCGACGTGAAGCGCTTTGTAGAGTTGACCTCGGAAAACCCTGCGAAGTTATACGGCCTCTATCCGAAGAAAGGCGCTATTCAAGTCGGGTCAGATGCAGACTTGGTCATATGGTATCATGCATTCACTCCGCGGCGGCTGGTCCATGACAGGGACCTGCATGACGGCTGCGATTACTCCCCGTACGAGGGTATTGAGTTCTTGAACTGGCCGAAAATCACACTCTTGCGTGGGAGAACGGTGCTCAAGGATGCCAAATCGTAGATCATAATCGGTATGGTCGATTTATACCTCGGAAGGGATGCACTTTGCCACTGACCAGACGGCTGGCGGGGAAGTGGGACGTATTGCATGCAGCGACCTCATGGTTGCGACTTTCTAATATGTGTTGAAGCGTGTACCAAGGCTCGGGCTGCCGGTGTTGACCAGCAATCGACCATGATTGATCAAAGCCTTCCATACTTCCACTGCATCTTGAATTCCTCAACAAGCTGTTTGTTCTCGATAAGAATACCCAACTCCTGGCTGGTCCTCCAACTCGCAGCATCCATGTTGCCACTTCCTAGCAACAGCAACTCGTTGTCTACAATGGTCACTTTCGCATGCAACTTGACAGGCGTCACCTCGCGATCGGCAAGTGGAACCTCCTGCGTGCCGGAACCATCATCAAAGAAGTAAACTTCCAAGGAAGCCTGCATATTGCGTGTGCGTCGCTTCAAATTACTGATACAGGCTGTAGTCGTAGTACCCGCGGTCACCAACTGCTCGGTGGTCATCAGGGTGCGGTTCGTCCATATGCAAACATGAACGCCCCGCAGAAGGGCCTGATAAATAGCTTCAAGAACTGCAGGCTCGGTCAGATTTGGTGTAAGCATGATGATGCTGGACTTGGCGGTATTCAGGAGGTGATACGTTGTGCTCGACAAAGGTGTCGGACGGAAGCCAGGAGCGGTGCTGGGAATGCAGGGGCATTGGCTGGCAAGGGCTCGAGGATGGAGCCAAAAGGGAAGGAGCCCAGAGCCATGGGGAGAAGGTAACAGCGTGGTCTCGACAGGACCGGTCTCGAGCATACCAGGAGAATATCCAGGTTGCCGAGGTGCACCCGAGAGCTCGACAGTAGACCTGATATCGACTTCCGTCGCGGAGCGTGTCGCAGGTAGTGATTGTTCGGGACCCCAGAAACAGGTATGAAAAGCGACCAAGTGCTCGACGACAGGCCCCGTCAGCGTGACTGCGACCTCGTACCAGCGCTCCCACGAGACGTTGCATGAAGGTAGTATGGCCAGCTTCCGGTCGACAACAACGTACTTGGAATGAATGATGCCGAGAGGCCAGAAAAACTTGCGAACAACTTTTACGTCCAAACCTTCGAGTTCGTCGGCTCTAGGTAGACCAAGCTTTTTCCAGGCCGTTGGCGGGAAGATTTGTCCCTCTTTTAGCGTCGGCCATAACATGTTTCGAGCAAGTGATGATGAGGAAAAACAGATCTGTACAGATATTTTGCACGAAGCCTCGAGAGCCTTCTTTGAGAGCTGAATGAGGGCTTCATTTATTGCGTCGCGTGTCACTGATGGTGCCCAGAAGCAGGTCACCACAATGACTTCCATCCGCGCGGATGTGATTGCAGGAATGATCGTGGACTTGTATATGCTATAACCCGTCCCCGTAGTCAAGGACAGAGGGCTGCTCGGTGCTCGTCGCCCAGCGGAGACATGGTCGACATATTGCGGATCATAAGTCGGGTGTTCGTCAAAAGGCAGCCCGGTCATTGAGTCTCGGCTGTCACAATGCTCCATCGCGAACGCTGCGTGTTCAAAGCCTCCACTGGGTCTACTGAACAAGTACGCGACCGACCTTCGTACGCAATGAGCATGCCGCTGTCGAGCGTGGTTTAATGGCTCAACCCCTCCGTTGGAATAGATCCAAATGTCGAGTCCGCCGGGTGGTGAGAGACATGATGACTTATAAACTTGGTAGAGTGGCTTAACAAGTAGAACGAATGGAGAAGAGATGAAATCAATGTGGTGGTTGATTCGGAGGAGCGTGTGATGGGATTATCCTCGTCCTTGGCCAATCATTTGTCAGCCTCGTGACACAAGTACCAAAAGCCTCTAATCTTTCCTCTATCTAATTCTTCCTCTAATTCTTCCTCTAATTCTTCCTCTAATTCTTCCTCTAATTCTTCCTCTAATTCTTCCTCTAATTCTTCCTCTAATTCTTC